GGACCGAGTGTTATCCCCTATCCATTATTGTAATTAAGTTCGGATATGACGCACGCTATAATTGCTTGAACGAGCGTGCTCTATGGGAGTGTAGAGCACAGAGCTAAAGCTGTCACGCCATCTGCCAAATTGAATCATGTCCGACCTTTTCCGGGACTTTTCTCTAGTTTTTTTTCTTTAATTGAAAGTGAAATTTTTGAACAGGCAAGTCGAGAAATAGCAACAGAAGAACCAACAAACGTTTTTAAAATATGCCAGGCGCCATAATTGACGTTGTTATAACGTGAGCAGAGAAGAAAATCCTCAAAGAGAAAACGAAAAGAACAGTCCGAGTTTCGGTTTCCACACTCAATTAGATTGTAAGCTTACGTACGGTAATAAAAATCAAAAACAGCTAACACTCGTGTAGTATATATGCGAAAAGACTTGCTTGTTTTTGTGAGCCACAATTCGGCCAGATTTCACCGAACATTTCACTTTCAGATTCTGTATTAGAGACTAAAAAACTTCAGGAAGCGTCAGGAAGCAAAAAGCGTCAAATTCGACCCGCCGAACTATTATTAGTAAGTTTGTAAACTATTGCAGAATGTGAACTTTGATGGTTTTTGAACTTTGATAGTATTACATTTTTGACAGCTTTCGTCTTGTACAGCCTATCAGATTATTTGAACCATTCTAACAGGGATTCTGATTGGCTTATTGTAGCGTGCTTTATGAGAGCATAGAGCATGAGAGTACTCTATCCGCTTCCTTCGTGCTTTACAAAAGAACAGAGCACAGTCAAGGCTTCTCTATTTGGGAAAACAACAATCCAGAATTTATTGTACGGACAGATCATACAGTCAATATTCAAACGGATTTAGTGTATTGTGCAATGATCCTCTGTAGAGGCATATTTTATAACAACACCTAAATACCTTCCTATTTTACGTTTAGTTGGCGAGTAGGCTACAACATTGCTGAAATTATCTATATCTATATGTGACTGTGTAACAACAAACTACCTTAAAAACTAGAAATTAACAATCTGAAAGCTCTATTTCCTCATATATTTCTTCATTTGATCCTCTTTTGTTCCCTCCCTCGGGAACCACGTTGTAATACCCAGCGTTCACGTGGCTCCCTTGTAAGGACTGGTATTCAGGGGGGACTCGTGTTTGTCCTTCCGAAGGCCTGGGACTTAGCTCCATATATGACGCTGGTTCTGACGCATGCTGCTCAAGTGGAAAGACAGACTGGACAGTAGCCTTCACGATTCTCAACGCAAGTTGTGTGCCGGAGGCATCTCGAATTATGGCGGCTAAAACACTAAAAAATCCGTATCACTGACAGACAATGAGTTTCAAACTTTGAGTAAAAAAATAAACCGAAAGTTGCGCATTCAGTGGCTTTGGTGTTAGCATTTCTCTCGGCTGAGAATGAAAATCGACAACTGGAAGATTTGCCACTGGCCGATTTTAGCCGAGTACCTGAAAGACTTCTTCTGTCGGTAAGGACAAAGTCAATAAATGAGAATCTTGTAAATTGAAAATTACGACCATTGTTGCGTTTGTAATCATGATTCAACGCAATTTTCCATCTTAATTAAGAGTCAGCGCCAACGCACTTTACGATTGTCATTCGAGGATTGTCGATTCGTTTATTTTCATTCATTATTGAAGCCGGCTTTTCTTCCCAATAAGGGGCTATTGTGTTTATATGATAAACAATATAATACATGGTTGTTTGTAGATATGGAATTTCTCTTCCAGTGTTTAACTCGATAGAAGAGAAATTCCATATCTACAACCAACCATGTATTATTCTCTATACGATTTCGCTTTTCTAGGTCACTAGACATCATCAAATGGCGATGAGCAGGGTTCGGACTATCGTTTGCTGTAGTAAATATTATCAAAATGATTTTCGTCATTAAGCTAAGGCTTTACGAAGGGAGGCGCTCGCCAGTGAAAATTTGGCTTTGACTTTAATTTTCTTCAATTTGCCTCGCTGAAATCTCTCAAAATTTTCAGATAACAATCGTGCGATCGTGTTGAGCCGCCATGCTTGTCTTGCAAGTTGACACTTTTAAAGCTCGCGCTATGTACGTACCCAGATCTCACGCGGTCAAAAAACCCTATAAAGCCTCCTTAAACGTTTGATGGAAAACGTATTTGACGTAGCACGGGCGGCCCAAGCTCCAGCTGTGAGATGATCATCTTGCGAAAAAAGAGTCATGGCGAAATTATAAAAGTTTGCATGGGAATATTAACGACCGCCAGGAGCCCATTCCTGCGACCGCTCTTAGGAATAAAAGAATACAATCAAATTCTCAATGAAAATACCTAACCTTACTTCCACAGTGTATCGCTTGTTATCTGACCACTTACTATGTTGGAAAATCCAAACACATATACTGTAGTTTCATTTCAATTCGCTAAAAACCCCAATCCTCCCCGTGAAACCGACGCTAAACCGCAGTTTGCTTAAAAAATTTCTAGTTTAAACGTCTCTAACGGTCTGCGTACACAGTCATTCTGACATACGACCATTAAAAACTAGCTTGGTAACCCGCCTCCTTTACAAACTTTTCAACATTATAAACGGTCAGATAACAAGCGATGCACTGTGGAAGTAAGGTGAGGTATTTGTATCGAGAATTTGATTGTATTTTTTATTCCTAACATCGGTCGTAAATATTCCCAAACAAACTCTTATAATTTCGCCATGACTCTTAGCCCTAGTTCAAACGTCGATCTTTACATGTACCGAACCTAATTGCAATTTGGGTCGACTCGAATAATTAAGAGCGGCAGTTGATTTAAACGTCTATACAAATCTGCCGATCCTAATTGATTCAAACGTCGATCTTTACATGTACTTAATAGAAACGTTAGGTTCGGTACATGTAAAGATCGACGTTTGAACTAGGCCTTATTTCGCAAGATGATCATCTCACAGCCGGAGCTTGGGCCGCCTGTGGACGGAGTAAAGTATCCATAAACACTACGTACTGAAATCAGATAGAACTGTAAAGGATCAAAGGTTTCTTGAACGTTGAGAGCGTTTAACATTGACAACACTTACTATTTTCCTCTTCTCTGCTTTCTGACAAAGTTATTTTGTAAGTTGTAGATCCAAATGAGTTTGTGGCGTGACACACATAATCTCCAAAATCTTGATCATCAAGAGGAGTGATAATAACACTGTTGTGCATGACCTTAATGTTATGGCCATCTAGAGCCTGGCCATTCCTTGTCCAAGAGTAGTTAAATGGAATTTCACTAGTCGCGTGGCATAGCAAAGAACACGAAGTTTCCTTTGCACATAGAACTGATCTAGGGGAAACGTCTTTCATGATGCTGGGTGGCACTGAGTTTAAAAAGGAGGTAAAAAGGTAAGATTCAACATCTTTCACACAGCCAAAGAATAAGAGTAGGTGGCGTTAACAGGAGAACGTTTAATAAAAAACCTCTAATACTTTCTGAAAGCTGATAAGCATAGTTTCTACCCGTTATTTGAAAGTTCATGGGGTCCTGGGTTCGAATATTTCACTCATGAAATCTGACATCAATCGCATTTAGCTTCTGCTCGCATAAAGGAAAAATTTCATTTTGTGGCCAGTCATACCACAGTTGATGATACTTACCGGCGATGATCACTGCTGTAACTGTTCGGCGTTGCCCAAAAATGTTTGATGCTCTGCATTCATAAATGCCTCCGTCATTAGGTGCGACCTCTTGAATGACAAGAATGTGGTCATCGTTTCTGAATTGAGCCCGTGGTATACTGGTATTTCCATCTTTACTCCATGTAACAGAAGGCTTAGGATCTCCAGTGGCCTCACATGTTAATTCTAACACATCGCCAACTTGAAAAATGGTTCTTTCCGGTAGGTCTTTGACGGCGGGCTCGCCTGGTAGAATTTCACTAAGTTAGCGGCAGTTTTTACAACAATAACAAATCGTAAGGGTCATTTTCTCAGAGAGAAAAAGAAATTACCCGGGATCTACCCTCTAAAGGGCATATGTGATAAGGGTCTCAATGAATGCGAGACCCTAACAGGACATCTTTCAGAGAAAATAAAGAAACTACTACTCCGTGATTTATTGCCTAAAGGGTTGTTGAAGTAGCTGTTCATTGACATAAGCAATAAGTAATTTATTTGTTCGAGTTGGTTGAAAATTTGTCGTTTCAGTGACAAACGAATTCCATGAACTTTACCTTTGGTTTCAATCGTTACGAAGTTACTAGAAAAGTACACCATCTGCAATCAAAAAAGCAGGAAGAAAGAAATCACCCATAAAACTCTGGGATTTTTTTCTGCGCTCAAAGTATCTTTACTTGTTCCCCATCGTACAATTGAAATCAAAAGCTTCAATGAAGAATACATCTGACGGACCAATTGACTGACTGATTGGCCGAACAGTAGTACGTAACTTTCTAAGCGATGGTTGAATGTAATGCGAGTGAAACAAGATTGAATTTTGTCTTAGGAGTTTGCATTTTCAAAAGAGGACGTTCGTCACTGTACCTTCTCTATAAAGGCTCTGAGAAACACTCTGTAATTGGTATTTGGCTGGAGTGGTTTGTTAAGAAAGACCTCCTTATCACTGCCTCTCCTATTTCTTGGTTTACTGCTTGAATGTCTTCCATCTCCAACAACAAATTCTCGGAACACATCAAAGTCCTGCCCTCTAAACTGAAAAGTGACATACGCGGCAGGAACCGGAGATTTGTGGGCCTCTTCATACGTCATCAAATCCTTTGGTGTAAAACTCTCAGGTGAGTTAACCACACCAGTATAGTCCACGCTGTATCTTATAACAATGACTTGAAAGAACCTGTGAAGTAGGATGTTCATTAATTCCGCATAAAGCTTAAAAGATTCGCAAATTCTTCACTTAAGAAAAAAAAGTTCAATAAAAGGGCTCATACTTTGCAATCCCTGGAAAGCGTGGTAATGTTATGTTTGCTGTTATGCCTTCTCCACTTGGAATCTGAGAGAAGGAAGGTGGAGATGGTGTTTCTTTTGACCATGTTTGGGATAATTTCAAACCTGTACAAGCAAAAGAAAGGACCGAACTTACAACCACATTGAAAATGAAAACTCAATAGCTTAGTATCTGGCTACACTATGTCATTGGGAAGCAGGCAACGAAAATGCTGAACACTTTGCCGTGTTTTTTAAGGTTTAGGATAAGGACAAAGTACGGTACACAAAAAAAATTATATAACTTGATGAAAACTCTGAAATATAAAGCCGATGCAACAGATCATTAGTTTCACTTTTCCAACATACTTTTTGTTTGAACGACTATAGCTTTGCTATAGGGTCCAGGCCCTGCCACAGTGTAACCTCTAACAGACACTTCATACTTTGCACACATCCAGAAGCCAGTCAGTAATACACTTGTTTTGGTTGTGTTCATCGCATGAAAGGTAAAGTAAACCGTCAGACAGCTCTCCTTTAATTCGAGACGGACTTCGTAATGTTTAATAACGCCATTTGCCGCCTCTATAGGAAGTCCTGCCCAAGTGATTTTGTTTGTCGTATAGTTTACTTCACTAGAAGAAACACTTTCTGCTCCGTGACTCGGTGCTATTCGAGGAAAACATAAAATAATAGTTTCACATTTAGTTATCGGTGAGTACAAAACGCTCCACCGTAGAATGTTAGATTAAAATTAAATTATCTCTTGCACATAAAAAATCATATTTTAATGAAAGAAAATGATGACTGACTAACTTGATTGAAGGCGTATCAAACCCATTACGCTACAGCGAGCGGAAAATAGGGTGCAGAAATTTGAATTTTTTTTTTGTTTTGGTCACATTACAGTTTTATCTTGCACTTTGTGTCATTGTATTTAGACTGCGAAACAGAGAAAACTAACAGTATATCATGGCTAGTAGAAATTAGGACATGAATGTTTCTAATTGGAAAGAATCCACAAAATAGACTGTCGGGTATGACTGGGCATCGTTGCAGGTGTAGAACACACCCTTGTAGCTGGCACGATGATATATAGTTGCATCATTCCCACCCCTGCATATTCTTTATTTTTACTGACACAATTTTGTTTATCAGCAAAATTCTACAGCCTCAAACCAAAACAAAAAAATATTAGTTTCCTGACAATGAAATTGCGCTGCGTCCTGTAAACCCATCATATGTTTTAAGCAATTTGCCTTCTTCCTCCGTTATATTTTTCAAAATAGCGATTGCAGTGATGTAATGGACCAGTGATTATTTAACACTGTCACATATGTAAACTCAGTCACATCGTTTTTTTTAAATCCAATGTGTGAAAAACTACGAATTGACCTTCGTTTTTTTCTTTGTTTCTTTCTCTGTTTCTCTCTGGTTTAAGGAAACAGGTTACTTACGTGTAGACACACGATAAATCAATCTCAAAGTTAGACTTGATAACTGTGTTAAAAGTATTTAGTTGTAAGGAGACTGCTCGATTTTTTTTACTGTATAGTAAGAGTAGCTTATACGTTAAATGCCATTGTGTTAGGTACTATTTAGAAATTTGTTTCCAGGTTTTTATCTTCATCTCCCGATCCTTTCTTTCCTCATCATGATTCGCGCCCTCCTGGACACAACTCACTTCGAGAAAGCGCGAAATACAGTGAAACGTCTTTCTATCTTATTCTACCACGCATTTAATCGTGATGTTAAAAAGTACATCTGAATTTTAGCAAAGTTCATAAAGTTTACTTGCAATCATCAATCTTGCGCGTCATCCTACTTTCACGGAGGCTTGCATGACCAAAAGTAAGCTGTCGCAAAATCTGTGAACGAGCACTTTAAAAGTACTTTAAAAGTAACCTACTGTCAGGAGGACATAATTATGTCTTTTGCTATCTATTACATCAAAATTTTGTAAGAAGCACAAGACCAAAACCAATAAAAAAACACTATCACCGAGAAACACTCAGTATCAAAAAGTACTGTTTATGTGTCAATGAGAAAAAAACTGCTTTTAAAAGCTGGCTATGGGAAATAATGATACAAATCTTGTTATGCTGTTGTCTTAAAAATTATCAATCAAACCGGGGCTAAAAACCTCTTTCCCGAGGGCCCTTGATCACGATTCGAACCTGCTTAGAAAGCCTTACAGGAAGTTTGTTTAAATAAGTTGTCATGGTCAGGTAAGGAACATGCTAAACATAACAAGCGTGTCAAAAAAACAGGACATCTCAAGCCAATACAACGTTCATAATCAAAGAAATAAAAGTCACCAAATGTTTGTATTTAGATACGTTGATACGAGGTCAGAGTAAACACACGTAACTCAGGCAATCCAGATGATAGGAACCATTCAAATTCATAACTTACCTTATTTTTCTCGTCTTAAATGAAAAGCGCTTAGATAAGAGTGTAATATAACCCTGAAAAGAAGTGTGCTTCCTTTGGGACTAGTTTAATTTCCTGAAAATTTGAGTGCGTAAGAGCTTCCTAAAGTTAAGTACAAATTTAAGCGAGGTGGCGATGCGAATCGATAATTTTCTTCTTCAGAGGTTGATAATCATCGAACCACGGCGTAAAAAGGAAGAACGCCGATTCAGACTTCGTTTGTCCCATATTCGTCACGAACTTTTTTTGGTTGTTTTCATTCAAATCCACCAATCTGGAGGAAGGCGTTGGTTAAAATGTCTAAAAGACTGGTGGTGATTCAAAACAACAGCAGCAAGATTTGTTCTTTCAAAACAGTCATAACATCACGTAATATTTCTTTTAATCCGGTAACTTCAGGAGAAAATCACTTAATATCAAACGATTACTATAAGTTTACGGTGTATATCCCGATCCCCTGCCCTGTTCTTGTCGTACATGTATAGCTTTCATACATAATTCTTTTCATACATTGCAAAAAAACTGCATAGAGTAAGTAGCATACCTGCTTCATCTGTAGTAACATTCAGAATAGGGCTGCTATTACTTCTGCCAATTTTGTTTCTAGCAAACACTCTGATGTTATATATTGTCCAAGGAAAAAGACCTGTGAGAGAGGCAGTTGTAGAGAGACTGGAAACCACGCATGCAATGCTTGAGAGTGATCCTTGACAAACTACGTCCTTAAAGATCTGATCGTGATCACTGATCTCCACTGTGAAGTTTTCAATGGCACGATTTCCATCAAAACCAGCCGTCCAGGAGATATTTACAACTCTTGAACCCTTTGTGTCAACAGTAATGTTCTGTGGTGGGTCTGGAATAGCTAAGGAATTAAACAACACTTCAATAAACACTAAAGTTTACAATTTCACTTGAAGGTTTATCCGTCTTCACCAAAAGAGGTAGACCAGATTGATCAACAGTTTTTAAAATGTACATTGGATCGGATACTCGTTATAGAACGTGAATAATAAGCACATCTCTCTTAATTATTTCGATAAAACCACTTTGCATGATATTCTTTCCCCAAGAAGTTTACATAGTAATGAGGTAAACGGATACCTAATCATACTCCTGGATGGAGAGAAGTACAGGTCTTAGTTGATGACCTAAGCGACTCTCGCAACCCAACCTTTGCCATCTTAAAACCAATAAAACAAAAGCGCTCCAAGCTGTAGTAGTTTTAATTGCGACGACAAGTTTAAAGGGAAAAAAAATGGCCGCTAAAGTTGTAGCAAAGGAAGTTCATCTGGAAACCTAAATTTGGCAACAAAGGAAAGCTGTAAAGTCTATACTATTTGGTGTTTGTGATAAAAATTTCCAAGAGAAAATTTCTCGCTTAATATATTATTTAAAACATTATTTCATACTAAGTGGGGTAATCGCACTCACTAACTAAATTTTAAAACACGAAAAGCAGATCATCTATTTGATTTTGTTTTGCTGAAACAAAACAAAGCAAAACAAACAGCAAAACAGGTCACGAATTTAAAAAAGAAAAATTCAAATCTCAACTTGTAGATTACGAAGCGTCCAATTTAGTTTTTTGTAGCGTCCAATTTAGTTTTTTGTTCTATCCGCACGATATTAGTCTACATTAAGTCACTCAAGCATATATTGTAGTCGAGACCACGTGCTCTTGCGAAAGTGAAGGTTTTGTGTTCAAGTAGCTTTACCGCGTTTTTCATGATTTTCCTTCTGGCTTGAAAATCTCGTAAGCAGTAATTTGATTTCATTGGAGTTTGCGTAGTTTTCGGAACATCTCTCAGTAATCCAAACGAAGTTTACTTTTGGTGAGAAATTAGAAGCAAAGAATCCGATTAAATTTTCCCAGTGAAGTATTCAAATCAAAGCCACATTCACAGAAGACAAACGAAACATTTGAATAAAATTACATCTATCTCGTCATATTTAGGTTGAGACAAATCAAGTTTCGAATTTCAACACATAGTGGCCATAACAGGATATAATGCTCATTGACTGAGTTTGGTCGGGCCGAACGGGAAAATATTTAGCTCTCGGTCGTGATGTAAGGACCGGGCGCGACTTTTCTGGACCACTCACATAACGAAGTAGAGGAAAACCGAAGAAATCTTGGATTACTTTGACATTTAGTTGAAAGTTGTTCTAAGACCTGAACACGTATCCGGTTGTTATGGTTTATCAATTTATCAGTTGTGAAGAGATATCACTTCTAAAGGAATCTCCAAAATAAAGAAACACAATTAATATCCTTATCTACTAAATCTACTAAACAACTGGACGTTTGTTTAAGCAACTTACCACCTCCATCTGTCTTCGTTTCCACAATTTCACTCCGACCGCTGACACCCTTGCGGTTAAAGGCCTGTATGGCAAACTGGTATGATGTGTACTCATTTAGAGACGCCAAAACTAAAGAAGTGGTCTCCGCTCTGTCAACAGTTCTATTCTTCCACGATACCTTTGGCTCGCTTTTTCTCTTGTACAGAATGTAATAGCCCAGTATAGCACCTTTAGCATCTTGCTTAGCGAGCATCTAGATTACAATGATAATAATACTAAATTGTGACGAGGAAGCCAAATAGATTGAAATCAATCAACAAAGATATCAAACTGCTACCAATTTTTACATGTTCAGGAATAATTCACTCGCACAGCATTTAAACTATGCTCCAAAATTTCTTTCGGTTTTCAGTCTCTCCCAACAATAATTGGTAATTCCATGATAAATATTGATATCTTTTAGCCACAATTACTTGATAATTATAGTACATGCTACATGTGTGTGTACATGTGTGGGTGTAAGTGGAGAAGGAAACTCTAAAGTGGTTCTAATACCTGCCAAGAAACGTGAACAGCAGTAGAATTGAGGACAGTCACATTAAAAGGTGGAGCAGAGCTTGGTACTGTAAGCAAACAATAGCAAATTTCTCTCTGTGAGTTACAAGAAATAACATAAGTGTAGTATTGAGTTTTTCAAACAAAGCCCAATAGTATAATAGCAATATATTTCCACTCAACAAAGTCAACTTAAGGCATAGGGAAAGCCTAATACAAACTTTAAAAAGAGAGACCACACCAATTAAAAAAAGGCAAACAAAACATACAAATAAACAAATGACACAAAGTAAATGTAATACAGGTAATAAAAGCTCAACTTAATCAATTTATCAGTTCTTGCGATACCGTTGTCGAAGGAATCTCCAAATACAGGTACAAATTAAAAGTATCAAACGAAAAGCTTAAGGAACTTAAGATGAAAAAAAAGAGCACCTTCTTCATCGGTGGTAACATTTACTTCAGGGCTGTAGTGACTAATACCAATCACGTTCCTGGCAAACACCCTGAGGTAATATGTTGTCCATGGAAACAGCTCTTTGATCACACAATTATTCTTTAAGAGTGTTCCTTAACATATGGCATCTCTGAAAGTCTGCTTATCTTCTCTGATTTCCACTGTGTAGTTCTGAATGGCGCTATTTCCATTAAAACCAACTGTCCAAGAGATATTCACTTCCCGTGATCCACTTGAAATCACTTTGACATCCTTTGGTGGGTCTGGTACATCTATAGGAAAAATAAAAACAAAAACAGAACCAAAAAAAGAACAAGAAATTGGAATTGTTGTTAATTATTGCTAAACTCTGAGGGTTCTTTTCTCCGCTCAAAAGACAAGGACAGATTATAGGGAGCAGGTCGAACAGAGATTTGATTACCAGTTTTCAGTGACGTCTTTAAGGATATCGATGCTGATAAGGTAAAACGATATGACTTCAAACATTTACTAATGGCTTCATCAATTTTTTTTAGTAACGTTTTCCTCTTCTATCATACTACGGCATGCAGCTTATGCACGTAACGAAGTAATTACAATATATTACTACATGTCACAACAATACAGGGCTTTTGGAACTAAACTGCGTAATATCTGAAAACATTTAAAGCGAATTACTTACACTGCACTGTGAGTTTGGCTGCTGATGAAGATGATCTACCCTTGCTGTTATTAGCCACACATCTGTATAGCCCTGAGTCCAAGAGGTGAACTTTCCCAATTTCTAAACTGAGATTATCGTTCCTGGAGGACAATTTAATTCGGCCATTTGCTGATACATCTAAGTCTTTTTCTTCCTTTGTCCAAACAACACTGGGTGTTGGGTTCCCCACCACTGAACAACTAAAAGTCACATTATTTCCTCTTACTATTGTGACATTCCTCGGATGTATGGAGATTTCAGGTGCAACTAAAGAAAAACACACTTAACAATTAGAAAATCGTGCAAATTTGGTAAGTTTCAAGGATATGAGAATTATCAAACGGAAGTATATTGCATACTTTTTTCAACGCGAAACAGAAATTATTATTCAGTTGCACGCTGAAAACAGTTACTCAAGTGTCCATAGCTACAAAGCAGTGCGATTTCAAAGCTTTTCTTACTTTTCTCGCTAATTCTTTCGCGCGTCAAATTTTTCTCAACATGTATCTGTTTTTCCTTTCATGTGGACATCTGCAGCAGACCTGTCTGCCGCTTGACGTAATTCGTAACTCAAGAAAGCGTCCTTAAGAGCCACAGTACAAAACTGGCGACCTTGAATTTATCTAAACTGGGAAGCTCAAAAGCCGCTGTTTAACGCGGGGTTCGTACACCTTTTTTTCGACCAAAACATTACGGCCTTTTTTAGGACAAACGAGCCCTAGTCAATGATCCAAGTAACTCGTTCCACTGGACATCTACCACAGCAGCCATAGACGTATCATTTCCAAGGCTGTTAGTCGCCACACTTCGGTATGCTCCGCTGTCTACTCGGCTCGCTTTGGTGATTGCCAACTGTTTTTTATATAGGCGCCAACATCTTTTTGAATTCGACAATCAATGGTCGTTAATGTTTACAGAAGACATGGCTGAACCAATTGAAATGACCTGCAAGACCAAAATGACTGTTTTCCACACTTTCGGGCTGACTTTCTACTGAATAAGTTAGAAGAATTCTCTAAATACCTCACTGGGCCCCACTTAAAACCGCCTTGGCTAGTTGGCCTCCTCCATTAAATATTATGATTATTATTATAAATACTTACATTCTACAACCAATGTAGCAGCATCTGAGCTGGCATTACCAATGCTGTTGGCAGCCACACAATGGTATTTTCCACTGTCTGTTCTGTACACATTTATTATCATCAACTTGTCACTCTCTGCTGAAAAACTGATCCTGGAATTGCTGCCAATAGAATGTCCATCTTTTTCCCATGATATTGCCAGTAATGGATTTCCAGTCGCGTTGCAAAATAAGGTCCTGTTTTTTCCTTCCTTTACCTTGTCATTAGAGGGATCAGTGATAATTTCCGGTTCATCTGAAACGAAATAGTTAGACGGATATGAATTTTGTCCTAACGCTTTATTTACTCAGTATCTCCATACAAATGGTACTTGGTTAATTATTCTGAAAAGCGTTCACCTTTTCGAAAAAAAAAATCCCCACTTTAAAGCAGACCCGTGTACGCTGATTATAAAGAAACAGGAGAATATATTAAAGTTTGGTCTTAGCTCTGCTGCCAGTAAATAAATCTTCGCACAGTGCTCACTTACATTGAACATTTAATATGGCAATTTTCGAGGAAGCGTTCCCAACTTCATTATAAGCGACACACAGGTATTTTTCCGCTATCTGATCTTTTCACATTCGTTATCTTCAACAGTTTGTTGTCTGCTAAAAAGCTGATCCTGTTGCTGCTTTTCGCGAGATTTCCATCTTTCGACCATGAAAGCACTGGCTCTGGATTTCCAGTAGCATTACAAGTTAATGTCACATTTCTTCCTTCTATTCTTGTGTCATTCTGCGGTTGAGTAGCTATCTCAGGTTGATCTACGAATTTTCAGAAAACCCACTTATACCTCATTCAAACCAAAGCGGAAACATGTTTTAAAGCTGTTTTGTTGAACACGGGTTTAAAACTGTTTACTTATTACTTCGCTTTACTTTTGAGTTTATTCTCCGATGACTGGGTTTTGCTTGTAGTTGTTTTGCGCTTTTCCATTTGTATTTAAAAATACAAACCCTAGCTCTTTTAGCGTGCTTCTGAACGTTGACATTCGCCGGTTTGCGAGAAGTAAAGAAATAACTTCTACAGCCCGCGCTTAATGTAACAAAGTTTCCCTTCCGTACCCCCAGTAAAATTGTCTTCTGAGCGACATTTCCCTTACCCCATCCCGAGAATTGCGATATTGTCAACGAATATTTTGAATCTCGCGCTCGGAAATTGGCTAAGCGTCGGTTCTTTCAAACCTTTGTTCTAGAAACAATAGAGCCTCTAAGCAGCAAACAATTAAAATGCCCATTAAAGGTACGTAATCCAGTGCCATTGTCTACCAAAAATTAAACACAATGTTTGATATGCCAAGAAACTGCTCAAACCGATTTTTGTCGACTTCAAATTAAGCACATTGGAAATACTATTGACGACTTGAAACCTAAGGAAAAATGTGTCTTTTAGTCCTATGTCATAATTTCATTCAGTTGAACTCAGTTTACTTAAATATGTTTTGCTAGTGTGAATGGATATTAACTAGACTATGCACTGTGGAATTAAACAATTCAGCGAGACAAATGACTCGTCTGAATAAAGAGAAACGTTTCCATGCGCAATCCGGGACTTACAATTCGATTACCGTTCGATCTCCATTTAAGCTTGCGAAAACTTAAGTGTCTGCTTCGCTATCACTTAAGAAATTTTTATCCCTACCTTTCCCAAACAAATGAACGTAAAAATACAAATCATTATCTAGGAAAAATCACTGTTGGTAATCTCTGACTGGTTTTGAAGCGAAAAGTTTCTATGACTGTAATATTTCAAGAAATGACAAAGCTGAAACGTAGCTTCAGCAGCAAAGGGGTACATGTAGGATACTGAAAATGTTCATAGAAAAATGGTAAACAAGGCTTGTGACTTGCAAGGCTTCTTAAAACAGACAGTTCGGAAAGTTCAAAAAAGGGTACAAACTTATGAAAAAAACCTATGTGCGCACTTTACAATAAATCGCCTTGTCTCACTTCTGCTAGCGGTACATAATTGTATTAATAGTACTTTACTTACATAGTACATCTAATATGACAATTATCGAGGTATCGTTTCCAACTTCATTATGAGCGACACATTGGTATCCTCCGCTGTCGTTTCTGTTCACATCTGTTATCGTCAGGAGCGAGTTGTTTGCTAACAAACAAATCCTGTAGTTAATTTCCACGAGATCTTTATCTTTAAACCACGAAAACTGTGTCTCTGGATTTCCGGTAGCATTACAAGTTAAGGTCACATTATTTCTTTCTGTTTCCGTAACATTCTGCGGATGTTTTGTTATCTCAGGGCGATCTGGGATGTACAAACAAACTCTCTCAGCAAGGCTATGCACATGCAGTGTTTTCACAATTATGTTACTATACAACAGGTTGTGCTCAAATTCTTGAACAAACATTTTTGCGTATATCTTGAACAAATGTTCAGTACAGTTTTTGCACGATGATGGAGATATAATGGAGTTATCAAACGTGTTTTACAAGGAGAAACTTCTTTCTCTTGTGGTTATTACTAAAGCTGTCATTTAAGATGTGTTCACTTCCAGCGTATTAACATCCTCAACCATTTAACTCCCAGATCAAACTTGTAATTTCTCCTTAATGTCAACCATAAAATTCTTATAATGTTAGTTCAGAGAATTTAGTATTGAATCAAATAATTATCACTGATCGCTATTATTCTTTATTCTCATTATTTGTGTGCTTAATATTGCATTGACACTGTAAGGAGAATTTCTCTCTTGGTCACTAATGGGAGCTAAAGGATTAAAGCATATTCCCAAACACCTCATTACGGCCATTTAGGGGAGAGTTTGTTCTCAGGCCAAATTATTTCCTACGTACATTTCGTAATCGTTTTCGAGGACTCAAAAAAGAAGATTTTAAAATATCCATTTCACCGTAGACGTTACTTAGAGGTATTTTCCGCAAGAGAGACTTTGCATATTATAATGCTCTGTTCTGTTTGTAATCGATATCTTTAAAGACAATCCAATGAACTTACATTTCACATTCAATTCAGCAGCTTTTGATGCATCGTTTCCAAGTTTGTTGCTCGCCACACATCTGTATTCTCCACTGTCCTTTCTGTTCACATTCGTTATCGTCAAAACTTTATTGACAACTGAGAAATTGACCCTCGAACTGTTAGTTACAGGCGATTCATCTTTAGTCCATAATGTTGTCAGTAATGGATTTGCAGTAGAATTACAAGACAAGGTCACATTTCCTCCTTCTTTTATATCCTCACTCTCAGGATGAGTAATAATCTCAGGTTTATCTGTAATTTTGAAATCAATCTTGTTAGCAAAGGGCAAATAACTGATAAACAAGACATCTGCATAGAAATGCATACATGACTGTACATCCGTTTGCTGTTCTAAAAAAAAACTGCAATTTCAAAAAAATTTTACTTTGCAAAAGACTAACGCGAAAGCATACATATAACATGATAACAAATTACATTATGCGACCGCTTGGCTCGCGGTCCGGTTTGCTTTTTTAGCGTATCTTTGCTCTACAGTCAGACAACTGCCTGATCATTCCTCAATCTTTCGGTGGAAGGACATAAGATGGTGCTACAAAAAGAAGCACTTTATGGAGAAAGGCTACATAACGTCAGATAACAGCATGCTCAAAAATCCTTCTCACGCACTCAAAAGAATTCAATCCGCTTACATGATGCGCATGACCAGGGCCCGTCCTTCGTTTATGGAAGTCAACGAGGTTGATTCTCGCTTCCATATCTGTTAAAAATTCTTTCTTCGAATAATGAAATAACGTCATTTACCTCCTTGAGTAGATGAATAAAACACTAACGGTAATAGGACGAAGAACCAGTGAAAAAGACGCCCTCTGAAGGTAAAAATTCCGGCAAGAAGATCCTCCATACATAGCATAGTTTGATCCAAAAGGAAGAAGAAAGAACGACCGATAAAGAATTAATTGTTGCTAGAGCTGCAAAAGCAATTATAATGAGGTATCTATATGACGCGCATACTGATTGGCTGGAACAGCGTGCTAAATCAGAATAAATTGTTCGGCCGAGCTCTAGGGAGCCAAGTAAATACTCGACATTTCATGATGGATTTATGGTACATCAAAAGGACTGCTAGTGCTTATTCATGTACAATGGCTAATTTAAGTCACTTACACTGAACATTAATCGTGGAAGCGTTAGAAGTATCCGTTCCAACTCTGTTTTTTGCTTGACATGTGTAATCGCCACTGTCTATTCTGTTCACATTCCTTATTGTCAACTGTTCATGGCTTGGTGAAAAAATGGTACTGAAGCTGTTATTTATAGGATATCCATTCTTGTACCATGATATTGTTGGAACTGGACTTCCAGTAGCGTTACAATATAAAGTCACGTTTTGACCTTCTCTTGTTGTGATATTTTGAGGATGCGTCACGATCTCAGGTTTATCTGTGGATAAATACAGTATTATCATTAAAAAAAATTATTTTAAAAAAATAATACAAGTTTTCATGTTCATGTAATAGTAATCTCTTTCCAAACGTATTTAACAGTTCTCACCTTGTCCGTTGTTTTATTGACTAAGCATGATAATTAAAATATATATACATACGTGTTACTCTGACCAAAACAAGAGAAAACGAATTTGTAGAGCTGACGAATAGTTAATAAATTCGTTAGATATTGCGTTTTGGTGCAGGAATTGTATAATGCCTATATTACATTTTCTATAAATTCGTATGGTAATCTCACAATACACAGCACCAAAAAATAACATACAGTGTACTACGTTTAGGGTTTGGAAGATGACAGTAACTCATGAGCAGTTTTCAAGGACGATCTCGTTGTAAATGTGGTACGGGAGAAAACGTTCTCTTCAGTTAAAGTGGTACAATTGTATTCTTACCTTATGGTTTCAAATTTGATAGCGACTCAAACCAATGACTGATTAATAAACGTTACTGAAGGAAATATTCTCCACCAATTGGCTAGTTTAACTGGTTATCATTTACCTTTGATTATGATCATTGTCGTATCCTGCATGCTGCCTAAAATATTTGTGACTTTACAGGTGTAATTTCGCCCATCCTTTAGGGAAGCTGCAGTGATTGACAACTGTATTTGACTCTCATTGAAAGATAGAATTGTCACTCTTGAATCATTAATCAGCACTGAAGTATTTCCAGCAATCTCAGTTCCTTCTTTTATCCATTGCACTTCAGACACTGGTGGCGACGCTTCATACCGACATATCAGCCAGATATTGCTGCCTTTGGCCAAATATTGCTCCTGATCGCCATCAATTGTAACCTCGGGTTGAACTGAAAAGTAAATAGCGTCGGTGTTAGAGCTAATAAATAATTCGAACGTGTGGCATGCAATTATCACTTTGTAGCTTTCTTGATGTCGACCTACATTTAACTTTTAACAAACAGACGATCACCAGTCGACGCCCCATGAATTTCACAACAGGCAAGTACTGGACAAGGTAACGAACAAAATGAAATAGATCAGATAAAATTTTCAATGAAATAAGTAAGAGAAAAATATTTGAGAAAAGGCTACAGCTGCAATACCCATTTCGGCATCAAGAACGTGCATGCAAAGGTAAATTGTGCTTCTGGTTAAAATAAACGACCATTTCATCCAATTTTCGTCAACGGAAGAGCAGTGAAATGACCACTTTTTAATTAAGGTTCCAGGATGTCAATGCAACTTATAAAGATTATAAATACAGTTATAACAAGTGAGACCTGAAAATCAAAGAGTGTACGACACTTACAAAGAACATTCACTTTCGAATTTGAGGTATCATTTCCAACTCTATTTCTTGCCACACATCGGTATTCACCGCTGTACGTTCTGCTTGTATTCGTTATTGTCAATAACCTATTGTCTTGTGAAAAGTTGATCCTAGAATTGCTGTTTATGGGAAATCCATCTTTGACCCAGGATATTGATGGTTCTGGATTTCCGGTGGCGTTACAAGACAGGGTTATATTTTCTCCCTCGATTAGAGTTTTCCCTTCTGGACGGGTGGAGATTAAGGGCAGCTCTGCGTGAAAAAGCAGCAAGAGTTGTTAAATTTGATATTCAACTTCCCCTCTTAACATAAGTGACAGAGTGAACTGGTGCTTCATTTTGCAACGTTTGTATTTTCAACAGAGGCTAAATGTTCTTTTCTTAAAACAGAGTACGTTAGTAGTTTTAACTTGTAAAAGTTTTAGAACAAACACTTTATCCCGCATAAGAGAGCTCCTGGTTTTCTAAGACAAAAATGAAGCAGGTTGAGTTTGATAAGCCTTTCTTAAAAAAGTGATTTTGGTGCTCCACGTGAACGATAAGGTCTTCACCTGCGATTGAGTATTTTTGTAATTAGACGGAGTAGTTCCATCCCGAAGATCTATGATTAGCTAAAGATTTTGCATGAATTTTTCCTGATTGCATTGATTCTGTTGTAACGTCACATGGGCTACAGTTCACGCACTAACAGGGCTCCCCTCTCGAACTGGTCCTCATTCCCCCTCTCTTCTCCATAATGAAAACAAAAGTCCGCCTCTCCAATAAGCAACTCATGCAAATGGTGAGGGAGCTAAGTAGCCCTTCTATGCCTCGTTAGAGCGCTTACGGTAAATGAGATTCCTACCGTTCCATGAATTTAAATTTCCAATAGTCAAAAGACTAGCCTTAATTAGTGAATACGAAGACGGTGGCCTCAAAATGCCTCACCCTGAATCTTTAATTAAAACTCAAAGAATTGTGTGTCTTGCAAGGTATTTAGATGATAATAGTAGTCCGTGGAAAGTTTTCTTGTCTCATTATCTTACGAATGTAGGAACCAGTTTTCTGCTTCAGTGCAATTTCAATCCATCGCGCCTACCCTGTAAACTACCTTCTTTTTATAAAGAATGTCTTGAAGTTTTGTCTGACTTTAATGGCAATCACGATATAATAGCTACAAAACAGGACGTTTTAAATGTGACTATCTGGAACAACCAGAACCTCTTGATTAACAAGAAATCAATATACAACAAGAGAATAAAAGAAGCAGGTTTTGTGAAACTTGGAGATATTCTCTCAAATGACTCAAAATTAAAAAGGTGGGACGCTTTTAGAGAGAAAAATCTCTCCTTGTCAGATTACTTACTCCTACAAGGAATTTTTTCCGCCATTCCGCCTAACTGGAAACAGCTCCTTAACGTTGGAGAGAATAATAACAACCGAATTGACAAAACTGTTTCAGACGATGTTCAAGATATAACTAGAATGACTTCAAAATCAATCTATTCCACTCTGGTCAAACGAATCCAGATTTCTCCGACTGCCCAATCTAAGTTTAATTCCGTATATAATATTTCAGGTAATATAGACTGGAAAAATATTTATCTATTGTCGGGTCGAGTCACTCTTGACGCCAGAACGAGAGCCTTTCAATACAAAATCTTAAATCGTATTCTCTACACCAATAAAATCCTATATAAAATGAATTTGGTTCCTTCTCCGATGTGTACCTTTTGTGGAGATCACGAAGAAACTCTTGAGCATCTTCTAATCAGCTGTACCTACACTAAAAACTTTTGGCTTTCGGTTATTTCTTGGTTAAATACTTACAATATGAAAATTGATAAGCTTGATGAGGTAACAATCCTCTTTGGTATTTCCGATAATAACCCTGGGAATTGTTTGTAAAATCACATAATCATTCTTGGAAAATATACCATTTATTCATGTCGTTGTAAAAATATCAAGCTGTCTGTATCCTTACTGAAGGCTAAAACATCTGAAACTCGGAAATTTGAATTTTTGATTGCAAAAAAGAATAAAAAAGAATCTATTCATTATAAAAAAATGGGAAAACATGTTATTGTAACTCAATAGATGAGTATCGGGTATTAACAGTTATAGACGCAGTTGTATATACAGTCGTTCTACCAAAAAAGGAATTTGATGTAGAAGTATTTGTACAAATTAGGCTTATATTATTATATAACCACAACATAAATTAAATCTAGCCGACTGTGAATGTAATGTAATGCAGTATTTCGTAATTAGTGTTAGTGAGTAGCGTAAGCGTTAGTGTAATTAACTTTGTATTTGTTTGTATTACTCTAGTATTTGTGCTTTAAGTGAAAATAAAAAAAAATGTTAAAAAAAAAAAAAAAAAAAAAAAAAAAAACGAAGCATAAATTTCATATATAACTAATAAATATCTTATATTTTTAAGAATCATTAATTCAGTTCCGCACCGTTTTGACACTGATAATGAAATAAGAATCTTTCCGCCTATTAAGGCCCATTAGGCAACTTGTCCTACGCCTTTCAAGCCAGTGTCAATTAAGGAGCATAATTATCTATAGCTTAGTCATTTCGACCCTATAGTTGGTTGTCCCTCAGACTTTAAAGATAACGAGACTCTGATGGGTGTTCAAAAATATGTGATCTAATGTTTGTATATAAGTTAAAGGATTAAAGAGGACGCATCGATTCTCTGTGACTCCGAGTTTCGCGCCTAAGCGCTCGTCAGGCAGAAAAAACTTTTAAGGTAAACTTTTAAAGGTAAACTTTTTAAGGTAAACTTTTAAAGGTAAACTTTTAAAGGTAAACTTGTAAACTTTTAAGGCCAAGTGAGACTTTTGCTTGGAAAGCAAGATGAACCATCTCAGTTACACAAGAAAAACTTCAGGTTTCATTTATTAAAAATCCTCATTACTTACAATGCACTTCCAAGGTAGTGCCACTGGACGTAACATTTCCAGGACTGTTTTCCGCGACACATCGGTACACTGCACTGTCTGTTCTGCTCACATTCTTATAGTGAGTTGCTTTCCTTCGTAAGACAACTTAATTCTGGAACTGTTATTAGTGTCCAAGGAAAATCCATTTGTGGTCCATGATATTGTCGGTATTGGATTTCCAGTGGCGTTGCAAAATAAAATCATTTTGTCTCCTTCGGTTCTCTGAATCATTCGTGGAAAAGGGCTGATCTCGGGTTTATCTATAGTCGTTAAAATGAGACAAGGAAAATCATCAACAGATCATATTATAGAAAAGAAAGTACCATTTTCAGTTGCCTCGAAAAGAGGTAGATCTGTCCCTTAGAAGTCGAAGCAGCCCAATTGGGGAACAAAATTTGAAACGGCGGAGACTGCGAGTCATAGATTGATCTAAAATATGTTCAGTTCAAAGCACGAGCAGATGACGTTATGATACCTTAAGCTTAAGTAATAAAATAAAGATTGTAACTAGTACATGGACATAACGCACCTATCAAATGAACAAGTTGTTCATTGATTAAACATATAGCAGTGCCAATCAATCACATTTTGATTGGGATTCTAACCCTTATACTCCTAAGAGAGACTAGCATCTAATTTATCCTTTAAATAGCACCCCTGAATCGAACATTAAGGTCATGATATGAAAAGAAATGATCACCAACTAACGAAGCTTTTGATTGTTATACGGATTCCCTTTATAAGCACCTTAGGAAATGTATAAAGAACAGTATGGAAAATATGAATACTGATACAAGGGTGTAGAGGGTTATTTGAGTGGATAAAATGTAAAATGCGCCAAAGACTGAAGGTTTCCCTAAGGCTCTCAAATGTGATAATGTTTAAGAGCGTGTCCACGAGAGCACCGTGCAGTCGTACTACATGCCATCTCACCGGTTTCAGTGAAACTTTGCCAGTTTAAAGGGTCTACCCCAAAAATCAAAAAGACAAACTGGTTTTTGTTTTGGTTTTTTCCAGGGGGAGATAGACCAACCCCCCCCGTTTTTCTTAGTTTTCACCAAGGAAATCGCTTCAAAATAAGTAAAATGTATGAAGTTCTCACTGCGATACTATTTAAACAATTACTCTGAGAGTTTGCACACATATTATTACATCCTTAATTAATGTCCGCCGCAAGTATCAGTCAATTTGATTGCTGGCTTTTCAATCAACAGAGGCAAATATACGACTGTGTTTTTAGACTTTTCGATTCACCCAAATATTTAACAACTTTGAGGTCATCTCCCGTTGACTGAAAGCTACAACGCTTATCTTAATTACCCTTTATAACCCATTATTTCATCTCTGAAAATCATCAAAAAAATCTTTGGGCACTATCGTATTTTTGTCTTGGATGCCTTTTAAAATCTGCGACTGTGACAAGTTTCTCACAACTACACCTGTCACGCAATTCTTGCTCTAGGCGGTTACTTGACCGAATAAACCTACATTTTTTTATACAAGATGATTAATCAAGAAAGGTGAAAAATGTGAAAACTTTCGAGATTTTTTGTAGGAATGGAAAATTTTACGTTTAGAGAGATGCATGTAGGCGACAAATCGAAGAGAAAATCGTAGCGTTTCTTTCTTCAGTTGTTTATTACTTTGGAGATTTGCTAAAATCAGCAGATATGGCTTTTGTACGGCACAAAACATTCATTAGTCTATAATTTGATCGTTTATCATCATCATCGCTCATCTTAGGAGATTTTAAAGTCACATGCTGTGTGTTGGTTGATATTACTACAAGTTCCAGTGTGCTACATCTTCGGCTTTACAGACGAGAAATTCTGCGCTCTCGCTTGAGGGCAAATATCAATAGTTCTATCAGACTAAAAACTGTGCTTCTATCCCGAAAATAAAATTAAAAAAGGGTTGTCGTTGTCACTTACCGCCATCGAACATTTCCATGCAGACCTCTGCTAAGCTAACATCTGTTGCGTGACCCGAAGACTCTCCGTAGGAATTATTCAAGCGCGTTGTTCATGCTGTCTGCTAGATAACAATTTCAGAATAATCTGCAGATTTCTATGATTATTTGCCTACTTCGATCGTAAAATATCTGCATATTTTTTTCAAGCATTCTATAACTACACAGAAATCTACATCTTTCTAGATCGAGTGTTGCCGGCGTTTAATTGTGTGACTTGTAAAATTTATTAAGAATGAGCCAGCAGTAATTTGACCAGTAGGCTTCCTGCAAATCTCCCTTGATGAAATCCCAAGACATAATCAGTTTTTTCGTGAGTAAAGACAATAAATATGAAAGAAAAGTGAGATGCCAATTTCTTTATTTTATTTTAGCTTAATAGCAGCTGTACCTTCTCCTGCAGTCTTCGTCTAAATTTTGCAAGGTCCCTCTTTATCTTCTGCCTTGTTCGGTCAGTTTCGACTTCTGAAGCTAGATCATTGGCATCGGCCTCTTCGTCCTCATTCATATTAACAGAGGGGGACCTCGTCAATAAACCAATTTTTGTTACGGCAGATAACCGGCTGAAGTATCGAGCGATTTGCTGCTGTATCAACCGGTCAGTCTTAGACAACATTTCTGGCTGGTGTCGTCTCTTAAAATCAATATTTGGGAAGTCACATTAGAGGTGGTTGCCATACTAGTTTCCTCCCCTGTTCAGCACACGTCTAGGAGATAATTCTTTGCTTTCTGAGAAAACGTGGCTGTTTTTTGTGTTTTCCAAAGAGCCCATCGAAAGTCCACTTGGCTAGTTAGGGACTGTTCGTCAGAATTTTACCTGAGGTCCGACTTTGAACGTAGCCATCCCCTATAGAATGGCAAGCCGGTCTTCATTCATTTCCTCTTGATCTTATCATAGGCGGATTTTTTTTGTCAGCTTCACTGTGTTTGTCTTTGTTAGGGTACTTTTGGATGGCAGCCAATGACTGAAACGTCTTGATACATCCTTCCTTTTAGCAAGAATATCTCGCTTTATTGTTCTCGCGATGACCCGCGTTCAGAAATCTGTGCACGTTGCTGATAACCACCCGCTTCTTCGATTAGTTTGCTGAAGGTTTCTAATGTGATGAGCCCAGTGAGAACCTGATATACTCCAAACTGTGCTAGTTGGTTTGCGCTATAAACTTTTCGCAGTTCTTAAGTCAGAGGGAGGATCGCCACCTCTATTTATGTGAGCGCCTATACAGTACCTGTGTATCCCTGGCAATCATATGATATAAAGTTAATCTCAGTCACAAATCACCAGTTAGGAAAACTGATGTTCAGATAAGCGCTCTTCTTGCCCTTCTTCCTTGTTCGTTGCCGACGCTAAGATAGTAGTTACAATACGCGTTCTATTAGGTTTATAGTCACCTTGCCACCAGAAAGACTCGCCACAAGCTTTGATTTCTTCTGCCATCTTCAGATTCACTTCTCTCTCAACTTTATGTCTCCGATTTTTATGAAGAGGATACTGGCATTTACGAACCCGAAGGTCTGAATCTCACACCAAGTTGTGCACGATATTTGAGGTATATCGTGAAATCGTGGCCTTCGTAATCTCCAAATAGGCCAATACGCGCTAGAATAAGCTTCCTCTCGGACAAAACGCATGTTTGGGATACATCGAAGTCTCTAAAATGTTTTTTTAAAGCTGTATACCCACGAATTTAGAGGTATGAGCTCTTGCCGTCCCTGGCCAGCGCGAGAAAAATTTGGTTCTACAGTTAGTTGCAAATTAACAAGACAACTGCACCATCTTGACTCTATAAATTCGAGTGTTAGGTTGAATTGAGGGCTTTTTAGACACTCGATTTCTTATATGCATCACTATGAAGACGTAATACAACTGATACACCTACACTACATAGGATTAACAATGTAAGTGTAAACTCTTTAAGAGTTTCAGAGACGTTTCAGAGGTGTCTATCTTCGGCTGTCACAGAAAATTGACCCCCACTTAAATTTACTGGGGAAAATGAACTTACTAACTCCTTGGTGAAAAAAATTGGAATTCATTTGACCGATAAGCCGGTGGTTTCAATTTTGCTTTTTCCTCGGGCTGCTATAAAGCAGTTCATAAATTGACCAGTGAATAGAATGTTCTGAAATACCGTTCGGAATTTGCCTTTTTTTTCCTGCATGCAAATCAAGGGTGAACAAAGTTTTTAAAACATTTGTCAAGAATTTCATGGGGTTTAACTCGTTTATTTTCGTCGGCCAGCGCTGCGTGAATTAACAAATATCAGGGGGTGTCAAAGACGCGCCAAGCTAAGCGACATTCGCCCTCCAGTAACATAATTTTCCAAAGAATAAATGTGGCTAGCGTGAGGAAACGCACATTTTTTTCATTATTGTGATCAAAGCCCAATGATGTACCTAAATTGGTACTTAAGGTATCAAACCGTTGATTATGTCAGGGTGAGCTTAATTTTTCTTCCGAGGTCGATGTTACTTCATTAAAAGGGTTTTTGACGGAACAAACTATTGAGCATCACTGCACGAACTGAGAAAGTAAAAACTTGTATTTGTCTTCCACGCGTTTCGTCTGACAATAGTAGACTTTATCAAGGATTTTTCAAGTAGGGTAAATAAGCTTGCTCATATACAAATAGTAAATAATTTGCCTCTTTACTATCGAAGCCAGTTGATAGAATTCGCCAGGTGTGCCTTCGGTGTTGTACATGCGTGACATTTTCCGGACGTTACACGCTCGAGTACGTGATCCGTTTGAGGGTCACAGATTCAGTGTAAATATTTGACCCCTCGACATCATGCAATATCTCTACTTTACAGAGGTCTTAGCACGTTTCATCACATGGATTTGCCTTATACGGCTAGAAGGTTAAAAGCGAATTTCTCAGGCGTAATTGCCTTTGATTTCTCAATTGATGTTGTCGCAAACACAGTTTTTGTGAGTCACGAGGACCTAGTTTCATGTTCTAATGGAAATAAATAGCAAATAAAAATACATTCTCTTGAAAAATAAAGTTATAAATAACGGGGGTTCTCGGAAACAAATAGTGATAGAAAAGGATTTCAGTTCTGGTCAATATTATACTTTTCATAGCCTACTTCCGAATCTGAGGGAACGCGTTGAGGGAATAAAAAAACATAAATGTGTGATAATGAAAGGAAGAGAATAAAAATACAAATAAAGAAAAAGGAGAAAACATAGAAACCTGTGTTGCAGCGTGCAGATATCTTTTGAGCCAGACCTATACACCTAAGCCCGACACCACCCAGAGAAATTCGAAAGGGTGCTATATATCTCCTGTTTCAGTTTCCTTACTGTAAACTTGCGATGATGATAATAGACAATCAAATTACAGGCTAATTAATATTTTGTTCTGTACAAAAGCCCTATTTCCTGATTTTAGCAAATCTCCAAAGTAATAAACGACTGAAGAAAGAAACGCTACGATTTTCTCTTCGATTTTTCGCCTACATGCATCTCTCTAAACGTGAAATTTTCCATTCCTACAAAAAATCTCGAAAGTTTTTCACATTTTTCACCTTTCTTGATCAATCATCTTGTATAAAAAATGTAGGTTTATTTAGTCAAGTGACCGCCTAGAGCAAGAATTGCGTGACAGCTGTAGTTGAGAGAAACTTGTCACAGTCGCAGAATTTAAAAGGCATCTAAGACAAAAATAAGGTAGTGCCCAAAGATATTTGTGATGATTTTCATAGATGAAATAATGGGTTATAAAGGGTAATTAAGATTAGTCTTGTAGCTTTCTGTCAACGGGAGATATTTGACCTCAAAGTTGTCAAATATTTGGATGAATCAAAAAGTCTAAAAACGCAGTCGTATTTTTGCCTATGTTGATTGACAAGCCGTCATTAACTAAGGATGTAATAATATGTGTGCAAACTCTCAGAGTAATTGGTTAAATACCATCACAGTGAGAGCTTCAAACATTTTACCTATTTTGAAGCGATTTCCTCGGTGAAAACCAAGAAAAAACGGGGGGGGATGGTCTATCTCCCCTTGGAAAAAACCAAAACAGTTTGTCTTTTTTAGTTTCGGGGTAGACCCTTTAAACTGGAAAAGTTTCACTGAAATCGGTGAGATGGCATGTAACACAACTGCCCGGTGCTCTCGTGGACACGCTCTTAAGAGGTTCTCACGCTAGTGTAAGATATTCAATCAACGTGACTCCTAGTTCCTCAAGGAATTCTACATAGTCATCTGTCACAGGCAATGAAATGAGCGAACAATTTTGAAACAAATTCCTTTTTTCCAATTTTCATGCAATAAAATTGAAAGTCGCACCGAAATAAATGATGAGGAATCTGTTGGTTTAAGAAGTGCACGTGAATATAAAATGAAATGAGAGACTTGAGCTTTGGTTAGTACGTTGGACCTCATGACTTTGGAAACTCATTAGTCCAAATAATTGTTTTTGGCCATAAATGGTTTACAGTCTCCCCGTGATTTAATTAGTAAATGTTACTTACAAGGCATTTACCACTTCATCTTCAAAAATTTCCATGCATTCTTAAAATCTGAAAGAAATTTCTCATCCATGCAAAGTGATAAAATAATTGTCTCCCTTATGACAAATTGTACTTACATAATACATCAAGTGTAGCCACTCGGGAAGAAACATTTCCGAGCATATTGGTCGCCATACATTGGTACTCCCCGCTATCCATTCTGATAATACTTGTTATCGTCATTTTCTGTCTGCCTTTTGAAAAAGCAATCCTAGGATTGTAAGTTGTATTTATGTGAGAACCGTAAAAGATCCATGATATATTCGGTTCTGGATTTCCTGTAGCGTTACAAGACCAAGTGATATTTTCTCCCTCCACTTTTGTGGCATTCAAGGGATGAAGGACGATCTCCGGTTGATCTGCAAATAACCAACAATATCTCGACTGATTTTTTTGGTGCAGAAAAGGACATCATCTATGAAGTACAATGATCTGTGTGTGTGCTTCTTTATCTAGAGTTCCCCTGGAGGCTCTTTTTACCCTAACACCACTTTTAGTTGTTTACTATGCTTGTTTACCGAAATTTCATTAATTGTTGTTTGTTAAAACATAACCAAACTATGCCGTTTCCTAGTTACTTGGAAGCATTTAAAAAACACCCGCTATGTAACTACCCCATCAATGCTTCGTAAATTTATAATTTGACGATACCTAAAAAATAAAGAAAAAAATGGTAAACTAGGGTTGTAAATCACACATATCAAAATCGAGCAAATAATTTACCCAATTATTTAAATGCGACATTATTACTCTTACAAACACCGCACGGTAAACTAGAGCCGCCAGTCCAGGTATGGCTCAATGTTCAACTTATAAGTTAGAACTATCATTTATTATTTAATTGTCTAAGTGACAAAGTTTAAGGCTGCTGATATGATTTTCTTAGTGTGCTGTTGTAATCTTGTTTTCATAGGTACTTTGTACTTACACAGTACTGAAATCTCCACTGTAGTTGAAGTTGAAACCATATTTGGTTGAGATGATATTTTTAACGTGAAGCTTCCCATCTCCGATCTTTTCACTCCGAGGAGAGTGATTGATGTGTAACTATTGGTAATGTTCGCGTGTAAGCGACCTTGGTACGAGTTTGCCATGAAGAATGCGCCGAGAAATTTGTTCACCACTACATTACTACCTATTTGAAAGGTCATTGAAAGATATGATTCACTTTCGCCAAATGTATAGCCCCATTCAAGGGTAATGTTGTCACCTTCCACAACAAGAAATGGGTTTTCAGGTTCTTTAGTGAAATTCGTTGCACCTGATGATACAAACAATGAAAATTTACCTTATTAAAAATATAACTTAACGTTGAACTAATACACACATTTCGCTGTACAACTTCACGTTATGACATAGCTAGCAAATTTAGGAACCCATATTCAAAAGCGCGAGCGTGCTTCATAGTCTTGCTGTGCACGCTATTGACGTACAATTGTTGTTTTTAGTTTGGGAATCAGTTTTTGAACTGATTTACTTTCAATAGCGCTTGTGTTTGTTAAAATACAATTCAGTTTCGATTTATTGCACGCTGTCTTTCTCAAAAGTTTTCCGGATTGTGAGAAGACAACTTCCAAAGTACTGCGTTAACAATGTTATAAAACAGTTGGTTCACACGTCAGCTGTGCGTTTATGGGATATGAAGCACTTGAGAAGTTTCTCGTGTGCTCTCCAAACTTTCCGCGTTCCATATGTCAATGAACGCACGCTGAGAAAGGAACCAATTGTTAATTCTTAGGACTAAAGGAAAAGTAACATCAGAATAAAGTTGCTTAAATACTGTGAAAATCTTAAAACAGTGTTAGCATTTCATGGGAATATTTCGACCTCAGCATTTTTAAAATTACCTTTAAGTGTCCGCATTTAGTTCTCTTTTTTTTAGTACTATTTTCATTTGAATTATAAACTGAATTATGCACGCATTTTCATTGGTTATCACCTAGGCTCTACTGGGGGTAGATGCATGGATGACGTCATAATAAACAGCTTTTGCTTGTTCATTTTTAACGACAAATAGATGCCTTGTTTCCGCGCGTCAGTGTTTACTAACACATCACAAAACAAGTCAAACATTATTATCCATTATTATAATTAAGTTCGGATATTCATGGGTTGAAAGAGCGTGCTCTATGTGAGTGTAGAGCATAGAGCTAAAGCTGTCACGCCATCTGCCAAATTGTACCATGTCTCTAGTTTTTCTTTTCTCTAGTTTCTCTAGAAGTGGAGAGAAATACTCGACTACATCTCGCGTTTCTCCCTACATTTCTTTTGTGCTCTAGCCTCTTCCTTCGTGCTTTACAACAGAGCAGAGCACAGTCAAGTCTTCTCTATTTGTTAATTGGGAAAATGACAGTTCATAATATATTGTACGGACAGACCTTGCAGTCAATTTTCAAACAGATTTAGTGTATTGTGCAATCATCCACTGTAGAGGCAAATTTTATGACAACACCTAGATACCTTCCTATCTCACGCGTAGTTGGCGAGTAAGCTACAGCGTTGTTGTTATTATTTATATCTATATGCGATTGTGTAACAATGAACTCCCTTAAAAAACTAGAAATCAACAATCAGAAAGTTCTATTTCCTCATATATTTCTTCATTTGATCCCCTCTTGTTTCCTTCCTTGGGAACTACGTTGTAATACCCAGCGTTCACGTGGCTCCCTTGTAAGGATTGGTATTCAGGGGGGACTCGTGTTTGTCCTTGCGAAGGCCTGGGGCGTAGCTCCATATATGACCCTGGTTCTGACGCATGCTGCTCAAGCGGAAAGACAGACTGGACAGTATCTCTACCGGTGGATTTCTTAGCAGTCGCTGGTCTGTTGCTCGCCTGAGCTCTTTTAAGCCTCCATATCAATACACCAATAAAAAAAAGCAACACAAAAACAATGCATGACCACGCAATGTCACTGGCCTGAAAGATGCTCTGTACATCTGTTCAAAAAGAAAAGAAAATATACAGATAAATAGAGGTACACTGAGTGAAACAAATCCCTCGAAATCACATCATTGATTATTATGAAACATAATAAAAAAAAAATCAAACCCTTCTTCGTTAAAAATAAGTCAAAACGAAATTCAAATTGAGTAAAAAAGGCAATTCTAAAGTTATAAGTGGCATAGAGGTTGGCATTATTTGATCCTAGTGTTCTAATCTAAATTAATTGTAAATGATGGCCCAACGTCTTGTTTTTTTATTGTTTTGTTTGTTTGTTGTTGTTGTTGTTTTTTTATTTTTGTTTTGTCATTAGTCCTTGTCATTTTTACACTTATTAAGTATTTTGCCTCTTAATCGTTTCGTTTTATCTTTTTTTTTTCGTTTTTAAACGCATTTGCTTAGATTTTGGCCCTCTGTAGGTTCCTCTGGTAATACACTAAAAGATAAGAAACAAAAAAAATATAATTTAATTTCAAATTGAGGAGGCTCCACAGGGTTTTTTGTCAATGTTGGTGTGCACGCCAGCGTAATATTTGCTTAAAAATTTTTATGATTTCGCTTTTCTATGTCACTAAATGTCATCAAAAGGCGATAAGCAAGGTTCGGAATATCGTTTGCTTAAATAAATATTATCAAAATGATTTTCGTTATTTAGCTAAGGCTTCACGAAGGGAGGCGCTCGTGATAATTTGGCTTTGCCTTTGATTTTCTTCAGTTTGCCCCGCTGAAATCTCTTAAAAATTTACACAATTTGCAAAATATGTCCTGGCGATCATTTAAAAGTCGAAAAAAAGAGGGGTTACAAAGGATGTTTCTTTGCTACTTGCAATTTTGTGTTTTCTTCCGTTATTTCAAATTTAGCCTTACGAACTTTTTTTTTATCAAGAGGCTCTAGAAAATCTTAAGAAATTCCACCGATGGAAACACAATAAATCTTGCTTGAAAGATCCCTATTTTCTTTGTCGCAGAACATTACGTAATGGAATAGAACTTCGCCATAATCTGTATCTGAGCATTCGTAAACTTTCGATTCCGTCGCCTTTTAGCAATCTTTCCCACGGTGTTTTCTGTTTAATTGACCTCTTTTTTTCAGGCGTATAAGGCCTATGAATATTACGGGTGCAGTTGCTGAAAATTACAGATTCCATCACAAAAAAACTGTATTGGGTTAAACTGTGATCGTATTGAGCCGCCATGTTTGTCTTGCATGTTGACACTTTTAAAGCTGGTGTTCGCACCCAGATTTCGCGCGGTCAAAAAACCCTGAAGAGCCTCCTTTAACGTTTCATGCAAAACTTGTTTGACATAGCACAGGCGGCTCAAGCTCTAGCTGTGAGATGATCATCTTGCAAAATAAGAGTCATGGCGAAATTATGAAGGTTGTAGGGGAATATTAACGACCGCCAGGAGCCCATTCCTGCCACCGCTCTTAGGAATAAAAAATACAATGAAATTCTCAACAAAAATACCTTACCTTACCTCCACAGTGCATCGCTTGTTATTTGACCGCTTATTATGTTGAAAAGAGCCCACTTTGGCGAGTTATCCTTTTCTAGATTTACCACGTACATAAGAGAAGCCTAAGGCTGCACACTCCATTTCCAAACGCCCGATCCGAAAAGCGAAAAATCCAAGCTCAAAAGGACTGGGCGGCCACAAATCCATCGCAGAATCTAAGCACATATACTGTAGTTTAATTTCAATTCACTAAAGACTCAATCTTCCTTGTGAAACCGACGCTAAACAGCATTTCTCTTCAAAAATTTCCAGTTTTCTAACCCTGCCTTCTTTTCAATTTGAGCCTCGCCTCACTGTCACCTATCATCTACAAATTGTTTTAGAACCACGGGTGTCAAGTGACGGTGTGGTTCCCGGCAAGGCACAATTTGCAAATAAGGCAGGGTTATCATGCCAGTGTTCAACGGTCGTGTATCAGGGTGACTATGTACGCGGGCCGTTAGAAACGTGTAAACTAGAAATTTTTGAGGCAAACTGCGGCTTAGCGTCGGTTTCACGGAGAAGATTGAGTTTAGTTTTTAGTGAATTGAAATGAAACTACAGTATATGTGCTTGGATTCTGTGATGGGTTTGTGGCCGCCCGGTCATTTTGAGCTTGGATTTTCCGCTTCTCGGCTCAGGCGTCCGGAGATGGAGTGTGCAGCCTTTGGGCTTCTCTTATGTACGTAGTAACCTAGAAATGGATAACTCGCTAAAATGGGTTCTTTTCAACGTAGTGAGCGGTCAGATAACAAGCGATACATTGTGGAAGTAAGGTGAGATATATTTTTATTGAGAATGTGATTGTATTTTATATTCCTAACATCGGTTGTAAATATTCCAATACAAACGTTTATAATTTCGCCATGACTCTTATTTCGTACGATCATCTCATATCTCACTGTGGAAGTAGTTAAGTATCCGTAGACACTACCTACGCAATCAGATATAACTATAAAGGATCAATTGTTTCTTGAACGTTGAAAGCGTTTAACATTGACAACACTTACTATTTTCTTCCTTTCTGCTTTCTGACAAAGTTATTTTGTAAGTTGTAGATCCAAATGAGTTCGTGGCGTGACAGACATAATCTCCAAAGTCTTGATCATCAAGAGGAGTGATAATAGCACTGTTGTTCATGACCTTGATGTTATGGCCATCTAAAGCCTGGCCATTCCTTGTCCAAGAGTAGTTAAATAGAATGTCACTAGTCGCGTGGCATAGCAAAGAACATGAAGTTTCCTTCGCACATAGAACTGATCTAGGGGAAACGTCTTTCATGATGCTGGGTGGCACTGAGTTTAAAAAGAAGGTAAGATTCAGCATCTTTCATATAGCCAAAAAATAAGAGTAGGTGGCGTTTGCAGGAGAACGTCTAATAAAAAAAACTTCCAATACTTTCTGAAAGCTGAGAAGCATAATTTCTACCCATAATTTGAAAGTTCATGGGGTCCTAGGTTCGAATATTTCATTCATGAAATCTGACATCAATCGTATTTAGCTTCTGCTCGCGTAAAGGAAAAATTTCATTTTGTGGCCAGTCATACCACGGTTGATGATACTTACCAGCAATGATCACTGCTGTAGCTGTTCGGCGTTGGCCAAAAATGTTTGATGCTCTGCATTCATAAATGCCTCCGTCACTAGGTGCGACCTCTTGAATGACAAGAATGTGGTCATCGTTTCTGAACTGAGCCCGTGGTATACTGGTATTTCCATCTTTACTCCATGTAACAGAAGGCTTAGGATCTCCAGTAGCCTCACATGTTAATACTACCACATCGCCAACTTGAAAAATGGTTCTTTCCGGTAGGTCTTTGACGGCGGGCTCGCCTGGTAGAATTTCACTAAGTTAGCGGCAGTTTTTACAACAATAACAAAACGGAAGGATCCTTTTCTCAGAGAGAAAAAGAAATTACCCGGGATCTACCTTTTAAAGGGCATATGAAATAAGGGTCTCAATGAATTTGAATGCGAGAGCCTAACAAACGGGACGTCTCTCAGAGAAAATAAAGAAACTAGTACTCCGTGATTTATTGCCTAAAGGGTTGTTGAAGTAGCTGTTCATTGACATAAACAATAAATAATTTATTTGTTCGAGTTGGTTGAAAATTTGTCGTTTCAGTGACAAACGAATTCTATGAACTTTACCTTTGGTTTCAATCGTTACGAAGTTACTAGAAAAGTACACCATCTGCAATAAAAAAAGCAGGAAGAAAGAAATCATCCATAAAACTCTAAGATTTTTTTCTGTACCCAAAGTATCTTTACTTGTTCCCCATCGTGCAATTGAAATCAAAGGCGTCAATGAAGAATACATCTGACGGACCGATTGACTGACTGATTGGCTGAAAAGTGGCACGTAACTTGCTAAGCGATGGTTGAATGTAATGCGAGATTGAATTTTGTCCTATAAATTTGCATTTTCAAAAGAGGACGTTCGTCACTTTACCTTCTCTATAAAAGCTCTGAGAAACACTCTGTAATTGGTATTTGGCTGGAGTGGTTTGTTTAGAAAGACCCCCCCATCACTGCCTCTCCTATTTCTTGGATTACCGCTTGAATGTCCTCCATCTCCAACAACAAATTTTCGGAACACATCAAAGTCCTGCCCTCTAAACTGAAAAGTGACATACGCTGCAGGAACCGGAGATTTGTGGGCCTCTTCATACGTCATTAAATCCTTCGGTGTAAAATTCTCAGGTGAGTTAACCACACCAGTATAGTCCAAGCTGTATCTTATAACAATGACTTGAAAGAACCTGTGAAGAAGGATGTTCATTAATTCCGCATAAAGCTTAGAAGATTTGCAAATTCTTCACTTAAAAAAGAAAAAAGAGTTAAATAAAAGGGCTCATACTTTGCATTCCCTGGAAAGCGTGGTAATGTTATGTTTGCTGTTATGCCTTCTCCACTTGGAATCTGAGAGAAGGAAGGTGGAGATGGTGTTTCTTTTGACCACGTTTGGGATAATTTCAAACCTGTGCAAGCAAAAGAAAGGACCGAACTTACACCCACATTGAAAATAAAAACTCAATAGGTTAGTAATCTGGCTACACTATGTCATTGGGAAGCAGGCAACGAAAATGCTGAACACTTTGCCGTGTTTGTTAAGGTTTAGGATAAGGAAAAGGTACGGGACACAAAAAAAATTATATAACTTGATGAAAACTCTGCAACAGATCATTAGTTTCACTTTTCCAACCTACTTTTTGTTTGAGCGACTATAGCTTTGCTATAGGGTCCAGGCCCTGCCACAGTGTAACCTCTAACGGACACTTCATACTTTGCGCACATCCAGAAACCAGTCAGTAATACACTTGATTTGGTTGTGTTCATCGCATGAAAGGTAAAGTCAACCTTCAAACAGCTCTCCTTTAACTCGAGACGGACTTCATAAAGTTTAATAACGCCATTTGCCGCCTCTTTAGGAAGTTCTGCCCAAGTGATTTTGTTTGTCGTATAGTTTACTTCACTAAATGAAACATTTTCTGCTCCGCGACTTGGTTCTAATGGAGGAAAACCATTTAATAACAGTTTCACATTTAGTTATCGGTGAGTACGAAACGCTCCATCATAGAATGTTAGTTTAAAATCAAATGATCTCTTGCAACTGATTCAAGGCGTATCAAATCCATTACGCTGCAGTGAACAGAAAACAGGGTGCATAAATTTTAGAATTTAATTTTTTTTTTTACCACAGCTTCATCTTACACTTTGAATCATTGTATTCAAGAACAGACGGCGAAACAAAGGAAACTGAAAGTATATAATGACTAAGAGAAATTATCGTTTCTAACTAAAGAATCGACAAAACAGACTGTACACAAATGTATGCATCGTTGCACACCCTTACAGTTGGCAAGATAGTAAATACCTGCATCATTCGTACCCCTGCACATTCTTTGTTTTACGAGCACAATTTTGTTTACAGCAAAATTCTAAAGCCTCAAACCAAAACAAAAAAAAAATAGTTTCCTGACAATGAAATTGCACCTCTTCCTTCCTACCCATCATATAATTTGCCATCTTCGCCTGTTCTTTTTTCAAAGTAGTGATTGGAGTGACGCAATGGAAGAGTGATTATTTAAGACTGTAACAAGTGGAAGTTCAGTCATTACTCTTTCTCTCTGGCTTAAGGAAACAAGTTACTTACGTGCGTACACACAGTAAATCAATCTCAAAGTTAGACTTAATAATAGTGTTAACAGTATTTAGTTCTACGGACACTGCTCTATTATTTTGCTGTAATTTTACAACAACCGAGGCAACATTTGCTGGTCCATTTCAAAAAATGGGAAATGCCAACACTCTAATGCTATTGTTTTTAAAGATAATGTAGCTTCCGGTGGCTCACAGAGTTTTATAGGTTACATCAAGATGTTAAAAAGTAAATCATTATGAATTTTAGCAACTTTCATAAAGTTTACTTCGTCAATCTTCCATCACCCTATTTTCACGAAAGCTTGTATCACCAGATATTCTACTGTCGCAAAATCTGTGAACGTGAATTTTGCAACACGATCAAAACCAATAAAAAATCCCCGGAGACTATGAAACACTCAATATCAAAGAGTAATGTTTATGTGTCCATGGGAAAAACTGCTATGAAAAGAAACAAATCTTCCATAAAGGAATGGATATTGTTGCTGATATGATGCGGTTAAATGCAAGAACAAACACAATAAAAGAAACAATGACAGCACAGATGTTGACATAAAACTTACTGTCTTCCAGTGTCTCTACAACCTGGCCAACACTTGCTGGTCCATTCCCAAAAGCAGTAAATGCTAACACTCCAATGCTGTAGTTTGTAAACTCATTCAGATGATCTAAAGTGACTGTTTGTCTTTTATTCTGTTGCGCTTTGGTGATATTGAGAAACTTGGCGGCCATGTCACCATTTGGTAAGGCTTGATAATTCACTTTATATCCTTTGATAATTCCATTTCGATCATCAGGAATGACAGGATCCCAAGAGACAAAGATACTTATAGAAGATGTCGCACTAACTGTAACAACTTGTGGTGCATTACTTGGTACTAAAGGCAAAATCATGAAGTTAAAAAAGTACATCTTCGATTAATCATATCAGCAACAATTTTTTGAGTTTCCACTCTCACTCTTATAAGTTCGTTGGCCACAGTAGGGTTCTCTAGGGGAGAAAATGTGAGTATTATCTGATTAAAGGTTTAAGTTAAAGACTTTACAAATTCACTTAATAGCAATCGTGAAAATGTAGCTTTAACTATTTTTTCGTGCATTTGAAGAAGTACTTCTCAACATTGAAACGAGACTGACAATAAAAAGATTATTTCCAATGCCTTCTTTGTTTATCAGTACAAATTAATCAGTACATGAAACATTGAACATCATGTCAAAACAATGTTTCAGGCTTACAGCCAAATTTATTGATTTGATTTGAAAGAAAACAAATGAAATCATTAAGTCAAACTCGCAATGTATCAAGGGTAAGTGCCAAGACAGGGAAGTGTTTCAAAGTTCTAGTCGATTCGTAACCTTGCCGTTTTAGGACACATTCAAAAGACATAGTTGATAAATAAAAAACACAAAGATAAGTACTTAACACCGGAATCTGTATCTTTTGTCAGCGAAATCAGTTGAAAACAAACAGTTGGTGATAGTATAGGATCAAAATCTTAACGACTGATAAAAACTGACTAAACGAAACGGCCTCGTAAGTTATCGCTCGGATGATTGAAATCATTATTAATATTTTTATTATTATTATTATTATCATTATCATTATCATTATCATCATCATCATCATCATCATCATCATTATCATTATTATTATTATTATTATTATTATTATCAGTATTATTATTATCTTTATCATTATCATCATTTTCATTATTATAATTATTATTATTATAAAAAATCACAGTCTATTGCTTGATTTGGCGGAGAGCGCCAGGGCAGGAGAAATTCTCCCGGCCAGAGGTGCCTACTAATGAAAGTCAACATGAGGGAGACGTCTAGCTCATGACACGTCGCTACTACGTTTTGTAAGGCGTTTTAATACACGTTATTATATCGCTGGCAGAACTCGTGGGGAATATGAAGCAAATCCTGTGTTCTGATTGGCTAACCGAGTGGGCAAGGTGAGCTCATCCTGCTTGCTCGGGATTGCCCGCTTTGACCCCGCTAAAGGAAAGACTTAGGTGGAACGGACTTGCAAAGTTCGCAACTGTTGAACAATGTCGGCGATGTAGTCGCAAAAAGTGGCAGAAGGCAATAAAATAAAGAAAACAGAAGACTCTCCTAGGTATATTGTGCTGCAACAGTTGCGTCTCTTTCCCGGCTTTCAAATTCAACATATCATTCTTGAGTCTTTTTAAAGCGAAATCTTTTTCCTCTACCAGAAATTCTTTATCAGTAGGCTTGTTTGGTCAAGATGGCTGGATATCAGTCCTGTTGTTTTATTTCGTTTTTATGGACCTTAACTTTATTCAGGTCCACAAAAACACAGAAAAGACCTCGGTCAACATGGATTTCACTGTTGTTTGACCCCTTCTTTTTCAACAAAATGAAGACCTTATCAATAACGTCTATTTCAACGTCTCATAAAGCGTGGCGAGCGACATCATGTATTTCGTGGCCTGACGAAGCATTTTCGCGAAGGTCTCCGTTTGTATTTTTTTTCTTTCCCTTTTTCCCTTTCCCGAATGTCCCAGGTCATTTGGCTGACGTATCATTGGTCATTTCGTTAACGTCATTGGCATACAATTTCACTAACATCTCTTTTCAGTTTTCTTTTCTTCGAAATAGCGACAGTTAAAATGTTGTAAGAAAATTGACAGTGCTGCCGATATAATGCAATTAGAAGCAAGAAGAAACACAATAAAAGTAACAATAACAGCACAGATTATGGGAAATAAAACTTACTGTCTTCCAGTGTCTCCACAACCTGCCCAACGCTTGCCGGTCCATTTCCAAAAATAGTAAATGCTAACACCTCAATGCTATAGTTTGTAAACTCATTTAGACCAGCTAAAGTCACCGTTTGTCTATTATTCTGTTCTTGATTAGTAATATTGAGGATCTTGGCGACCAGGTAACCATTTGGTAATGCTTGATAATTCACGACGTATCCTTTGATAATTCCATTTCGATCATCAGCAATAACAGGTTCCCATGAGACGGAAATACTTCTAGAGGATGTAGCACTAACTGTAACAGCTTGTGGTGTATTACCTGGTTCTAAACACAAAATCATGATATTACAAAGTACATCTAACATTGAATATATCGACGACACTTTTTAAGTCTAAACTTTCAATCTTACATGTTATTGCAATTTCAGGAGTTAAAAAATGATGTTTAAGAGAACCATCTTTACAAGTTGTTAAAGAAGCTGTGAACAGTTTCCAAACGAATGCGTTCGCATTGAAAAATAAACAAATAAAAGAATGAAAAATAATTCAATAATTTTCACAAAAAACAATACCCTCGAAACAAACTAGAACGGAAGGAATATTGCCTACTACTTTTTGGTGCACAAAGATTTTGCATAAAAAGTAAGAAGCTCTGAAGTAATTAACATTACCAACAAAAATCCGGAATACCTTAAAAGAATAAAAGGAAATCTATTCAGAAGACTTAGCCTTTAGCGGCCACTGGATTTTAGGGTTACAAAGTACATCTCAATTTTCGCAACTTTTATAAAGTTTACTTCGTCAATCTTGTACGTCAATGTATTCTCAAGAAGGCTTGTACGACCAAAATGTGAGTTGTTGCAAATGCCGTGAAAGAAAACTTCCACTGCTGAAAGAGACCCTGAGAGTTACCTACTGTCAACAACATATATGCCTTTTGCTATCTGTTACATTAATACTTTGCACCAAATATGAGAACATCAAAAATAAAATAGAAAGGCTGGAAAAATACAAAACACTCAGTATCCCAAAGTACTGTTTCTGCGTCCAATATGATTTCATTAAATGCAAGAATAAACACAATAAAAGTAACAATAACAGCACAGATGCTGGCATAAAACTTACTGTCTTCCATTGTCTCCACAACCTGGACAACGCTTGCTGGTCCATTTCCGAAAGCAGTAAATGCTAACACTCCTATACTGTAGTTTGTAAACTCATTCAGATTATCTAAAGTGACTATTTGTCTATAATTCTGTTCCTCATTAGTAATATTGAGGATCTTGGCGACGATGTAACCATTTGGTAAGGCTTGATAATTCACGATGTATCCTCTGATAATTCCATTTCGACCGTCAGCAACGATAGGATCCCATGAGACGGAGATACTTCTAGAGGATGTCGCACTAACTGTAACAGCTTGTGGTGCATTACTTGGTTCTAAACACAAAATCATGAATTTAAAAAGTACATCTAACATTGAATATATCGACGACATTTTTAACTCTAAACTTTCGATCTATCATGTGATTGCAATTTCAGGAGTTAATAAATAACGCTTAAGAGAACTATCTTTACAAGTTTCGAAGAAACTGTGAACAGTTTCCAAACGAATGCGTCCGCATTTATAGAAAAATAAACAAATAAAAGAATGAAAAATAATTCAATAATTTAACAAAAAACAAAAAACAAAACCCTCGAAACAAACTAGAACGGAAGGAATATTGCCTACTACTTTCTGGTACACAAAGATTTTGCATAAAAAGTAAGAGGCTCAGAAGTAAACAACATTACTAACAAAAATCCGTAATAGCTTAAAAGAAGAAAAGGACATATATATTCAGAAGACTTAGCCTTTGGCGGCCAATGGATTTTAGGGTACAAAGCATTTACAAAGTACATCTCAATTTTTGCAACTTTTATAAAGTTTACTTCGTCAATTTTGTACGTCAATATATTTTCGAGGAGGCTTGTAAGACTAGAAGTTGAACTGTCGCAAAGAGCCGTTGAAAGGGCAACTTGCGGATAAGTAACTCCGTAGACTTCTGATAACGACACATTTCACGGAGTGCAACTGTGCCTGGTCTGTAACGGTGAGGTTTCTTCACGCCACCCGTAGCGGGAGCACTCTTGCGGGCCGCCTTAGTGGCTAACTGTTTACGAGGAGCTTTTCCACCTGTTGATTTCCGGGCGGTTTGCTTGGTACGAGCCATAGCCAACAAGATTGGACGCTTCAGTCTAGTAATCTTCAGAAAATTTACGCTTTTCTCGCGATCTCCAGTGACAAAACCGATTTTATAACAAGCGCTCAACGATCCGATTGGTTATCCAAAGTTTGCTTGTGATTGGCTGCGGTGAATTTCTTTGTTCGGGTACTCTTTTTTTCCGAGGACGAGGCGGAAAGTAAATTTAGTAAACTCTGACCTGCAATTTTTCTCGAAACTGCCCTCGGTTTTCAGTCGCTCGCCTTCAGTGAGTACTCTCGAAAAAGTAATAAACTAATTAGTGAGTGAGTGAGTGAGACTGAATTTGACCATGGATTACTTTGAAGGTGCGCTAAGAGTTACCTACTGTCAACAACATATACGCCTTTTGCTATCTGTTACATTAATACTTTGCACCAAACATAAGAAAATCGAAACTAAAATAAAAAGGCTGGACAAATATAAAACACTCAGTATCCCAAAGTACTGTTTCTGCGCCCAATATGATTTAATTAAATGCAAGAACAAACACAATAAAAGTAACAGTAACAACACAGATGCTGGCATAAAACTTACTGTCTTCCAGTGTCTCCACAACCTGGACAACGCTTGCTGGTCCATTTCCGAAAGCAGTAAATGCTAACACTCCTATACTGTAGTTTGTAAACTCATTCAGATGATCTAAAGTGACTGTTTGTCTTTTATCCTGTTGCGCTTTGGTGATATTGAGAAACTTGGCGGCCATGTCACCATTTGGTAAGGCTTGATAATTCACTTTATATCCTTTGATAATTCCATTTCGATCATCAGGAATGACAGGATCCCAAGAGACAAAGATACTTTTAGAAGATGTCGCACTAACTGTAACAACTTGTGGTGCATTACTTGGTACTAAAGGCAAAATCATGAAGTTAAAAAAGTACATCTTCGATTAATCATATCAGCAACAATTATTGAGTTTACACTCTCACTCTTATAAGTTCGTTGGCCACAGTAGGGTTCTCTAGGGGAGAAAATGTGAGTTTTATCTGATTAAAGGTTTAAGTTAAAGACTTTACAAATTCACTTGATAGCAATCGTGAAAATGTAGCTTTCGCAATTTTTTCGTGTATTTGGAGTACTTCTCATTATGGAAACGAGGCTGACAATAAAATGATTATTTCCAATGCCTTCTTTCTTTATCGTTGCAAATAAATCAGTACGTGAAATATTGAACATCATTTCAAAACCATGTACCAGGCTTACAGCCAAATAAATTGATTTGATTTGAAAGAAAACTTAAATGAAATCATTAAGTCAAACTCGCAATATATCAAGGGTAAGTTCCAAGATAGGGAAGTGTTTCAAAGTTCTAGTCCATTCGTAACCTTGCCGTTTCAGGATGCATTCCAAAACATAGTTGGTAAATGAAAAACACAAAGATAAAGACTTGACGCTGGAATCTGTATCTTTCGTCAACGAAAGCACTTGAAAGCAAATAGTTGGCTTAGTATAGTAACAAGATCTCAACGACGGATAAGAACAGACCAAACGAAACGGCCTTGTCGTGAAAAATTATTTTTATTATTATCATTATTATTATTATTATCATGAAAAATCACAGTCTACTGCTTGATTTGGCGGAGACTGCCAGGGCAGGAGAAATTCTTCCGATCAGCTATAGGAGGAAATAGCGTAAGTGAAGCAAGAGTTGGAGAAAATTTCTCAAAAAATAGAAAACGCAGAAGAGCAAAGGCTTCGTCGAGAAGAGCCTAAAACGAGCAGAAGTCATGATGAGAAAGGATGCTATTACTACATATGATAGCAGAGTCATTGGCCTTTCCACAAGAAATTCTTTATTAGTAGGCTTGTACAAACGAGGATACTATCAATAACGTGTATTTCAACGCCTCACAAATTGTAGCGCGCGATCTTTCGCTTTTGGGTCTTAGGTCGTCGGTCCACGGTTGAGTAAGGTCTTCGGTTCTTAGAAACCTCCAGTACCGGAGCTATCGAGGTTGTAACCGACCAGACAAAACAAACAAGTACTCATGCTTGGAAGGCGAATCTGTTGCGAATAGAACCAATTATTTCACATGATAACGAATCGCAAAGCTATGACAAACCGTTTGGGTTTATTCGATTAGATACATTAGAAAATCCCAAGCTAGTTAAGATGTTTGATCTGAGAAAAAGTTAACGTGCTACGTACCATGATTCATTTGGTCATCAATGGCAGCAACTAAAAGATTCAAATCAGCACAGCAACACTTCTTAAGAAAGTTGGAAACGGAATTTGGTGACTAGTTGCAATTTTAAGATCTCCTCAATAATAACCCTTTTGTTCTAGCCAAAAATCTTTCGAAGGCTCAGCTGAGCACTGAGGAAATTGCAGCCGTTTCACTAGTGACCAGTTCGCTAACGGTCAAGGTGGTTTCCCTAATGTTCCAGGTCATTTGGCTGACGTATCATTGGTCATTTCGTTAACGTCATAGGCACAAAATATCACTAACATCTCTATGCAGTTTTCTTTTCTTCGAAATAGCGACAGTTAAATTGTTGTAAGAAAATTGACAGTGCTGCCGATATAATGCAATTAAAAGTAAGAACTCATTTAGATCAGCTAAAGTCACGGTTTGTCTATTATTCTGTTCCTCGTTAGTAATATTGAGGATCTTGGCGACCAGGTGACCATTTGGTAATGCTTGATAACTCACGACGTATCCTCTGATAATTCCATTTCGATCATCAGCAACGATCGGATCCCATGAGACGGAGATACTTCTAGAGGATGTAGCACTAACTGTAACAGCATGTGGTGCATTACTTGGTTCTAAACACAAAATCATGAAATTACAAAGTACATCTAACATTGAATATATCGACGACATTTTTTAACTCTAAACTTTCAATCTATCATGTTATTGAAATTTCAGGAGTTAATCTTTACGAGTTTCGAAGAAACTGTGAACAGTTTCCAAACGAATGCGTCCGCATTTATAGAAAAATAAACAAATAAAGGAATGAAAAATAATTCAATAATTTAACAAAAAACAAAAAACAAAACCCTCGTAACAAACTAGAACGGAAGGAATATTGCCTAGTACTTTCTGGTACACAAAGATTTTGCATAAAAAGTAAGAGGCTCAGAAGTAAACAACATTACCAACAAAAATCTGTAATAGCTTAAAAGAAGAAAAGGACATATATATATTCAGAAGACTTAGCCTTTGGCGGCCACTGGATTTTAGGGTTACAAAGTACATCTCAATTTTTGCAACTTTTTTAAAGTTTACTTCGCCAATTTTGTACGTCAATATTTTTTCAAGGAGGCTTGTAAGACCAGAAGTTGAACTGTCGCAAATGCCGTGAAAGAAAACCTCCACCGCTGAAAGAGCCCCTGAGAGTTTCCTACTGTCAACAACATATATGCCTTTCGCTATCTGTTACATTAAGACTTTGCACTAAATATGAGAACATCAAAAATAAAATAGAAAGGCTGGACAAACATAGAAACAAAAGAAACAATAACAGCACAGATGCTGGCATAAAACTTACTGTCTTCCAGTGTCTCCACGACCTGCCCAACGCTTGCTGGTCCATTTCCAAAAATAGTAAATGCTAACACCCCGATGCTGTAGTTTGTAAACTCATTTAGACCAACTAAAGTCACTGTTTGTCTATTATTCTGTTCCTCATTAGTAATATTGAGGATCTTGGCGACGATGTAGCCTTTTGGTAAGGCTTGATAATTTACGATGTATCCTCTGATAATTCCATTTCGACCGTCAGCAACGATCGGATCCCATGACACGGAGATACGTCTAGAGGATGTAGCACTAACTGTAACAGCATGTGGTGCATTACTTGGTTCTAAACACAAAATCATGAAATTACAAAGTACATCTAACATTGAATATATCGACGACACTTTTTAACTCTAAACTTTCGATCTATCATGTGATTGCAATTTCAGGAGTTAATAAATGATGTTTAAGAGAACTATCTTTACAAGTTTCGAAGAAACTGTGAACAGTTTCCAAATGAATGCGTCCGCATTTATTGAAAAATAAACAAATAAAAGAATGAAAAATAATTCAATAATTTAACAAAAACCAAAACACAAAACCCTCGAAACAAACTAGAACGGAAGGAATACTGCCTACTACTTTCTGGTACACAAAGATTTTGCAGAAAAAGTAAGAGGCTCCGAAGTAAATAACATTTCTAACAAAAATCTGATATAGCTTAAAAGAAAAAAAGGACATATAATCAGAAGACTTTGGTGGCCACTGGATTTTAGAGTTACAAAGTATATCTTAATTTTTGTAACTTTTATAAAGTTTACTTCGCCAATTATGTACGTCAATATATTTTCAAGGAGGCTTGTCAGACCAGAAGTTGAACTGTCGCAAATGCCGTGAAAGAAAACCTCCACCGCTGAAAGAGCCCTTGAGAGTTTCCTACTGTCAACAAAATATATGCCTTTTGCTATCTGTTATATTAAGACTTTGCACCAAATGTAAGAAAACCAAAACTAAAACAAAAAGGCTGGACAAATATAAAACACTCAGTATCCCAAAGTACTGTTTTTGCGTCCAATATGATTTAATTAAATGCAAGAACAAACACAATAAAAGAAACAATAACAGCACAGATGCTGGCATAAATCTTACTGTCTTCCAGTGTCTCCACAACCTGGCCAACACTTGCCGGTCCATTTCCAAGAAGAGTAAATGCTAACACTCCAATGCTGTAGTTTGTAAATTCATTCAGATTATCTAAAGTCACCGTTTGTCTTTTATTCTGTTGCTCTTTAGAGATATTTAGGAACTTAGTGACCACGTAATTATTTGGTAAGGCGTGATAATTTACTTTATATCCTTTAATAATTCCATTTCTATCTTCAGCAATGACAGGATGCCATGAAACGGAGATACTTCGAGAAGATGTAACACCAACTGTAACAGCTTGTGGTGCACCACTCGGTTCTAGAGGCAAAATCGTCAAGTTAAGGAGTACATCTACGATTAAACATATCACCAACATTTTTTAAGTCAACACTTTCGCTCTTACATGTTACTGTAATTTGAGGAATTTAAAAATGACGTTTGAGGAACCATGTTTTCAAACTCCAAGAAGATGTGAAAACGAACGTGCCAAAAGATAACGTCTGCATTAAGAAAAAACTCCCTAAAGCAAACCAGCATGGAAGGAACATTGGCTACTGCCCCCTGGTACAAAAAAGAATTTGTATGGATAGTAACAAGCTCATAAGTAAATCACAACAACAAAATTAACAAAAGCCGGAATAGAAAAAATCGACTATATATTTAAAAGATGTTGCCTTTGGTGGGCCCCCGAGTTTGACAGGTAAAATCATGATGTTAAAAAGGACATTTGAATTTCAGCAACGTTTATAAAACCTTAATTCGTCGATCTTGCACGTCATCACGGAGGCTTGTATGACCAAAAGTAAAACTGTCGCAAGGCTTTGAACGAGCATTTGGCAAAAGAAAACTTCCACTGATTAGAAAATCCCCCGAAAGCAACCTACTGTCAAGAGGACAAGTGCCTTTTGTTATCTGTCACATTGCTTAGGGTTAGGAAGAATTATTAGATAATCAAAACTACAAAAATTTGAAGAACACAAAACTGGACAATATAAAGCATTCAGTATTAGAAAGTACTGTTTCTGAGTCCATAGGACAAACAAAAAATGTTTTTTAAAAAAAAAGAAACCCTTCTTAAGAAAATTGACAGAGCTGCCGATATAAAGCGATTAAAGGCTCCAACAAACACAAAGTAAAAATTAACAGCGCAGTTGCTGGCATAAAACTTACTGTCTTCCAGTGTCTCCACAACCTGGCCAACACTTACTGGTCCATTTCCAAAAACAGTAAATGTTAATACCCCGATGCTGTAGTTTGTAAACTCATTCAGGTTACTTAAAGTCACTGTTTGTCTATCATTCTGTTCCTCATTAGTGATATTGAGGATCTTAGCAACGATGTAACCATTTGGTAAGGCTTGATGATTCACGATGTATCCTTTGATAATTCCATTTCGATCATCAGCAATGACAGGATCCCAGGAGACGAAGATACTTTTAGAAGATGTAGCACAAACTGTAACAGCTTGTGGTGTACTACTCGGTTCTAAATTGTATTGCACATGTTACCTCGTTAATTGTGACTAGTTGTGGTGGCTCACTAGGCTCTTAAAGCTAAAGGAAACTATCATAAGGCCCTGCGTTTTTCATGGCCAACAAACTGAGGAGAGAACGGCTGAAAATCTCTTCAAATCTCTAAGTATACCTTTATTCATACCATCATCAGAGTGTCTGTACAGCAAATGTAATTGTCATCGTAACCATGAAGGAAACAAAAGGCTGCAAGCAGTTTTGGTTGTATAGCTAATAAAAATTGCCCGAAATTACACAAACATTAACAGTATTCATAACAAAATGAATAATAATATAGATTGATTAAAAAAAAAGTAACGTAACACTCACTATGCTGGTCGGTAGTCTTTCTCACCGAAGCACTTAAATGACTGGCACCTTTACTGTTAAACGCCTGCATGGCAAACGCGTATGAAGTGTGTTCATTTAGTGGTCCCACCAACAACGATGTCAATTCAACTCTATCAACAGTTTTATTAATCCAGAGAGGAGTGCTGTTAAGCCGGTGCAAAACGTAATAGCCCAAGACTGCACCTCTGGCGATGTCTTTACTCAGCATCTGGGTTGTAAAGTTAATAAAACTTTAATATGATGACCACGACTAGTTTTTACGCGCTACGTGTACATACATTACAGTGCGTCAAAATATTGTAATGCAATGTCATAACAATTGCATGTACTCAAATAATTTTATCTCTCTTTTTCTTTTCTGTAAACACATTCCGCGTTTTTTTTTTCTTAAAAATCTTTGGTAGATCTCGGACGACGTCAATATGTAATTAGAAGAAAAACGTGACACACTAGCCACAGACAGGTATTAATGATATTCTTGCAAGGTTTATTGCATCACGATCTGCATCCATGTGCAGACCGGGTGTCTTTCCGCTTGGATTTATGACACACGCGAGCCATGAATGGAGATTCCACAACTTACAATTCGGACCGAGAAAAGGAGGTTATTAAGATATTTATTATATCTCTGTGTTCAAATAGAGGGGAAAGATTTCAATTCAAACAAACTTTTGCATTAAGCGGACCGTACATATGCGTTGTTCACCAAACGTGAGGTCAAGATGGCTGGATTTTGGCCAAAAGAACGAGGGTAATATCTAGCCATCTTGACCGAACAAACTAGGTCAATGATTTATCGTTTAGCAAAAGATTTCGCTTCAATAAGAATTAAGATTGCCTTGTTTCGAGAACCGGATAAGAAAGCCAACTTTATTTGTAGTTAAATAATGATAAGACTCTTTCATGTCTTCTTTGTTTTGACTGTCTTCTGCTGGTTTTTGCGATTCCGTCGCCAAAATTTTCCAAAAGTTACGATCTTTACAAGTCCGCTTCACGGATTCTTTTTTCTCTCGTGGGATCAAAACAAATAATCCTGAGTGGGCGAGATGGGCCCACCTTGCGCCCGCTGTGAACCAATCAGGACACAGGATAAGCTTTATATTGCTCACAGGAGCAGCTGGGTATATGATGAAATGAAATATGGCCCGCTAAGTGATGCACAACGACACGGAATCTAAACAAGGGGGTAAAAATAATGTCGTTGATGACGTCACCTACAGGTAAGTGACTGTCCCAAGTTAATTAACCCTTTAACTCCCATGAGTGACCAAGAGAGAATTTCTTCTTACAATATCAAAACAATATCAAGCAGACAGGTGATGAGAATAAAGAAAAATATCAATTAGGGTATTACAAGATGATTCAATATCAATTTCTCCAAGCTAACATTACAGGAACTGTGTGGACGATAGTAAGGAGAATTACTAATGAGATCTTGGAAGTTAAAGGGTTAGGAGCACAGTCGTCTGCATGCTTTTTTGTCCGCGCAATTTCAAAGAACCAAGCAAAGTATGCGTGCATGGTTGTCGGATAATCAGCAAAGAATTCTAAATCCAAACTTTTCGTCTATCAAGTGCACTTTCGTCTATGTGCAATCATGTTAAGAGTTTCCGTTGTTTTATTGCTTGACACGCATGTAATACTCCAACACAGATTATTAAATGGTGTATGTACTTTACATGTAGAGTTACGAAGCAATCAAAGAGAACATTAAGTGTTGAACATATGATATTCAATATTCTACTCATCAAAATAGGTATGTGAACAAGTAACTCAGGTTAATGAAAAACTCCAAAGGGGAAATCAGTATGAGTTGTCAATACTGTAGTCATAGAAACATTGGTTTGAGGTTACATGCAATATCTGGTAATTACCTGCCAGGAAACATTCACAGCAGTTGAGTTTAGAACAGTCACAATAAAATTTGGAGCCTTGCTCGGCACTGCAAAAAGGAATCAAATAATCTTTTTTCCTTTAATGTGTCAAAATGTGACAAACAACGATTATAGCTCAAAAATAATATTTGTACAGGTGTTAGATAAACTCCTAAGGAACTCCATTTGATCTTACTTAAGAGAGTGACAGATAACCTGATACACTGGAGGTGGTGATTCAAAAAACAGCAACACGATTTGTTCTTTCAAAACAGACATAACAGTATGTAATATTTCTTTAAATCAGGTAACTTCAGGAGAGAAACAGTTAACATCAAACGATTACTAGAAGTTTACAGGGTATGTCCCAATCCCCTGTCATGTTCTTGTGGTACATTTGTAGCTTTTCTTCATAACTCTTTTCATACATTGCAAAAAACTGCATAGAGTAAGCAGCATACCTTCTTCATCCGTGGTAACATTCAGAATAGGGCTGCTGTTACTTCTGCCAATTTTATTACTAGCAAACACTCTGATATTATATGTTGTCCAAGGAAAAATACCTGTCAGAGAGGCAGTCGTGGAGAGTCTGGAAACCACACATGTACTGCTTGAGAGGGATCCTTGACAAACAACATCCTTTAATATCTGATCATGTTGACTGATTTCCACTGTGTAGTTTTTAATGGCACAATTTCCATCAAAACCAACCGTCCAGGAAATATTTATAACTCGTGAGCCCTTTGTGTCGACAGTAATGTTCTGGGTGGGTCTGGAACAACTAGGGAATTAAACAACCTCTAAATAAACACTGAAATTTACAATTTCAGTTGGAAGTTTATCCATCCTTACCAAAAGAGTTAGACCAGATCGATCAACATATTTTAAAATATTTCAAGTTGCACAGGTTCTTCGTTAATAAAACGTGAATAATAAGCTCATCTCTCTTAATTATTTCGATAAACACTTTGCATGAGATTCTTTCTCCAGGAAGTGTACATGCTAGTTCACGGACACCCAATCATACTCCTGGATGAAGAGAGATTCCGGTCTTATATATATTATTCATAATTTTTTTCTTTCAAAATGGGATTAAATCACCTACTCACTTAATATCAAAGTTCGAAAAGCAAATCATTGAATTTTGAAATTTTGAACAAGCTGTCCTCTTTTCTGCTGTTTTTGATTTTCTTTTGTTTTTTGTTTTTCATCAGGTTAGGTTGCCAATGGCATTTTTAAAGACAGTTGAGCTTCTATCATTACCACTACCACTATCTTTACCACAACCACCATTATCGTTACTGCCACAACTACTACGACCACTACTACAATTACTACTACTAGCACTACCGCTACTTCTTTTACCACTACTACTACTATTACTACAACTACTACCACTACTACCGCTACTATTACTACCACTGTTTTTACGACCACTACTACTACCACTTCTGACTATTACCACTACCACCACCAAAATGGTCCTAAAGCTGTTACTTATAAGATATCCATTCTTGTACCATGATACATACCATATTACCATATGGTACCATATTAGCATATCGGCGCCAATCATGGCGGCCACGTTTAGAGTAGCTCTAGTTTCTATCACTATTCTATCCTGTTTAAGCGCTGCATTTCTAAACCATTTATTATCCTTCGAGGCTACCTTTAAATCAAGGTGGGAACCCCTGCACACTGCTGTTCAACTCAAGAAGAAATGCACTTGTATCGTCAAAGATGGTTTTCATCGATCAAGAGTTCCAATACAGAAGCACACTAAACACGGGTTTGTCTCCTTAGTCATCCCTGGCCACGACCCTCCATTGGACATCACGGTATACGTTGATATTTCGACCAACCCCGGTCCTGCTCAATCTATTATCGCCATTGGTAGCCGGCAGAGAGCCACTAGAGATTTAATTCGGCAGCTTGATTCTCCAATTCGCCAAACAACGACCCTACAGTACTCTCGGCGCGAACTGGTGTCGCTCCGGAAAAATTACAGCCTTCAGGAGAGACGGTCAGTTCTATTTAAGAACATTCGAGCGGATGGAATTTTTAAGTACCGAGGGAAACGGTCCGGAAGACTTACTAAAACACAATTAAATACAGGCCGAAGCAAATATTCTTCAGAAACGAATGAATTTTCAACCTTGAATAATTATTCACAGTCGAACAATCACACCTTACCGGGGCTTTCAGTAATTCCCGTGAGAACAACCACACGCGCCATCTCCAGTAGTTACACAAGACCAAGAACTGTTAATTGCTATAACTCTTCCATCTTGAATGAATCTTTACGGTTCAATAATCACGCTTTACCGAGACTTTCAACAATTCCCGTGAGAGTAACTACGCGTGTTTCCTCCAGCCGTTACACAGAAGAAAGAGCCGTCAATTTCAATAATCTGGCTATTATCAAGCCTAAAGAGAAACATCGACGCCAGGAAAAACACCTTGCAGTTCGTACCGCCAATAGCTGTGTCTAATGTAATGAGTTTGGCACCAAAATAGACGAACTTCGTATTTTTTTTTGAACACCCACGAGTTTGATCTTTGTTGTATAACGGAGACATGGCTGAAAGATTCTATTGATGACAGCGTAGTTGACATTAGTGGCTACAACATCATACGCAAAGATAGGACCCACAAGCTACATGGGGTGTGGCTCTATATGTAAAAGATTCCATCAAATTCTCAATTCTACGGGACTATGAGTTTCCTGACCCCGAGGGCCCTGAGGTTTTGTGGGCCAAAATCACGCCCAACCGATTGCCCCGGGGTTATAGCTGCCTTATCATTGGTACAGTATACCATCCTCCACCGCCTGCCAAAGATGAGCCCCTCCTTGAATACATGATGGATTCTCTCTCTAGGATAGAGAGTGATATCCCTGGCGCAGGTATAATTCTCGCTGGCGACTGGAACAGGGCAAATGTTTCACCAGTTATTAAGCAGTTCCGCCTCACGCAAGTCGTCCACTTTCCAACAAGAGGGGATCGTACACTCGACAAAGTGCTAACTAATCTTACAGAACACTACGAGAAACCTTCTCCATTCCCGCCCTTCGGACTATCCGATCATTGTACTGTTGGTTTGTTTCCAAAAATTAGATCGAAGGCCAATATTCCTGCAAACAGAACGGTTACTACACGTGCTGTTAACGCTGAGTCCAAACAGGCTTTTGGTCGTTATATGACGGGGGTCGACTGGTCATTAATCGACACTATAGATAGCGTCCAAGAACAGTATGCTCACTTCAGTGACCTAATTCACATAGGGTTAGATTCTATTCTTCCCAAAAAGAGTTAAGTTCCACCGAAACGACGCACCATGGATTTCACCCAAACTCAAGGCACTTATAGCACACCGTCAAAGAGCATATTACCAAGACAACAAACCATTGTTCCACTACTACCGGAACAAAGTAAACAGGGAACGGAAGCTCTGCAAACGCTCTTATTACAACACTAAAGTCAGCGTTTTGACCGAAAACAATCCTAAAATGTGGTGGTCCGAATGTAGGCGGTTATGTGGAATGAACAAAACATCTACAAGTGTCGCAAATCAGCTCCTAGCAAGTAAACCAGCTACCTCAATCAACCTTAAGATCTTGGCTAATGAAATCAACACAGCTCTGCTAGAACCTCAAGCTTCGTTTGACCCACTTTTTAGATAATATCGAAACTGTGAGCACTGAGGGTTTTAAAACTCCCATTATTTCACTGGAAGCTACCTTCAAATGCCTTAGTACGGTCAGCTCCTCCAAAGCTGGGGGCCCAGATAATATCCCAAACTGGGTCTTGCGTGACTTCGCTCCTGAGCTCGCTCAACCTCTTCGTTGTATCATCAATTCCTCGATTAGTCAAGGGACTTTACCGGACATTTGGAAATGTGCAAACATCACCCCTCTTCCCAAAACAAAGATAGTTGAGGATGCGGCGAAAGATTTGAGACCTATTTCACTGACACCAACGTTGTCCAAAATTGCCGAGCACTACGTCGTCCATGAACATGTGAAACCAGCACTTCTGAAACGCCTGGAACCCGATCAATTTGGGTGTATTCCAGGATCCTCCACTGCGCATGCATTGATAAACCTGATGCACAATTGGGCGCAAGCAACAGACGGAACGGGGAACACCGTGCGGATCTTTGCGTTGGACTATAGAAAAGCCTTCGATCTGATAGATCACAGCCTCTTGCTATCGAAACTCTCGACCTACAATATCAACCCTTACATCATTAATTGGATAATAGCCTTTCTTAAAGATAGGAAACAAAGGGTCAAACTTACACATGATTGTCTCTCAGAGTGGGGATCGGTCCGAGCAGGAGTACCGCAGGGAACAAAATTGGGACCGTGGCTATTCTTGGTTATGATAAATGATTTGAAAGTACCATCAGCCAGTGATTGTATAAAATATGTAGATGACACGACAGTGTATGAAATCATAAGCAAGGGTGGTCCTAGCAATGCTCAGTCTATGATAAACGAAGTAACTACCTGGTCAACACTTAACTCGTTTCAACTTCATCCAAAAAATGTAATGAGCTAAGAGTTTCCTTCGTGCGCTCCCCCCTTCCTACGATCTCATAGAAATTAATGGCTCTAAGGTTAGCGCCGTTAGTGTCGTGAAATTACTGGGTGTGTATTTTCAAGACAACCTCAAGTGGAACACTCACGTTACTGAGATGATTAAAAAGGCCGCTAAGCGCCTTTACTTTTTAACTCAGTTAAAGCGAGCCAAGGTACCATCACCAGAATTAGTGAATTTTTATGTTGCTTGCATTCAATCCGTCTTACTTTATGGATGTCAGGTCTACCATTATAGTCTCCCCGATTATTTGAGCTTAAGTTTAGAGCGTGTCCAAAAGAGAGCCTTGAAAATTATATACGGTTATGATACTCATTATAGAGAAGTGCTTCAGATGGCAGAGCTGAAAACCCTAAGGGATCGGAGGGAAGACCTTTGCTTAAAATTCTTTAACAACATCGTCTCCAATCCCTTGGATTGTTTGTACCACTTACTGCCTTTCGACAACCGAGATCAACTTATGGAGTTACGACGACGCAGACCATTTAGAGTTTCCTTCAAAACAAATCGGTTCAGAGATACTTTCATTCCAGCAAGCGCAAGACATTTTAATTGACATCTTTTACAATTGTATATGGGCCCATATGTAAATTAGTTCCCTTTTAGGTTTGATTTTATTGTATAGTTCTATTATATAATTTGTACACCTTTGTAATTCAGCTTCCAGCTGCTATTAAGGTATTCTTAATAAACGTCTATCTATCTATCTATCTATCTACGATATCGTCGGAACTGGATTTCCAGTAGCGTTACAATACAACGTTACGTTTTGACCTTTTTCCGTTGTGATATTGTGAGGATGAGTTACGATCTCAGGTTTATCTGTGGATAAATACAGTATTTGTGCAAGCTTGTCACAAAAAAAATTATAATTTTCTTGTTCGTGTAATAATTATTGTTTTCCAAATGTATTTAACAGATCTCTCCTTGTCTGTTTTTTAATTCACTGCCGATAATTAAAAAAGAAAAAAATATATATATATACATACGTTTTACTAATATACCCACAATTGTGATCAGTGTCGTGTCCTGAGTGCTGTTTAAAATATTCATGACTCTACAGGTGTAATTTCCCCCATCCTTTAGGGAAGCTGCAGTGATTGTCAATTGTATTTGACTCTTACTGAAAGATGAAATTGTCACTCTTGAATCACTAATCAGCCTTGACGTATTTCCAGAAATCGCAGTTCCGTTTTTTATCCACTGCACTTCAGACACTGGTGGGAACGCGTCATGCCGACATATCAGCCGGATATCGCTGCCTTTGGCCACATATTGCTCATGATCGCCATCAATTGTAACCTCGGGTTCAACTGAAAAGTAAACAGCGTCGGAGTTAGAGCTAATAAATAATTCGAACATGCAGTATGCCATTGTTGCTTTGTAGTTTTGTTAAGTGACAAAGTTAAATGAAATGATTTTTTTTAGTATGTAGCTGTTACCTTGTTTTTAATAGTTCTTTGTACTTACACAGTACTGAAATATCCACTGTACTTGAATTTGATTCTCCATCTGGTTAAGATAATACTCTTAACGTGTAGCTTCCCATCTCCAATCTATTCACTTCCAGGAGAGTGACTGATGCGTAACTAGCGGTAATGTTAGCGTGTAAGCGACCTTGGTACAAGGTTGGTATACTGAGTGTGCTAGGTAATTTGGTCACCACAGCGAGGTTACCTTTTACAATGGTCAGGAAAAAGAACGATTCACTTTCGCCAAATGTATGCCCCCATTCAAGGGTAATATTGTCACCTTCCACAACAAGAAATGGGTTTCGAGGTTCTTTAGTGAACTTCGGCGCACCTGATGATCCAAACGATGAAAATTTACTTTATAATAAATATAACTTGACGTTGAACTAATATCCTCTTCGCTGTACAACTTGACATCATGACATAGTTAGTAAATTTAGGTATCCAAGTTCAATAGCACGAGCGTGCTTCATATCTCTATGAAAGCATGCTGACGCATGAACCAATTGTTAATTGTTAGAATATTAATGGAAAAAGTAACATCAGAATTAAGTTGCTTAAATACCGTGAAAATCTTCAACAATTTAAGCATTTCGTGGGAATATTTCGGCTTTGCTATCTCTAAAACTATCTTTATGTATCCTCATTCAAAAATTGAAGAAATGGTTACCTTGTTCCTTAAAAGATCATTCAGAATTCTTAGCAGTTTATAGAATTTAAGATAATAAAAATACCATTAATTTGATTAAAGTACATCGTCGAGTTTCCGCCAGGATGTGTTACTCATGACGAGCTTTGAACACCAAAAGAATTCGGCCCCCTACCATCTACTCGAGGCGTTAACTCCTGTCAGTTATACTTATGGCTTTTTTTACTTTTGTTGGACAAAATCAATTAACACGTTTAACATATAAAATATCAATTAGCACGTTTCATGAAATAATAACCCACGGCAGATTTTGCAATGGGATAGTTTACAACATTTGCGGACTTTGCAAGCGAGCAACGTGTTTTCCCACCCCAAAAAAAACTCAAATGAAGTAAAATAATGAAAAACAATTTTTTTTTTATTTTCTCTGCCGTGTTTTTCTTGTCAGTATTAAACAATTCCAGCTGGAACATCGCACTTACTGGAAATCTACCCTCTGAACACTTCACTATGCGCCCTTTAAATTTTCTTTATTAGAGGGAGTGATATCACTCGTAAGTAGCGAGATGTTTTTAAATCGATGCGAACCAAATGCTGGAAGAGTGTCAAAATTGAGCTTGCCGCCATTTTCGGTGCTTCAAAAAAACAAGTTAAGAGAAATATTTTATATTTTGGAGCGTTGTCCGTGAAGTTTGCGCGCGTGAGTTTTGAAGCAGTATCAAGGATTTTACCACAATACTGATATTTTTTCTGAATGTAGCTTGTCTAACTCTCATTTTTCCATGTCGTAAACGATCAGGAGAGGACCATTTTATCGAAACGCGAAAAGATACGAGAATTATCATACAACCATACCTATTACGTAAGTTACTTGTTCCCAGACTCTTAAAACGCATGTTTGTGTGGCGCGCCACTGAGCTCAACAAGCACAAATGTACAAAACGGGAAATTTAGATTTATAATTAACCAGGAATAGTTAATATCAAAAATGAGAGGCAAAAATAAAATTCAAGTGAACTCAGTACTGCTTTGGCGCCGAAACGCGATGGAGGGAAAATCTCCCGCTCCTCAGCCGACTCTCTCGTGGCCAGTTAATCAAGTGTTTGCACCCTGCATCGATCATCAGAAGAACTGGTATGCAGTCACAAAGGAATCATGTGGAATTATTCCACGATTCTTTTCTCAGAATATCTTTTTCAGCCGTTTTCCAGACGAAATATTCTCCGTATCAAAGCGGGAATTGAGTGTAATGAGCAAAAATGGCGGGAAGAGGCCGTTCGACGAGTGGGTCCCAGAGAAAGGGGAGACTCTTCAAAGACAACCAGGCAAAGTGTATATTGTGAGTTCATTTGGACTTTTTGTCGGCCTTTTGCGACCGCGAGAAATTTCCGAAAGAATCGTTTTATCTGAATTTTTTGCCGAGATAAAGAGCTATGTGAATGGTGTTTGTGTTGACTCTCGAATTGGCGCCAAAAGCAATGAAGAGCAGACCATACAAAATTTGAATGCAAAAATTGAAAGTCTTGAACTAGAAAAATTGAAATGTACAAGAAGTTTTTAAGTTGAACGAATGCCGCAACTTCGCTACCCTTAAACAACAGATATGCTTGGGTGCATTCGTTTCACCTGGTGTTTACAAGGGTATTTTCACAAGAAATTTACTAGATTGACCCGAGCTCTGAAATGCCACATTTCGCTACCCGTAAACAACTGAGATGTTTGGGTGCTTGAAACACTCGTATTTAGGTGTGAATCCGTTTCACCTGGTGTTTACAAGGGTACTCTGATAAGAAGATTTTAAGTTGAACGCGAGTTTTTAAATGCCTGAGGTTCACTACCCGTAAACAACCGAGATGCTTGGGTGCTTAGAATACCCGTATTTCGGTGTGAATTCGTTTCATTAAGGCAATACTGTAGGGACTAAGTTGATAGCTCGGCCCCGGCTTTAGTAATAGATCTCGAAATAATATGACAAACGCAAAAATTATAGAACGCGTAACGTGGATTTAATATTTTCAGGAGTAAACAGATGTAGTTATACTAATTCTGCAAATTTGTTAAAAGAAGGAAATCAATTCAAGTTGTGTCTTAGAATTGTGTCCGCTTTAGTTATAATAAAATAAATGTAAATGTGACTCCGTTTGAAGTGATCTGGTGGCCGGACATGTATGTCCGTTTGTTATGTCTGACTCACGCACTTTCAGAACCACGCTCGTGCACGCGCTGTGGAATAAACAAGCTATTGATCGAAAATTTGTAATAACTCTCAACAAAATGAAATATTGCAATGGAAAATATTCTAACAGCTTAAAGTGATGTTACACCATATAATTTTTGACGACCACTCGCACTCATTATTTTTGTTGTGGCAGCGTGTTGAGAAAACTTGCCCGCAGTGTCCTTGTTAAGAATTGTCCGCGCTAAGCGACACGAATAAGTCGTTCCGTGTAAAATCAACTTTATGCCAAAGTTGTGGTTGAGCATGTAAAGATAACTTAACGAAATTTTCAGAGGGGATTTTCAGTTTAGTGGTTCACGAGTGAAATACTTTCCCAACGTAATACTGCAATGGCGTATTTCCGTAGCCAATGCTCTCATACATGTCCGGCCACCAGATCACTTCAAACTCTCGTGACGGCCGACTCTCGCAACTGACGTGTAACAGGCTTCTGCACGATGTACGCTTTCTGGTCGTTCTGGCACGTTTAATAGCTGCATGAATGGCGTCCTCGGCCGTTTTGATGTCGTCCAACTCATTTTCATCATCATCATTTATGGCTCTGTTACCGCACCAGGCCTGTGCTTTCTGTATTTCCAGTAACGCAGATCGAATTGCTTTCATTTCAAACATCTTGAAAGAAATCCGTCTCGTACTTGTATCGAATATATGATCTCTCCAGTGGCTGGTGTCTTTGACGGAGTACACTGTTGGCTTGCCCAGATCGGCTAGAAACTGTCTGAAGAACTCAGCTGGAACGAAATTCAATTCCTGTTTAGGCCATTTTGCTGTATGTTAAAGGACAAAGTGAAATCAATGGCAACCTCAAGCTCCTCAAAACACAGCACCACTACGTGCGACGCTCACACAAACATGTAAAACAGATGATATACAGACGTATGATATTCAAAATTACCTCGCGTTCTTGGGTGGTGGGCATTGTTGATCCCTTTCAGCATACTTTCTCTCCATGTTTTATAAGCGTGATACGGTCCGGCCCTCTTGCTTATTCTTTGTGTTTTTGGAAGTGGTGCTTCGATTCCTTCACTCACAAAGCTTATTCTCTCCGGTAAAGTTCTAATTGAATGCGAATTAACTAGGTGCTGTTTTAGAGCGAAGCTTGTGTTGAAACGGTTTCGCATTTATGGCACGAAGGAGAGCGCTGGACCTCCAAAAGACGATGAAACTCGCACGAAGCGAAGAGGGCGCCGCGCCGGAGACACGTTTACTGTCGAAGGGCAGCCGAGACGACCCAATAAAGATTGACAAAATCAAAGAGGGTGGATACCAGAAGAAAAGTTTCAACTGCCATAGATGTGGCAGGTCAGACGGACACGCACCGAGTCAATGCGGAGCCATTACCAAGACATGTAATGCTTGCAAGAAGCTTGGACACCTGGCCAGAGTTTGCCGATCCAAGACCAAGGACGACAAGCCTGGAAAACGGCCGAGACCACACCATGGCAGCTCCAAAAACGGGCAGAACAGGCCTAGAATACGCAACGTGAAGTCACAGTGGTGCCAGGAAAGTTACAGTTCAGATAACGACATCACCGAACCAGTTCTATTGCTGAGTAACCCCGACGAGATGTGACGATACGTTTTCGCGCCCAAACTGGAAAAGCTGAATCTTTGCAGACGGAACAATAACAACTGGGGGAAATAACTCGGTAGAGACCACTTGCCAGCGAGAACGGAAACTCGTCACGATTTCCTGGCACACGGAGATCTATTTCGAGCGAGCTTATACGGACGTCAAGGATAAGACAATCTTTGGCCACACAGTACTTTTATTCTAGGTCAGGCCAACAAGTGACATGACCTCTAGCGTACTCTAGTTTGTAATCATCAAAGCTGTACAAGGTACTTGCTTAAGAAATAACTGGTGTGAAGAGCTATTGTTCACTGAATCGCAATATTTGAATAAGGACATAAAGGAGCGGAAAAAAGTATCTTTGAAGTTAAACGAAAACTACTTAAATATTCCATCTGTTTCTACGACGGAAAGAATCTCAAAATTAAAAAGACGGATGCAATAAACTCTAGGCCATTAACGTAGGAAACTTAGGTGCGAATTTACAGCTCTGATATAGAAAACAATACATATCTTAATTGCAGCAGCGCAGCTTAGGAAGTAAAAACGGAAAAGCAATTAAAAGTTTCTGCTTATCTATGCAAGGTTGATTTGGAAACCATCGCATGAAAAGAAATTAGATTTACGAGTATAAACTTAGCTGCTAACTACCATGAAAACCAATTTTTCCAGAAAGACCAACAACACTTATATTTACCTAAAAACCCATGTAATTAATAACAAAAGTGCCGACAAGCAGGCGCATAGTAAAAGTGAGTAATCAACAAAATCCATTCTAAAAGCCACTGTGGTTTTTATACATTTTTTTATTTACTAAAACGAAGGGACTGGAAATGGTTGAATGTGAAAGTTTACGAGTAAACATGTTCCAAACAAACACATGGAAAAATCAGTAAATTTTCCCGTAACAGAGAGCAGTTCAATCCAGATAAAGGTGAATGACAAAAAGATACGCATGATTGTCGATACTGGAAGTAAGTACAATATTATTTCTTCAGAACTGTGCCGTTCGCAGTTTAGATATTGCGAGCTGAAACGAACTTAAAAGCGGTTCACCGCTTATGGACAAACAAAGCCATTAATGTGTAACGGATATTTTGACGTCACGCTCCGAAAGGGTGACAGTGTTGACACCACAGTTCTGTATGAAATTGAAGGTCACGGCGAATCTCTCCTTGGAAGGGACTCTAGTTTTAAGGTAGGAGTACTTAAACAAGTAAACTCAGTTGGGAGTAGTCAAAGCAATAGGCAAAGCGAACTAGTATCTTTGCTTCACGAATTTGATGATTTGTTCCGTGGGCTGGGGAAGGTCACAAATTTTGAGCAAAAAATTGTAATAGATCCCAAAGGTCAACCTGTCAGTCAGCACTTAAGGCGTATTCCGCTTAGCCAAATTGAAGCTGTCAACAATGAGCTTGATAAAATGCTCGAGGCAGATGTTATTAAAGAGTAGTTAAATCAACAAGGGATAATGAAAATTTTATTTACTACTAATTAAATACATTAATTGATAAAATAATTTCGCAACGTTGGCCGGGAAGGATGTAGTGTATTGATTATACATGTACCTATCTTAATTATTGACAACAACCTTAATATGGGTTCTAAGGTGAGCGCTTTGTTCTTAATTCAGTTAATGTACTACTGGCAGTAATCCTACTGTACTGGAAATACCTGCATGCTGTAAAATTACTATAAGTCAGTAAACTCTTATACTTGTATCTGTGTAACGTGTTTATCAATAAAGTTCAGTTAGCCTTTGGCAATGAAGAAGCAATAGTCTCTCTATGTCTGAATGACGACACTACACCAGGTGACTATCACAAGCAAACACGGAAGTCTCGAACGACACATGTATAGCACAACATCTCAGATTCGTAACAGCAGGCGACGAACGGGAAAAAAATGGCCTCTTTCCGTTTTCGATACATTTTATGAATCCTGGACTTTCACTGACTTTGTCTTATCCCGTGTAAATCACTTCCACTTTTGTGTTGAATCTCCAGGCTTACATTACAGTAAGCCCTTATATGCATTTCTCGTCGGGTTGTCTATGTCTGTCTCACAGTTCATACGGTTCTAATGATAGTTATTGGCCGCCGCTTTCTCTGTCGAGCCTCACATCACGAAAGCAGATACATGGTTGGAAACGGCAGGGTGCCCTACCTTCTAAAAAGTAGTCGTTGATATGCTCAGTTCAATTCCGACACGTTCGTTGACAACCATATTCAACTTTCGCATCCTAAAATACGTATAAAGCTGAATCAAACTCTCTTTTTCAGAAGTAAACAATGCATTTTTCGTAGAAAGCGCAAATTTTAAGCGTCGTCTCAGTAGTTTCTACTTTGTTAGGTCATAATTTCGCTCTTGTCAACACATACAAGCATATAATGGCTTCTAACAATGGGATGCATGTAAACCTTACCTTCGGCAGAAAACACGAAAAAGAGCACAGAGAAAGATTGTAAGTGAACCTGCTTCCATTACACAGGATGTCTTTTGTTGTCGATTGGACTACTTTAACGCGAATAAATACAGCCTTTTTCAACACAAGAAGCGACTAGTCGATGGAGCGAACCTCGCTCTGCCGATGTTTCTCTGTAACACGATGACCTTGCAAGGTATCAATTACTGGTCTTAAATAATTATTGAATAATGGGTCACGCATTTCCGCCGAGCTCGGCCGGTTTGAGATTTTAGATTTTTTCAGTCAAGAGCTATCATAAACCTTCATTTTTATCCCTACAACAAAGGATTCCTGATGCTTTTTAAATTCTGTATAATATGTAAACTGTTAGTTCTCCGAACGCATCTGTCTGATAGAAAACCTCATCGATTTCCGCATGATAATTTCTGAGACATGTACAGGAATGCATTTCAGAGTTTGAACTGTCAATGACTTTGTTTACCAAAGTAATTCCGCAGGAACTAGGAAAAATAATGGCTCGTTCTTCAAATCTTTGACGTTACATCTATGCTTTTCAGTAGGTGAACGCTCAGTATTCTGCTAACTTAGAGCGAAAAAGTGGCAAAGGAAGGTCCCATTAATTGTAAGTCTTTCGATTGGCGACTTCGTTTACGATGTATATTGTTTAAAATTGCAAGAGAACCGGTATTGATTCATGATGACACTCAGATGCAAACGAACGCTTTCCACCTCAGACTTAGACCCACCAAAACAGCCACTACTTCCTTGTTTATTTTCCCACAACCATATTAGTCTAATATCGCAATGGGAGCTAAGTTTAACTTTTATATCTATCTGCTTAAAAGGATAATACACTTTTCACTTACACATATTGGAAGTGGAAATGTAATCCGTAATAATTTTACGGATGTGTATGATGTAATAATTTTCTCTTCTTAAAACCATAGTAATAACAAGCTCATTATGATTGAGTTGAAAATTCAAAGATGACAACTGTTCTAGAACATAAATCAGAAACGGATATATAATCCTCACGTTGCTCCTCTAAAAAAATGACAGTAACAAACTCATTATGCTTGAAAGCAAACTTCAAGCACGACAGTTTTGCTGTGGGCTCCTATTGTGTCGGGGAATATTATTTACGAATTAAGTCATTGATTAAATGTTTTAGTAAATATTGATTATGTCACGGAATTGTAAATGGCTGCATTAGAAAGTGTAGCAGATTTCATAATGTAGTAAATGAAGTCCGCAGTTGATTTACTGTAAGAGGGATGTTGTAATTGCACGCGTTTAGTCTGCCTAATAAGAAAGGGGAAACCTCGCCTCCGTTTCACCTTGGCGGGGGAAGGGTATGGCTACACGTAGGCTAGATTTAAACCGGAGATTCAGAAAAGGCCATCTGCGATTATTTTACAATATCAAGAGAATATTAACTGAGCTGATATTCCCTTAACAATAAATAACGTTAATGAAACGAACATGGCTATCACTTCATATTGCTAAGAGACCGCCTAAGGAGGGGGGAAGGCAGATTTTGGGTGATCGCATGGTTTTCATGAGAACAGAAGGAAGGATCAGCCCTAATTGACAGCCACTAAGGAGAGGGGACCATGATAAAAGAGGGGAGCACATTTTTGAAGTGGTGGGCACTCTGCCGCGTATTTTGTATTTCCACGAGAAATATGTCGTTACATAATAATCTCGCTACTTAACGCTGCTCAAGCGGTTTAAAGATGACATCATCAGCAGGTCTTAAGGAACTCTTATCAAATCTCTTAATAAGCTCAGCTCAAGAAAACAATAATAATCGAATTAAGCTTACGTACATGGTTAGCCAGAGTAGCATTTTCTTTCTTGATTTACTTCTGTTCAAAGAAGTAAAGACATCTTGTCTGGAACGTTTACAATGCACTATTCTACCTTTCAGAGACAACTCAATAGGTACTTGTATATCCCTTTCGAGTTATTCCACCATTCTGATGACAAGAAAGCGTTTATTAAGTGAATTACAGCGTTTGTTTGAGACTACAATTAACTGTAACCACGCACGTATTAAGAAGGCTATCATCAATGGGTTTCCAAATCAGCAAATTCCACTTATCTATGTAAGTAAATAATGTTAAGGGCCCTCTAACACATCACGTACGTCCGGAAATTGTCATACATGTAAAACACCTTTGTCACACCTTTCAGAAACTTTCCGATTGCTTCACACTATGCGTGTAGGTCGAGAGAAGACATCGTATTTACCATGTGTATATCATGCAACTAAGCTTACTTTCCCTAATTGTAAAAAGTAAAGAAATATGTTTTTTGTCTTGTCGCAAGCGTGGGACAAGAAAAAAATTCTGAGTCTCCACGAGGAATCGAACCTCAGACCTTCGGATTCCGCGCTCCGATGCTACACCACTGAGCCACAGACTCCACGGTGAACGAGTTCTATTAGGAAGTTCATATGACACGCGTCCTGCATACTGCTAGGATCAGCGACGTCGATAGCGTAATGTTTGTAGATAGAAATTAGAGAGATGGTAAGTTTTGAGCTTGGTAAAGAAATAAAGAAAGATGTTTTTCGTTTGGTCACGAGCGTGGGACAAAGAAAAAATTCTGAAAAGATTACTTGTCGAAGTCTGCTATTGTCAGAAGAAACACTTAGTATAATAAAACATGTTTCAGTTTCAATTTCAATCGTGCAGTGCTGCTCACTAGTTTGTCTAGTTTAAAAAAAGTTCAGAAGACGTAAGCACTGATATAGTGTCACTTGTATCCGTAAAGTATCACTAGAGTTTTGAGATGGCTGGAAAACTCCGTTATCACAGCTAGCTCATCATGGCGATCTCTGGCCATCGCAGTCAAGTAAGCCTCCGAAATTACAACTGTCGCCCATCGAGTGAACAACTAACAGCCTGCTCTGAGATCCTTTCCGATGTGTTGAGTGGAAGGCCACATCAGTCACTGCAGCCGAGCAGCCGCTGTCATCCCGAGCACTCTTCATGTTGCAGAAAATTCGGCTGTCATTCATTCATAAAAAACACGCTTGAACACTTTATTGTCTAATTTCCATGTGAAAAAACTTGCGTGCTTTTGTGAGCCACAATTCGGCTGAATTTCACCGAACATTTCACTTTTAGATTCTATATTTGAGACTAAAAAACTTCAGGTTAAATTCGACCTGCCGAACTATTATTAATAAGTTTGTAAACTATTGCAGTTTGTGAACTTTGATGGTTTTTGAACTTTGAAAGTTTTACATTTTTGACAGCTTCAGTCTTGTACAGCCAATCAGATTATTTGAACTATTCTAACAGGGATTCTGACTGACTTATTGTAGCATACTCTGTGAGAGCATAGAGCATGCCCACGACACTGTTATTCGCTTTGGAAATAAAGTTTGTTTTGAAAATTGAAAGTAATGCCTGGGGACGGATTCTTTACAATAAAACAAATAGAGAAGCCTTGACTATGCTCTGTTCTATTGTAAAGCACTTAAGAAGCGGCTAGAGCACTCAAGAAGTGGGGAGAAACACGAGACGTAGTCGAGTGTTTCTCCCTACACTTCTTTCGCGCTCTAGCCGCTTCCTTCGTGTTTTACAATAGAGTAGAACACAGTCAAGGCTTCTCTATTTCTTAAGTGGGAAAAATACAGTTCAGAATTTATTGTACGAACAGAACATAACATAAATTTTCAAACGGATTTAGTGTATTATGCAATCATCCACTGTAGAGGCAAAGCATATTTTATAACAACACCTAAATACCTTCCTATTTGACGTGTAGTTTGCGAGTAAGCTACAAAATTGTTGTCATCATTTATATCTATTTGCGACGGTGTAACAATGAACTCACTTAAAAACTAGAAATTAACAATCAGAAAGCACTATGTCATCATATATTTCTTCATTTGATCCCCTTTTGTTTCCTTCCTCGGGAACCACGTTGTAATACCCAGCGTTCACGTGGCTCCCTTGTGAGGACTGGTATTCAGGGGAGACTCGTGTTTGTCCTTCCGAAGGCCTGGGGCGTAGCTCCATATACGACCCTGGTTCTGACGCGTGCTGATCAGGCGGAAAGACAGACTGGACAGTATCTCTACTGGTGGCTTTCTTAGCAGTCGCTGGTCTGTTGCTCGCCTGAGCTCTTCTAAGCCGCCATATCAATACACCAATCAAAACAAGCAGCGGGAAAACGATCACTGACCATATGATGTCATTAGCCCGAAAGATGTTCTGCACATCTGTTCAAAAGTAAAGAAAATATACAGATACATAATGGTACATTGTGTAGAAATAAATCCCTCGAAATCACACTGAAAAAAAATAATGAAACAGTTTTAAAAAAATTAAACTCTTCTTCTTTAAAAATAAGTCAAAACGAAATTCAAATTACGACCGCTCCTAGGAATAAATAAATAAATCAAATTCTCAATAAAAATTCCTCACCTTACTTCCACAGTGCATCGCTTGTTATGTGACCACTTACTATGTTGAAAAAACACATTTTTGGCGAGTTATCCATTTCCAGGTTTACTACGTACATAAGAGAAGCCCAAGGCTAAACACGCCCGATCCGAGAGGCGAAAACTCCAAGCAAATATCCTTTAGTTTCATTTCAATTCACCAAAAACTTAATCTTCCCCATTAAACCAACGCGAAAACGTAGTTTGCTTAAAAAATTTCCAGTTTAAACGTTTCTAACAGTCTGCATATACAGTCACCCTAACATACGACCGTTGAAAACTAGCTTGTTAACCCTGCCTCCTTTACAAACTAAGCCTCGCTGGGGACCACACCGTCACTTATCATGAACAAATTGTTTTAGAACCACGGGTGCCAAGTGAAGGTGTAGTTCCCGGCAAGGCACAGTTTACAAACAAATTTTTGAAGCGAACTGCGGCTTAGAGTCGGTTTCACTGGGAAGATTGAGTTTGCAGTGAATTGATGTGAAACTACACTAGATGTGCTCGGGTTCTGCGATGGATTTGTGGCCGCCCGGTCATTTTGAGCTTCGTTTTTTTCGCTCTTCGGATCGGACGTTCGGAAATGGACTGTGCAGCCTTGCGCTTCTCTTATGTACGTAGTAAACCTAGAAATGGATGATTCGCTGAAATGGGTTCTTTTCAACACAGTAAGCGGTCACACAACAAGCGAAGCACGGTGGCAGTAAGGTGAGGCATTTTTATTGAGAATTTGATTGTATCTTTTATTCCTAACATCGGTCGTAAATATTCCCATATAAAATCTTATAATCTCGCCTGTGGACAGAGCAAAGTATCCATAAACACTACGTACTGAAATCAAATATAACTGTTAAGGATGAAATGTTTCTTGGACGTTCAGAGCGTTTAACATTGACAACACTTACTGTTTTCTTCCTCTTTGCTTTCTGACAAAGTTATTTTGTGAGTTGTAGATCCAAATGAGTTTGTGGCGTGACACACATAATCTCCAAAATCTTCATCATCAAGAGGAGTGATAATAACACTGTTGTTCATGACCTTAATGTTATGACCACCTAGAGCCTGGCCATTCCTTGTCCAAGAATAGTTAAATAGAATGTCACTAGTGGCGTGGCATAGCAAAGAACATGGAGTTTCCTTTGCACATATAACCGATCGAGGGGAAACGTCTTTCATGATGCTTGGTGGCACTGAGTTTAAAAAGAGGGGAAAAGATAAGATTCAACATCTTTAATACAGTCAACGAATAAGAGTAGGTGACGTTTACAGGACAACGTTTAATAAAAAACCTCTACCACTTTCTGAAAGCTGATTGGCATAGTTTCTACCCGTAATTTGAAATGTCATGGGGTCCTGGGGTCGAATATTTCACTCATAAAATCTGACATCAATCGTCTTTAGCTTCTGCTCACATAAAGGAAAAATTTCATTTTGTAGCCAGCCGTACCACGGTTGATGATACTTACCGGCGATAACTACTACTATAGCTGTTCGGCGTTGCCCAAAAATGTTTGATGCTCTGCATTCATAAATGCCTCCGTCACCAAGTGCGACCTCTTGAATGACAAGAATGTGGTCATCATTTCTGAACTGAGCCCGTGGTATACTGGTATTTCCATCTTTACTCCATGTAACAGAAGGCTTAGGATCTCCAGTAGCCTCACATGTTAATACTACCACATCGCCAACTTTAAAAATGGTTCTTTCTGGTAGGTCTTTGACGGCGGGCTTACCTGATAGAATTTCCCTGAGTTAGCAGTTTTTACACAACAATACAAAACGGAAGGGTCATGTCTCTAAGAGAGAAAAATTAATTACCCAGAATCTATCTTTTAAAGGCCTTACGCAATAAGAGTCTTAATGAATCTGAATGTGTGAGTCAAACAAACGGCACGTCTTTCAAAGAAATAAAGAAACTAGTACTCCGTGATTTATTGCCTAAAGGGTTGTTGAAATAGCTGTTCATTTACATCAGTGATAAACAACTTATTTGTTCGAGTTGGTTGTAAATTTGTTGTCTTAGGGACAAAAGAATTCCATTAACTTTACCTTTGGTTTCAATCGTTACGAAGTTACTGGAAAAGTACACCATCTGTAATCAAAAAAGCAGGAAGAAGGTAATCATCCATAAAACTCTAGGATGCGTGCTTCCATGTTTTTTTTCTGTACTCATAGTAACTTTACTTGTTCCCCATCGTACAATTGTAATCAAAAGCTTCAATGAAGAATACTTCTGACGGACCAATTGACTGACTGATTGGCCGAACAAAAGAGCGAACGAAAGGGCGAACGCCATGAGCGACTAACTGAAAGCGTCATTGATTTTCTTAACAAATAAGACCCGGAGAATGAAGGGTTAGCCTTTACATTTCTCTCGCCGTAACCTACATCTTTTGCAACGTATTCCTCAGCCAGAAGTTTTGGTTGCACGTAACTTGCTAAGCGATGGTTGAATGTAATGTGAGTGAAACAAGATTGAATTTTGTCCTACAAGTTTGCATTTTCAAAAGAGGATGTTTGTCACTTTACCTTCTCTATAAAAGCTCTGAGAAACACTCTGTAGTTGGTATTTGGCTGGAGTGGTTTGTTGAGAAAGACCTCCCCATCACTGCCTCTACTATTTCTTGTTTTACTGCTTGAATGTCCTCCATCTCCAACAACAAATTCTTGGAACGCATCAAAGTCCTGCCCTCTCAACTGAAAAGTGACATACGCTGCAGGAACCGGAGATTTGTGGGCCTCTTCATACGTCATTAAATCCTTTGGTGTAAAACTCTCTGGTGAGTTAACCACACCAGTATAGTCCAAGCTGTATCTTATGACAATGACTTGAAAGAATCTGTGATATACGATGTTCATTAATTCAGCAAAAAGCTTAAAAGATTGGATTTTTTTTTTCACTTTAAAAAGAAAAAGGAAGGAAGGTTAAATAAAAGGGCTCATACTTTGCATTCCCTGGAAAGCGTGGCAATGTTATGTTTGCTGTTATGCCTTCCCCACTTGGAATCTGAGAGAAGGAAGGTGCAGATGGTGTTTCTTTTGACCACGTGTGGGATAATTTCAAACCTGTGCAAGCAAAAGTAAGGACCGAACAATAATAAATAAAAACTCAACAGCTTAGTAATCTGGCTACACTTTCTCATTGGAAAGCGTGTGATGAAAATGCTGAACACTTTGCCGTGTTTGCTAAGTTTCGTGTTTGTTAAGGTTTAGGATAAGGACAAGGCACGGGACAAAAAAAAGTATGTGAATGAAAGTGATCCTCGCAGTAATGTGCACTACTTAGGCAGTAGTGAAAATAAGGCCTGAAAAAAATTCAGGCCTGTACGGGATTTGAACCCATGACCTCTACAATACCGGTGCAGCGCTCTACCAACTGAGCTAACAAGCCAACTGGGAGCTGGTACCAGCTCCAACGCAGAGGTCATGGGTTCAAAGCGAGGATCACTTTCATTCACGTCTTTATCCGCAGTTCAAATATATGACTTTCATATATTCTGAACCGTTTAAAAAAAAGTATATAACTTGATGAAAACCCTGAAGTATAAAGCCGATGCAACAGATCATGAGTTTCACCTTTCCAACCTACTTTTTGTTTGCACGACTATAGCTTTGCTATAGGGTCCAGGCCCTGCCACAGTGTAACCTCTAACAGACACTTCATACTTTGCACACATCCAGAAGCCAGCCAGTAATACACTTGACTTGGTTGTGTTCATCGCATGAAAGGTAAAATCAACCTTCAAACAGCTCTCTTTTAACTCGAGACGGATTTCGTAAAGTTTAATAACGCCATTTGCCGCCTCTTTAGGAAGTCCTGCCCAAGTGATTTTGTTTGTCGTACAGTTTACTTCCCTAGAAGAAACATTTTCTGCTCCGCGACTCGGTTCTATTCGAGGAAAACATAAAATAATAGTTTCACATTTAGTTATCGGTGAGTACAAAACGCTCCATCATAGAATGTTAGATTAAAATTAAAATGTCTCTTGCATATAGGAAATCATCTTTTAAGGAAAGATAATAATGACTGGCTAACTTGAAACCCATTTCGCTGCAGCGAGCGGAAAGCAGGGTGTAGAAATTTGAAAATTTTCTTTTTTTGGTCATATTGCAGTTTTGTCTTGCACTTTGCATCATTGCATTCAAGAACAGACTGCGAAAGAAAGGAAACTAACAGTATATCATGACTAGCAGAAATTAGGACATAAACGTTTCTAATTTGAAAGAATCCGCTGAATAGACTGTACATACATCTATGCATCGTTGCAGGTGTAGAACACACCCTTGAAGTTGGCATGATAATAAATACTTTCAGGATTCCCACCCCGACATTTTCTTTGTTTTTATCGGCACAATTTTCGTTATCATCAAAATTCTACAGCCTCAATCAAACCGGTGCCAAAAGCCCCTTTCCCGAGGGCCCTTGATCACGATTCGAACTTATTTAGAAAGCCTTACAGGAATTTTTTTTAATCAGTTGTCATGTTTAGGTAAGGAACATGCTAAACAAAGCAAGCGTGTTCAAGAAACAGCAAATCTCAAGCCAATATAACGTTCAAAATCAAAGAAATGAAGGTTACCAAATGTTTATATTTTGATACGTTTATACGAGGTTAGAGTAAACACAGCCAGGCAATCCAGATGATAGGGAAACACTCAAATTCATAACTTATTTTTCTCGTCTTAAATGAAACGTGCCTAGATAAGAGTGTAATATAACCCTGAAAAGAGGTGCACTTCCTTTGGGACTAGTCTAAATTTCCTGAAATTTAGGCGCGTAAGAGCTTCCTATAGTTCAATTCAAATTTAAGTCAGGTGGCGTTGTGAATCGATAATGTTATTCTTCAGAGCTGATTCCCTTCGAGCCACGGTATAAAAAGGAAGTACGCCGACTCGGACTTCGTTTCTCTCATATTTGTCACGAACTTTTTTTGCTTTCATTCGAATCCACCGATAGGTGGTGATTAAAAACAACAGCGGCAAGATTTTTTTCTTTCAAAACAGACATAACATTATGTAATGTTTCTTTAAATCAGGTAACTTCAGGAGAGAATCAGTTAATATCAAACGATTACCAGAAGTTTACAGAGTATCTCCCAATCCTCTGCCATGTTCTAGTGGTACATGTGTGGCTGTTATTCATAACTCTTTTCATTCATAGCAAAAAACTGCATAGAGTAAGCAGCATACCTGCTTCATCTGTGGTCACATTCAGAATAGGGCTGCTGTTACTTCTACCAATTTTGTTTCTGGCAAACACTCTGATATTTTATGTTGTCCAAGGAAAAAGACCCGTAAGAGAGGCAGTTGTGAAGAGACCGGAAACCACACATGCACTGCTTGAGAGCGATCCTTGACAAACTACATCCTTAAAGATCTGATCAAGTTCCCTGATCTCTACTGTGTACTTTTAAATGGCACTATTCCCATCAAAACCAGCCGTCCAGGAGATATTTACAACTCGTGAACCCTTTGTGTCAACAGTAATGTTCTGCGGTGGGTCTGGAACAACTAGGGAATTAAAAAACATTTCAACAAACAATAAAATTTGCAATTTCACTTGAAAGTTTATCCGTCTTCACCGGGAAAGGTAAACCAGATTGAGCAACAGCTTTTAAAATGCACATTGGATCAGATCCTCGTTATAGAATGCCGGTGAATAATAAGCACGTCTCTCTCAATTATTTTGATAAAACCACATTGCAGGAGATTCTTTCACTAGAAAGTGTACATACTAGTTCACGGATACCTAATCATACTCCTGGATAGAGAGAAGTACAGGTCCTAAATCTTTTATATCATCACTTTTAGGATGAGTAGTAATCTCAGGTTTATCTGCAATTTTGAAATCAACCTTGTTAGCAAAGGGCAAACAACTGATAAACAAGACGTCTGCATAGAAATGCATACATGACTGTACATCCGTTTTCTGTTGAAAAAAATCATATGATGAAAGTTTCCTGTAGAGAGTAGGAGCAAATGCTATTCAAAGGCCATGTTTATTAAACAATAATTATGACAAAAGTTGACTTTAGCGGACACAAAAAAAAGGGTGAATTGGAGAGAGAAGCATGAAATCTGCTGACAATCGACGCAGTGTATCAAAACGCTATTCATGCCAGTACAATAATGAGATGAGAACTTACATTGGATGTCAACAGTAATAACGTTTGAAGTATCATTTCCAAGGCTGTTGTTCGCTACACATCGGTAGTGGCCGCTGTCTTTTCTGTTCAAATTTGATATGGTCAACAGCCTGTTATGTTTTGAAAACCTGATCCTGGAACTATTGCTTAGAGAAGATCCATCTTTGGTCCAGAATATTATCGGTGCTGGGTTTCCAGTGGCATTACAAAATAAAGTTAAATTACTTCGCTCTTCTTTTGTGACATTCACTTGACGATGAGAGACGATCTCAGCCCGAACTGCAATTTCAAAAAAATGTTACTCTGAAAGGACTATCACGAAAGCATAAATATGACATGTCGACAAATTACGTTATGTGGGCCAATTGGCTCGCGGTTTGCTTTTTCAACGTATCTTTGCTTCACAGTCAGGCAACTGACTGATCATTCCTCAATCTGTCCGTTCAAGGAAATAAAGTGGTGTTAGAAAAGGAAGCTCTTTATGGAAAAAGGCTGCATAACGTCAGATAATAAAAAGCTTAACTAGACATTAGTTGTACTGGGCACAAGAAACGGTTGCAATTCATAATGTATGTTGCGATATCATTTACAAACAACCCAGCCACTAAATGTCAAAGTTTAAAAATATTAACGTCCGATGGCAACTAACATTTTCAAAATACAGAAACCAATCACTTCCCATTGAGACAAAACCTCCTCGTAAAACATGAACTAAACTAGGAGTAAATATATCAGTAATTAGTTTGAAAATAACCGGAATTCTTACGGGTCAAAATGAGCATTTTGTCTAGAAAGCGAGTATAAAATGCGTAATTTTCGAAGCATATCTGGGTAAAATAAACTTAGCTTACCTTGGTAAGAAATTAAACGCAATGAATTCGATCAAACTTTTTTGTATTTAAGAGGGTTAGCAGATTTAATCAAGGCAACTACACAAGAAATATGAATTCGAAATATCTTGCTTAAGGTAATGGACTGGAACAGTGAATCTCAACAAATTTAGCTTAACAAGGTCGTTCGCTCACACCACAGGCGGCCCAAGCTCACGTCTCCAGGAAAAGCCAACGATTAATTCATGAACGCGTCACGCGTTGTGTGACTCGGTGTTAAGTTACGAGAGGAACCGTTGAAAATTTGAACACGTTAGACGGAATAGAATGGGGAACGAAATATGGTCGATTTACAACGATAAATATTTCGAAATATTAATATTTTACACGTAAAATCAATAACACTTACTCACATCATGTGTGTCCGTTGTAGTTTCTGGCGATTTCTGCCGCTTTAAGCTTGCTTTACCATCACTGTTATTCCTGTCCTGTCACTTCGTCTTTTGACAGGAATAACAGTGATGGTATCTATCGCAATGAGTTATCTATATGACACGCATTCTGATTGGCTGAAACAGCTTGCTAAATCAGAATAAACTGTTCAGCCCAGCTTGAGGGAGCCAAGTAAATTCTCGACATTTCATGATGGATTTATGGCACATCAAAAGGACTACTAGCGCTAATTCATGTGCAAATGATCAGTAGCCGACGGCCCATGAATTTCACAACAGGCAAGTGCTGGACAAGGTAACGAGAAAAATGAAATAGATCCGATAAAATTTTCAGTGAAATAAGTAAGAAAAAAATTTGAGAAAGACTGCAGATGCGCTACCCATTTCGGCATCAAAAACGTGCATCCAAAGGTAAACTGAGCCTCTGGTTAAAATAAACGACCATTTCATCCAATTTTCGACAACGGAAGAGCAGAGATATGACCACTTTATAAAATTCCAGGATGTCAATGCAACTGATAAAGATTATAAATACAGCTATAACAAGTAAGACCTGGAAATAAAAGAGTGTAGGACACTTACAAAGGACATTCACTTTGGAATTTGAGGTATCATTTCCAACTCTGTTTCTCGCCACACATCGGTATTCACCGCTGTCCATTCTGCTTACATTCTTTATTGTCAATCGCTGTTTATCATGTGAAATGCTGATCCTAGAATTGCTGTTTATGGGAAATCCATCTTTGACCCAGGATATTGATGGTTCTGGATTTCCAGTGGCGTTACAAGACAGAGTCATGTTTTCTCCCTCCATGGGAGTTTTCCCTTCTGGATGAATGTTCATTAAGGGCAGCTCTGTGTGAAAAAGCAGCAAGAGTTTTTTTTAAATCTGATATTCAACATCTATTCTTAACATAAGTGCTGTAGGGAAATGGTAGTTCATTTCGCGACGTCTGTATTTTCAACCAGGAAGCTAACTGTAAAATGTTCTTTTCTGCCAAGTACGTTGGTAGTTATAACTTGTAACAGTAATAGAACAAACACTTTATCCCACATAAGAGAACTCCTGATTTTCTGAAACAAAAATGGAACAGATTGGACCTGATAAGCTCTTCTTCAAAAAGTACTTTTGGTGCTCCATGTAAATGATAAGGTCTTCGCCAGTGATTGAGTACTTTTTGTTAGTAGACGGATTAGTTTCATCTCAGAGATCTATGAGTAGCTGAATACTTTGAATTAATTGTTTTTTCTGATTGTGGATTGCATCGATAACGTTGTAACGTCACATGGGCCACAGCTCATGCTCCAACGAGGCTCCCCTCTTGAAATGGTCGTTATTCCCCTCTCTTCTTCAAAATGAATACAAAAGCCCACCTCGCCAATAAGCAACTCATCAGAATGGCGCGGGAATTAAGTAGCCCTACTATACCTCCTCAGAGCGCTCACGGTAAATGACATTCCTACTGTTCTATAAACTAAAATTTTCAATCTCCGAAAAAGAGACAAACGCAGTTGTAAAGTGCTTAGTAACATTCAGTACCTTGGCTTATGATTGATGTCTTCTGGGATGAGTTACCCACAGCATTAATAACAAGGCAGGTGTAGTCTCCAGCATCCCGAGAGGTACTTTGATTTATAAGCAACTGTATTTCACTTTCATTATAATGTGAAACAGTAAGGTGGGACTCGTTGACCAGCAGACTAAAATTTCTAGCTATCACATCTCCATCTTTTATCCACTGCACTTCAGACACGGGTGGTAGAGCATCGTACTCGCACACGAGTTTCTTTATTTTACCAACAATTGCAAACTGTTGTGGACCACCAATCATTGTGACTCCAGGTATATCTACATTTAAAAAACGAAGTATAAATTGCATATATAATTAATGAATATCTTATATTTCAAGAATCAGTTTCATAGACTCACTGATTCAGTTTCGCACTGTTTTGGCACTGATAATAAAGGGAATCTTTTCGCGTGTAAATAAATCTGGAATCCGCCATGAAAGGCCCTTCAGGCAATTTGTCCTACGTCTTTTAAACCAGTGTCAATTAGGGAGCATAATTATGTATAACTTTGTCATCTCGACTCTATAGTTGATTGTCCCTCAGACTTTAGAGATAACGCGACTCTGATGGGTGTTATATATGATGTTATATATTTTAAGGCCAAGTGAGGCTTTTGCGTGGAAAGCAAGATGAACCATCTCACTTTCAAGAGAAAACCTTCAGGTTTCATTTATTAAAAATCCTCATTACTTACAATGCACTTCCAAGGTGGTGCCATAGGACGTAACATTTTCAACACTGTTTTCCACCACACATCGGTACACTGCTCACATTCTTGATAGAGAGTTGCCTTCCTTCGTGAGACAAATCCATTCTAGAACTGTTACTGGTGTCCACAGAATGTCCATTTCTAGTCCATGATATTCTCGGTGCTGGATTTCCGGTGGCGTTGCAAAATATAATCACCTCGCCTCCTTCGGTTCTGTGAATCATTTGTAGAAGAGGGTTGATCTTGGGTTTATCTACAACCGTCCGTATGAGAGAAGCAAAATCACCAGCACATTATTTTAAAGAGAAGAAAGTAACATTTACAGTTGCCTCGAAAGAAGGAGGTATTTCTGATCCGCTCCATAGAAGTCTAAACAGTACTATTAGGGACCAAAATGTGGATAGGTGCGGAATGTGATTTTTTAGATTGATATTAAAGTCTAGTGGGACAGTGGCAACAGATAACAGTATTGTGCCCTAAATCAAATTAACGAAAAAAAATTGAAAAGAAAAGGAACTTTGTGAAAAGGACTTGTAGATGATGCACCCATCAAAATGATTCGAATTTTAATTTTCCAAAACGAGAGTGCAAATAATGTTCGTAAGCTAATAAACGGGTGGGTGGAATCAATTAGCGGTACCTCCTACAATCTAAAAATGATTGAAATTGATCATTATACATATTGACTGAATTGTCATGAAGTATTCAACAAATAGATTCCAAGTTGCCGTGCGTCTGTTCAGTAATAGATCACAGATGACGTCAAAATGTGGTAAGAACAAAAAAGTGGCACACGAGGCGCACTGATTGTTCTTACCACATTTTGACGTCCTCTGTGATCTATTACTGAACAGACGCACGGCAACTTGGAATCTATTTGTTCTTTATAATAAAGAATTAAAATATTCGGAAAAAAGTTTTTAATGATGACGTCATCCATACGTCTGTCCTCCAATAGATCATAAGTGAGAACCAATCAAAATGCTTGTATAACTGAGCTTATTATATAATGTTTATTACAACATAGACAAAATAGGAAGTTTCATGGTTACTTGGGAGCATTAAAACAACAGCTAAGTAACAGTTGCATAAGAGTTTACATAGTCATTGCTTCGTAAGTCAATGACTCTTTGGCACTTTATAAACTTATGAAAATGGTAAACTAGGATTAAAGATCACAAACATTTCAAAATTGAGCAAATAATTTACTCAGCTATTTAAATGCGATGATTCACAAGAAAAAGAAAGGAAAAGTTTTCTTACGTTGGACTCTCAGTATACTTGCATTGGAAGAAATATTTCCAAGACTGTTGTTTGTCACACATTGATATTCTCCGCTGTCTGTTCTGCTTACGTTCACTATCGTTAGGTGCTTCTTATCATCCGTGAAAAAAATACCAGAATTGCTGTTCGTATCTAAGGGAGATCCATTCATTGTCCAAGAAGTTGTCGGCTGTGGTTCTCCACTAGAATTACAATAAAAAGTCACAGCTGTTCCTTCTACAGGTCTAGTATCCGTCGAAGCAATATTTGGTTGATCTAAATCTGTAATTATCAACAAACAATACAGAAAATTAACATAAAAAACACCGTCGAAAACAATTTCGTCCACTAATAGTTGTAAACATCTATTGATCACTGGTACTAACAACGAATAACGGTTTTTAACTGATGTTTTTTTTTGGCTTAGCAATCCAATATAAACTTTAAAAATACCGGTCGCAATTGCGCAGGTGAAAATCATACAACTGGTCTAACTTTCGCTCTTGTGGTCGGTCATGTATGCTCGATGTATATCCTCGATGCCAGCTTTATCGGTCACCTGTCTACGCCTACCACCTCTCTTAGCCTATGCCGGGATGATCTTATGTCCTCTTCACTAACAGCGTACGGTAAACAACAGCCGCCGGTCCAGGTAGGGCTGAACTTAGGCCAACAAGATTTCCTCTACGGTTAAAGAGGACATCTAACTTCACTAAACAGCAGGTATTCTCCCCAAACAAGCTACAATGTTGTCTTAAACGAGTCTTGAGCGGAGCGAAGGTGCTCAATGTTTGACTCAATCAGTTAGAATTATTATTCACAATATATAGAAAAAGTTAAAGACTACTGAAATGATTTCTTGTTTGCTTGTGTAACATTGTTTCCAAAGTTTCTTTGTACTTACACAGTACTGAAATCTCCACTTCACTTGTATTTGCATCTGCGTTTGGTAGACTACTTATTTCTATCGTGTAGCTTCCCTTGTCCAATCTATTCACTGCGAGGAGAGTAATTGATGTGTAATCATTTGTCATGTTCGCGTGTAAGCGACGACGGTACGCGCGTTGTATTATGGGTTTGCTATCACGGTTGCCGTTATGTTTGTCCACAACCTTTCTTCTACCCATTCTAAATGACGCTGAAAGGAATGATTCCCCGTCGACAAATGTATACCTCCATTCAAGGGTAATATTGTCGCCCTCCAGAGCAAGAAATGAGTTTTCAGGTGTTCTGGTAAACTTCAGCGCACCTGATAATAGAAACGATAAACATTTTCCGGTTTTAACATTTTTTACATTGTGATATAACTTGACGTTTAACTTACAACGTTTTCGTTGCATAACTCCACATTCTTACTAATAGTTTAATTTACATGATATTGTGCACGCATTCTCTCTGGTTATTACTTATGATCTACTGGAGGACAGATGCATAGAGAACGTCAACACGAAAAGCTTTTGCTTGTTCACGGTTGGAAACGGCAGGGTGCCTTACTTTCTCACGTTCGTTGACGACCACATTAAGCTTTCGCATTTTCAGATACAATACATTTTGTGTAGAAAGCGCAACTTTCAAGCTCCGTCTCGGGAGTTTCTACTACTACGTTTTGCTTTTGTCAACACATACAAGCATATAATAGCTTCGAACAATAAGATGTATGTAAAGCTTACCTTTGGCAGAAAACACGAAAAGTGCACACAGAAAGATTTTAAGTGAGCCTGCCTCCATTCCACAGGATATCTTTTGTTGTCTTTCACATCGATTGAGCTTTTTTAAATACAATAAATGCCGCCTTTTTTAACATAAAGAAGCGACTAGTCGATAGAACGAACCTCGGTGTGCCGATACTTCTCTGTAACACGATGATTCTTGCAAGGTATCGATTACTAGTCTTAAACAATTATTGGCTAATGGGTCACGCATTTCCGCCGAGCTCGGTCGGTTTGATGTTTTAGATGTTTCAGTCAAGAGCTGTCGTAAACCTTCATTTTGATCACTACAACGAAGGATTCCGAGTGCTTTGCAAATTCTGTACAATATGTAAACTGTTAGTTCTCCGCATGCATCTGTCTAATAGAAAACCTTGTGAAAACTATATGAAAACCGCATGATAATTTTTGAGACATGTACAGGAATGCATCTCAGAGTTTGAGTTGTCAATCACTGTCAATTACTTTGTTTAAAAACGTAATTCCGCAGGAACTAGAAGTAATCCCTCGCTCTTCAAATCCTTGACGTTTCATCCATGCTTTTCGGTAAGTGAACGCTCAGTATTCTGAAAAAGAAAAAAGTGGCAAAAGAAGGTCCCATTAATTATAAGTCTTTGTATTAGCGACTTCGTCTACGATGTATATTGTTTAAAACCCCAAGAGAACTGGTATTCCTTCAAGATGACACTGAGATGCAAATAAACGCTTTCCACCTCAGACTTAGACCCTTCAAAACCGCCACTACTTCCTTGATTATTTACCCACCACCATTTAAGTCTAATATCGCAATGCGAGCCAAGTTTAACTTTCACATCTAACTGTTTAAAAGGATAATACACTTCTCACGTGCACAAATTGGACCTGGAAATATAATCCGCACTTTGCTCTTGTTAAATAATAATAAGCTCATTATGATTGAATATATTCTTGAATTTTGAATAACAAGCTCATTATGATTGAATACAAAATTCAAAGATGACAACTTTTCTAGAACACAAATCAGAAACGGAAATATAATCTTCACGTTCTCCTTTAAAAAATGACAATAACAAACTCGTTATGTTTGAAAGCAAACTTAACTGAGACTATTAATTGAGTTGATATTCTCTTGACAATATATAACGTTAATGAAACGAAACTGACTATCACTCCATATTGCTGAGGGACCGCCTGTGAGGGGGGGCAGATTTTTTGGGGGATTGCCTGGTTTTCATGAGAACAGAAGGGAGGATCAGCCCTAATTGACAGGCACTAAGTGGAGGGGGGAACCATGAAAAAAAGGAGAAAAATTTTTGAAGTGTTGGGCACCCCGCTCTCAGTGTACTATGTATTACCACGAGAAAGATGTCGTTACATAATACTAACGCTACTTAACGCTTTACAAGCGGTTTAAAGATGACATCATCAGTTGCTATCTGGGTAGTTCCTAACGAAACCCTTATCGAACTTCTTGATAAGCTCAGCTCAAGAAAAAAAATCGAATCAAGCTTACGTATATGATTAGCCAGAATGGTATTTCCTTTCTTAATTTAATTCTGTTCAAAGAAGTAAAGACATCTTGTCTGGTGCGTTTAGAATGCACTATTCTACCTTTCAGAAACATCTCAATAAGTACTTGTACATCCCTTTCGAGTTATTCCATCACTTTGATAACAAGAAAGCGTTTATTAATGTTAATTTAAAAGGTATACGAAGAAACTATTCCTCCTTTAAGTCCTTTTCAGGAGACCAGGGATAAAATTCTGGCGACGCCTCGGGCTCAGGGGTTAACCCTTTCAAGTTTTTGTTCTCACTGTTCTGAGAAACACGATACAGGGATCGCAAAAATGGCTTAAGTCTAAAAACAAAGCCAAGTCAATTATAGCGTTTGTTTTGAGAATACATTCAACCGTAACCACGCACATATTAAGAAGGCTATCATCACTGTGTTTTCAAATCAGCAAATTAATGTAAGTAAATAATCTTAGACGCCCCCAAACACATCACGTACTCGTATATATGACGTTCGGAAGATTTCCGATTGCTTAACACTATGCGTGTAGGTCAAGAGTAGACATCGTATTTACAATGTGTATATTATGCAAGCTTATTTTCCATACTTGTAAAGACTCCTTGACGAAGTCTGCTATTATCAGAAGAAGCGCTCAGCATAATAAAACATGTTTCAGTTTATGATTTCATTTCGTGCATTGCTGCTCACTAGTTGATCTAGTTTAAAAGAAAGTTCATGGGACGTAAGCATTGATATAGTATCACTTGTATCCATAAAGTAACACTATCCTTTTGTAATGGCTGGAAGAGAAGAGGGAGGGGGGCATCATGAAATATTCCCCCGCCAACAGATGGGGATAAAATTTAAAAAAAAAAGGCCTGTTTACTTTCAAGGGATTTACGTAAAAACTCCGTTGTCGCAACAAAATCTCCCCGCACTCCTCCCCCCACCTCCCGGCGATAGATACCGGTCCCTAACGGAGTTCGAGGTCCAAGTTATGAGTTGCGAACCGAGTTTTATCCCCTATCCATTAGTATAATTAAGTTCGGATATGACGCAAGCTATCATTGGTTGAAAGAGCGTGCTCTGTGGGAGTGTAGAGCATAGAGCTAAAGCTGTCACGCCATCTGCCAAATTGTACCATGTCTCTAGTATTTCTTTTCTCTAGTTTCTCAAGAAGTGGAGAGAAACACTCGACTACGTCTCGTGTTTCCCTAAACTTCTTTCGTGCTCTAGCCGCTTCCTTCGTGCTTTATAACAGAGCAGAGCACAGTCAAGTCTTCTCTATTTGTTAATTGGGAAAACGACAGTTCAGAATATATTGTACGGACAGACCATACAGTCAATTTTCAAACGGATTTAGTGTATTGTGTAATCATCCACTGTAGAGGCAAATTTTATGACAACACCTAAATATCTTCCTATCTGACGCGTAGTTGACTAGTAAGCTACAGCACTGTTGTTATCATTTATATCTGTGTGCGACGGTGTAACAATGAACTCCCTAAAAAACTAGAAATTAACAATCAGAAAGCTCTATTTCCTCATATATTTCTTCATTTGATCCCCTTTTGTTCTCTTTTTCAGGAACCACGTTGTAATACTCAGCGTTCACGTGGCTCCCTTGTAAGGACTGGTATTCAAGGGCGACTCGTGTTTGTCCTTCCGAAGGCCTAGGGCGTAGCTCCATATATGACCCTGGTTCTGACGCATGCTGATCAGGCGGAAAGACAGACTGGACAGTATCTCTACTGGTGGATTTCTTAGCAGTCGCTGGTCTGTTGCTCGCCTGAGCTCTTTTAAGCCTCCATATCAATACACCAATGAAAAAAAGCAACACAAAAACAATGCATGACCACGCAATGTCACTGGCCCGAAAGATGCTCTGTACATCTGTTCAAAAAGAAAAGAAAATATACTGATAAATAGAGGTACACTGAGTGAAACAAATCCCTCGAAATCACATCATTGATTATTATGAAACATAATAAAAAAATATCAAACCCTTCTTCGTTAAAAATAAGTCAAAACTAAATTCAAATTGAGTAAAAAGGCAATTCTAAAGTTATAAGTGGCATAGAGGTTGGTATTATTTGATCCTAGTGTTCTAATCTAAATTAATTGTAAATGATGGCCCAACGTCTTGTTTGTTTATTGTTTTGTTTGTTTGTTGTTGTTGTTTTTTTTATTTTTGTTTTGTCATTAGTCCTTGTCATTTTTACACTTATTAAGTATTTTGCCCCTTAATCGTTTCGTTTTATCTTTTTTTTTTTCGTTTTTAAACGCTTTTGCTTAGATTTTGGCCCTCTGTAGGTTCCTCTGGTAATACACTAAAAGATAAGAAATAAAAAAATATAATTTTAATTTCAAATCGAGGAGGCTCCACAGGGTTTTTTGTCAATGTTGGTGTGCACGCCAGCGTAATATTTGCTTAAAAATTTTTGTGATTTCGCTTTTCTATGTCACTAAACGTCATCAAAAGGCGATAAGCAAGGTTCGAAATATCGTTTGCTTTAATAAATATTATCAAAATGATTTTCGTTATTTAGCTAAGGCTTCACGAAGGGAGGCGCTCGTGATAATTTGGCTTTGCCTTTGATTTTCTTCAGTTTGCCTCGCTGAAATCTCTTAAAAATTTACACAATTTGCAAAATATGTCCTGGCGATCATATAAAAGTCGAAAAAAGGAGGGGTTACAAAGGATGTTTTTTTGCTACTTGCAATTTTGTGTTTTCTTCCTCTATTTCAAATTTAGCCTTACGAACTTTTTTTTTATCAAGAGGCACTAGAAAATCTTAGGAAATTCCACCGATGGAAACACAATAAATCTTGCTTGAAAGACCCCTATTTTCTTTGTCGCAGAACATTACGCAATGGAATAGAACTTCGCCATAATCTTTATCTGAGCATTCGTAAACTTTCGATTCCGTCGCCTTTTAGCAATCTTTCCCACGGTGTTTTCTGTTTAATTGCGTATAAGGCCTATGAATATTACGGGTGCAGTTGCTGAAAATTACAGCTTCCATCACATAAAAACTGTATTGGGTTAAACTGTGATCGTATTGAGCCGCCATGTTTGTCTTGCGTGTTGACACTTTTAAAGCTGGTGTTCGCACCCAGATTTCGCGCGGTCAAAAAACCCTGTAGAGCCTCCTTTAACGTTTCATGCAAAAATTGTTTGACATAGCACAGGCGGCCCAAGCTTTAGCTGTGAGATGATCATCTTGCAAAATAAGAGTCATGGCGAAATTATGAAGGTTGTAGGGGAATATTAACGACCGCCAGAAGCCCATTCCTGCCACCGCTCTTAGGAATAAAAAATACAATGAAATTCTCAACAAAAATACCTCACCTTACCTCCACAGTGCATCGCTTGTTATTTGACCGCTTATTATGTTGAAAAGAGCCCATTTTGGCGAGTTATTCTTTTCTAGGTTTACCACGTACATAAGAGAAGCCTAAGGCTGCACACTCCATTTCCAAACGCCTGATCCGAGAAGCGAAAAATCCAAGCTCAAAATGACCGGGCGGCCACAAATCCATCGCAGAATCCAAGCACGTATACTGTAGTTTAATTTCAATTCACTAAAGACTCAATCTTTCCTGTGAAACCGACGCTAAACAGCATTTTGCTTCAAAAATTTCCAGTTTTCTAACCCTGCCTCCTTTTCAATTTGAGCCTCGCCTCACTGTCACCTATCATCTACAAATTGTTTTAGAACCACGGGTGCCAAGTGACGATGTGGTTCCCGGCAAGGCACAATTTGCAAATAAGGCAGGGTTATCATGCCAGTGTTCAACGGTCGTGTATCAGAGTGACTATGTACGCGGGCCGTTAGAAACGTGTAAACTAGAAATTTTTGAGGCAAACTGCGGCTTAGCGTCGATTTCACGGAGAAGATTTAGTTTAGTTTTTAGTGAATTGAAATGAAACTACAGTATATGTGCTTGGATTCTGTGATGGGTTTGTGGCCGCCCGGTCATTTTGAGCTTGGATTTTTCGCTTCTCGGCTCGGGCGTCCGGAGATGGAGTGTGCAGCCTTTGGGCTTCTCTTATATACGTAGTAACCTAGAAATGGATAACTCGCTAAAATGGGTTCTTTCCAACATAGTGAGCGGTCAGATAACAAGCGATACATTGTGGAAGTAAGGTGAGATATTTTTATTGAGAATGTGATTGTATTTTATATTCCTAACATCGGTCGTAAATATTCCCATACAAACTTTTATAATTTCGCCATGACTCTTATTTCGTACGATCATGTCATATCTCACTGTGGACGTAGTTAAGTATCCATAGACACTACCTACGCAATCAGATATAACTATAAAGGAACAATTGTTTCTTGAACGTTGAGAGCGTTTAACATTTACAACACTTACTATTTTTCTCTTCTCTGCTTTCTGACAAAGCTATTTTGTAAGATGTAGATCCAAATGAGTTTGTGGCGTGACAGACATAATCTCCAAAGTCTTGATCATCAAGAGGAGTGATAATAACACTGTTGTTCATGACCTTGATGTTATGGCCATCTAAAGCCTGGCCATTCCTTGTCCAAGAATAGTTAAATAGAATGTCACTAATGGCGTGGCATAGCAAAGAACATGGAGTTTCCTTTGCACATAGAACTGATCGAGGGGAAAAGTCTTTCATGATACTGGGTGGCACTGAGTTTAAAAGGAGGAAAAAATATAAGATTCGACATCTTTAATACAGCCAAAGAATAAGATTAGGTTACGTTTACAGGACAACGTTTAATACAGAACCTCTAACACTTTCTGAAAGCTGATCAGCACTGTTTCCACCCGTAGTTTGAAAGGCCATGGGGTCCTGGGTTCGAATATCTGACATCAATCATTTTTAGCTTCTGCTCACATAAAGGAAAAATTTCCTTTTGTGGCCTGTCATACCACGGTTGATGAAACTTACCAGCGATGACCACTGCTGTAGCTGTTCGGCGTTGCCCAAAACTGTTTGATACTCGGCATTCATAAATGCCTCCGTCACCAGGTGCGACCTCTTGAATGACAAGAATGTGGTTATCGTTTCTGAATTGAGCCCGTGGTATACTGGTATTTTCATCTTTACTCCATGTAACAGAAGGCTTTGGATCTCCAGTAGCCTCACATGTTAATACTACCACATCGCCAACTTGGAAAATGGTTCTTTCCGGCAGTTCTTTGACGGCGGGCTTACCTGATAGAATTTCCCTGAGTTAGCAGTTTTTACACAACAATAACAAAACGGAAGGGTCATGTCTCTGAGAGAGGAAAAGAAATTACCCGGGATCTACCTTTTAAAGGGCTTACGTAATAAGAGTCTCAATGAATTTGACTGTGAGGGCCAAACAAATGGGACGTCTTTCAGAGAAAATAAAGAAACTAGTACTCCGTGATTTATTGCCTAAAGGGTTGTTGAAGTAGCTATTCACTGACATAAGTAATAAATAACTTTTTCGTTCGAGTTGGTTCAAAAGTAGTTGTTTTAGTGACAAACGAATTCTTTGAACTTTACCTTTGGTTTCAATCGTTACGAAGTTACTAGAAAAGTACACCATCTGCAATCGAAAAAGCAGGAGGAAAGAAATCATCCATAAAACTCTAGGATACGTACATCATGATTTTTTTTTCTGTACTCAAAGTATCTTTACTTGTTCCCCATCGTACAATTGTAATCAAAAGCTTCAATGAAGAATACATCTGACGGACCGATTGACTGACTGATTAGCCGAACAAAAGAGCGAACGAGAGAGCCAAAGCCATGAGCGACTAACTGAAAGTGTCATTGATTTTCTTGACAAATAAGACCCGGAGATGAAGGGTAAGCTTTTGCATTCCCTCGCTGTAACCTAAATCTTTTGCAACGTATACCTCATCCAGAAATTTTGGTAGCACGTAACTTGTTAAGCGATGGTTGAATGTAATGTGAGTGAAATTTTGTTCCACAGGCTTGCATTTTCAAAAGAGCTCGTTTATCACGTTACCTTCTCTATAAAAGCCCTGAGAAACACTCTGTACTTTGTATTTGGCTGAAGTGGTTTGTTGAGAAAGACCTCCCCATCATTGCTTCTCCTATTTCTTGTTTTACTGCTTGAATGTCCTCCATCTCCAACAACAAATTCTCGGAACGCATTAAAGTCCTGCCCTCTAAACTGAAAAGTGACATACGCTGCAGGAACCGGAGATTTATGGGCTTCTTCGTACGTCATTAGATCCTTTGGTGTTAAACTCTCAGGTGAGTTAACTACACCAGTATGGTCCAAGCTGTATCTTATAACTATGACTTGAAAGAACCTGTAAAATAGGATATTCATTACTTCAGCAAAAAGCTTAAAAGATTGACAAATTCTTCACTTAAAAAAGAAAAAGGAAGGTGAAATAAAAGGCTCATACTTTGCATTCCCTGGAAAGCGTGGTAATGTTATGTTTGCTGTTATGCCTTCTCCACTTGGAGTCTTAGAGAAGGAAGGTGGAGATGGTGTTTCTTTTGACCACGTTTGGGATAATTTCAAACCTGTGCAAGCAAAAGTAAGGAACAAACTTACACCTACATTGAAGATGAAAACTGAATAGCTTAGTAATCTGGCTACACTTTCTCATTAGGAAGCAGGTGATGAAAATGCTGAACACTATACCGTGTTTTTTAAGGTCCGTGTTTGTTAAGATTTAGGATAAGGACATGGTACGGGACACAAAAAAAGTATATAACTTGATGAAATCTCTGAAGTATAAAGCCGATGCAACAGATCGTTAGTTTCACCTTTCCAACCTACTTTTTGTTTGCACGACTACAGCTTTGCCATAGGGTCCAGGCCCTGCCACAGTGTAACCTCTAACAGACACTTTATACTTTGCACACATCCAGAAGCCAGCCAGTACTACACTTGATTTGGTTGTGTTCATCGCATGAAAGGTAAAGTCAACCTTCAAACAGCTCTCCTTTAACTCGAGACGGACTTCGTAAAGTTTAATAACACCATTTGCCGCCTCTTTAGGAAGTTCTGCCCAAGTGATTCTGTTTGTCGTGTAGTTTACTTCACTAAAAGAAACGTTTTCTGCTCCGCGACTTGGTTCTATGAGAGGAAAACATAAATAATAGTTTCACATTTAGTTATCGGTGAGTACAAAACACTCCATCATAGAATGTTAGATTAAAATTAAATTATCTCTTGCATATAGGAAATCATCTTTTAAGGAAAGATAATGACTTGCTAACTTGATTGGAGGAGTATCAAACCCATTACGCTGCAGTGCACGGAAAACAGGGTGCAGAAATTTGATTTTTTTTTTTTGGTCACATTATAACTTTGTCTTGCACTTTGCATCATTGTATTCAAGAACAGACTGCGAAACAAAGGAAACTAGCAGTATATCATGACTAGTAGAAATTAGGACATAAACGTTTCTAATTTGAAATAATCCACAAAATGTACTGTACATACATGTATGCACCGTTGCAGATGTAGAACACGCCCTTGAAGTTGGCATGATAATAAATACTTGCATCATTCCCACTCCTGCATATTATTTGTTTTTACCGGCAAAATTGTGTCTATCAGCAAAATTCTACAGCCTCAAACCACACAAAAAAAATAGTTTCCTGACAATGAAATTGCGCAATTTGCCTTTTTCTTCTGTTATATATATTTCAAAATAGTGATTATAGTGTCGTAATGTACCAGTGATTATTTTAACACTGTCACATGTGGAAACTCAGTCATATCTTTTTTTTTTAAATCCAATGTGCGAAAAACAGCGAATTGACCTTCGTTTTTTTCTCCCTTTTTTTTCTTATTATTGCTTGTTCTTTCTCTCTGGCTTAGGGAACAAGTTACTTACGTGTAGACACACAATAAATCAGTCTCAAAGTTAGACTTGATAACTGTGTTATCAGTATTTAGTTGTAAGGACACTGCCAATTTTTTTACTGTATAGTAAGAGTAGCTTATACGTTATATGCCACTGTATTAGATACTACTGAGAAATTTGTTTCCGGGTTTTTATCTTCATCTCCCAATCCTTTCTTTCCCCGTGATGATTTGCGCCCTCTTTGACACAACTCACTTCAAGAAAGCACGAAATACTATGAAGCACCTTTCTATCTTACTCTATTGCGCATTTACTTATGTATCGAGTGAAAAATTTCACATATTCACCTAAATGTCCACGATCATTCTTCTCTATGGGGTGTTCGAGGCAGTAACGTACACGACAAAAGTAAGGATATCAGCACATATGCTACCATAAAACTTACTGGGCCAGTTATTTACACGAGGTCTAACCCAAACCGCGATTTTACGCAAGTAGTGGGCCTCAGGGATTCTGTATAAGAGGGTTGGTCTAATCAAATAAATGTCCTCCCACTATTAGCGTTCGGTCCTCTTTACACTGTTTACAAAAATTAATGTTTAGATAAAAGGTTCGGCTGAATTGAAGATGGCTTAGAACGCAGTTTTGTTAAACAACGGCTAAAAGTTGTTTAAATAAGCGGCCCACTGTGTTCCAGTGTCTCCACAACTTGGGAAACACTTGCTGGTCCATTTCCAAAAATAGGAAATGCTAACACTCTGATGCTGTGGTTTGTAAGGACGATGTAGCCTTTGGTGGTACATCGAGTTCTAGAGGTAAAATCATGATGTTAAAAAGTACATCTAAATTTTGGCAACGTTCATAAAGTTTATTTCGTCAATCTTGCACGTCATCCTATTTTCACGAAGGCTTGTGTGACCAAAAGTTAAACTGTTGCAAAATCTGTTAACGAGCACTTGGCAAAAAACCTTCCGCTGCTTTAAAAATACTTTAAAAGTAACCTGCCAGGAGGAGTGTCTTTTATTATCTGTTACATTAAAATTTTGCAAGAAGTACAAGAAGATCAAAACCAATAAAAACAAAATAAAAAACACTCACTATCACTACGAAACACTTAGTACCACAAAGTAGTGTTTGTGTCCATGTGAAAAAACTGCTTTTAAAAGCTGGCTGCGGGAAATAATGATACAAATCGTGTTATACTGTTGTCTTAAAATTACTAATAAAACCGGCACCAAAAACCTCTTTCCCGAGGGCCCTTGATCACGATTCGAACGTACTTAGAAAGCCTTACAGGAAGATTGTTTAAAGCAGTTGTCATGGTCAGGTAAGGAACATGCTAAACATAACAGGTGTGTTAAAGAAACCAACACTCAAACTCATAACTTAGCTTTTTTTTCTCGTCTTAAATGAAACGTCCCTAGATAAGAGTGTAATATAACCCTGAAAAGAAGCGTGCTTCCTTTAGGATTAGTCTTAATTTCCTGAAAATTTAAGTGCGTAAGAGCTTCCTAAAGTTCAGTACAAATTTAAGCGGTGTGGCGTTACGAATCGATATTTACTTCTTCAGAGCTCATTGTCTTCGAACCATGGTGTAAAGAAGAAGAACGCCGATTCAGACTTGGTTTTTCTCATATTTGTCAAGAACTTTTTTGTTGCTTTCATTCGAATCCACCAATTTGGAGGGAGGCGTTAGTGCCAAAATGTCCAAAAGACAGGTGGTTATTCAAAATAACAGCTACAAGATTTGCTCTTTCAAAACATTACATTATGAAACATTTCTTTAAGTCAGGTAACTTGAGGAGAGAATCAGTTAATATCAAACATTACCAGAAGTTTCTAGTGTATCTCCCAACCCCCTGCCATGTTCTTGTGGTAATTGTGTAGCTTTCATCCATAACTCTCTTCATACATAGCAAAAAACTCCATAGAGTAAGCAGCATACCTGCTTCATCTGTGGTAACATTAATAATAGGGCTGCTGTTACTTCTGCCAATTTTGTTTCTGGCAAACACTCTGATATTATATATTGTCCAAGGAAAAAGACCTGTAAGAGAAGCAGTTGTGGAGAGACTGGAAACCACGCATGCACTGCTTGAGAGTGATCCTTGACAAATAACATCCTTAAAGATCTGATCATGTTCACTGATCTCTACTGTGTAGTTTCCAATGGCACTATTTCCATCAAAACCAGCCGTCCAGGAGATATTTATAGCTCGCGAACCCTTTGTGATAACAGTAATGTTCTGAGGTGGCTCTGGAACAACTAGGAATTAAACAACATTTAAATAAACAGTAAAATTTACAATTGAAAGTTTATTTGTCTTGCTGTAAAGTACATACTAATTGGTGTTTATGATAAAAATTTACAAGAAAGAAAAATTTCTCGCTCAATGTATTATTTAAAACATTATTTCTTTCTACGTTGGGGGAACTGACTAAATTTCAAAACACGAAGAGCAGATCATGTGATTTTAAACAAGCTGTCCCTTTTCTGCTGTTTTTGATTTTTCTTATGCTTAAACAAAACACAACAAAACAAAACAGCAAAACAAGTCACGAATTTTAAAGAGAAAAATTCAAATCTCAGCAACTTACCACCTTCATCTGTCTCTCTCTCCACAATTTCACTCCGACCGCTGACACCCTTGCGGTTGAAGGCCTGTATGGCAAACTGGTATGATGTGTACTCATCTAGAGACGCCAGTACTGAAGACGTAGTCTCCGCTCTGTCAACAGTTTTGTTCTTCCACGATGCCTCTGGCTCGCTTTTTCTCTTGTACAGAATGTAATAGCCCAGAATATCACCTCTAGCGTCTTCCTTAGTGAGCATCTAGATGACAATGATAATAATACTAAACTGTGATGAGGGAGCCGAGTAGAATAAAATTAATCAACAAAGGTATCAAACTGCTATTAATTTCAACATGTTGAGTAATAATTCACTCACACGGCATATTAACCATGCTCCTTTCGGTTTCCAGTCTCTCCAAGCAATAATGATGAATATGAATATCTTTTAGCCACAATTACTTGATAAATATACCACATGCAATATCACTTCCTAAATTGTATTGCAGTACAATGCGATAGATTCATTTCTTTAGCTCCTGCAGTCATTTCAAAAGATGTTTATGCATTCATTGTAATGTTAGCACAGTTTTGACTACTCGGAACCACAGTCAATTAGTAAATAAGTCACCAAGAACTGTTGCGAAAAAGAAAGTGTCCAACCTGCCCGCTGCGCATGTCTTAGTATTGTCTTTTCTGAGTGTTATAGAGCAAAGCTATTTAAAAAAAAAACTTTTGATAACGGTGTCAGTGGAGCAGGAAACTCTAATAAATGCTAAGTGAAAAAAAGTGGGTTTACTACCTGCCAAGAAACGTTAACAGCAGTAGAATTGAGGACAGTCACGTTAAATGGTGGAGCGGAACTTGGTACTGTAAACAAATAATAGCACATTTTCTCCCCGTGAGTTACAAGAAATATATAGAATTGAAGTATAGAATTTTTATAACAAAGCCCAATGGTATAATAGCAATACATTTACAGTTAAAAAAGTCAACTCAAAGCATAGGTAAAGCCTAGTGCAGAGTTAAAAAATAACGGACAAAACATTGCAAAAAACACAAAAAAACAAACAGACAAATGACACGAAGTAAATGGAAGACAAGTGTTAAAAGCTCAACATCAACTTAATCAATTTACCAGTTGCCGAAGGAATCTCCAAAATACAGGTATATGATAAGATTTATCAAATGAAAAGGAACTTAAAATATTAGAAAAAGAGCACCTTCTTCTTCGGTGGTAACATTTACTACAGAGCTGTAGTTACCAGGACCAATCATGTTCCTGGCAAACACCCTGAGGTAATATGTTGTCCAAGGAAGCAGCTCTTTGATAGAAACTCTTGTGGAGTAAATCACACAATTATTCTTTAAGAGTGTTCCTTGACATATGGCATCTCTGAAAGTCTGCTTATCTTCTCTGATTTCCACTGTGTAGTTCTGAATAGCGCTGTTTCCATTAGAACCAGCCGTCCAGGAGACATTCACTTCCCGTGAAGCTCTTGAGATCACTTTGACATCCTCTGGTGGGTCTGGTACATCTGTAGGAAAAAAACAAACAAAAAAGAAACAAAAAAAGAAACAAAAAAAGAAACAAAAAAGAACAAGAAATTAGAATTACCGTCAACGATTTCTAAAAGTCTCCACCGAAAAGCTAAGGGCAAGGTTATAGAGGGCAATTAGCATTATGAAATGTTGTCTTTTTTTCCTTTGGCAACGTTTCCTCTCATATCATACTACGGCATACAGCTTATGAACGCAACAAAGCAATTTAATAAAATATTGCATGTCACAGCAATACAGGGCATTTGAAACTACACTGGGTAATATCTGAAAATATTTCAAGCGAATTTACTCACACTGCACTGTGAGGGTAGCTGCAGATGAATATGATATATTCTTGCTGTTTTCAGCTACACATCTGTATTGTCCTGAGTCTGAGCTGTGAACTTCTGCAATTTCTAAACTGTGATTATTGTTCCTTGAGGACAAGTTAAATCGACTATTTCCTGTTACATTTAGGTCTTTTCTGTCCTTTTCCCAAACAACACTGGGAGTTGGGTTCCCCACGACTGAACAACTAAAAGTCATACTATCTCCTCTTACTATTGTGACATTCCTCGGATGTATGAAGATTTCAGGTGCAACTAAAAAACAACATAGTTATTAATTAGAAAATCGTGCAAGTTTGATAAGTTTCAGAGATATGCGAATTATCAAACAGATTTCTCAATGCGAAATAGAAATTATCATTCAATTACAAGCTGAAACATTTACTCAAGTGTCCATAGCTACATAGCCGTGCGGTTCCAAAGCTTCTCTTACTTTTCTTCCTAATTCTTTCTCGTGTCAAATTTTTCTCAACTTGTTTCTATTTTTCCTTTCGTCTGTAATTTGTTTACTCAAACGTAATGTGACCATCTGCAGCTAACATGTTTGCCGCTTGACGTAATTCGCAACCCAAGAAAGTGTACCTAAGAGCCACAGTACAAAACTGGCGACCTTGAATTTATCTAAACTGGGAAGCTTAAAAGCCGCTGTTTAACTAACCGTTAACCTTTTTCGAACCAATTACGGCCTTTTTTTAGGACTATCGAGCCCTTGTTAATGATCCAAATAACTCGTTGTTGACTTACACTGGACATCTACAACAGCAGCCATAGACGTATCATTTCCGAGGCTGTTTTTCGCCACACATCGGTATGCTCCTCTGTCTACTCGGTTCGCTTTGGTGATTGCCAACTGCTTTTTGTCTGCTGAAAAGCTGATCCTGGAATTGTTACTTATGTCAGACCCATCTTTGGTCCACGATAGAGTAGGGAGCGGATATCCAGTAGCATTACAGTGTAACGTAACGTTTTCGCCTTCTGTTTTTGTCACATTACTAGGATGAGTGGTAATCTCACTTTTATCTACGATTGTAAAACAGTTGCAATGAACATTAGCAACACTAGCTATAAGCGCCAATATCTTTCTGAAATCGACAATTCAGTGGTCGTTCATGTTTACAGCAGACATGGCTGAACCAATTGAAATGACCTGCAAGAACAAAATGACTGTTTTTCCAGACTCTCGAGCTCACTTTCTACCGAATAAGTTACAAGAATTCAATGAACAGTTTACTGGGCCCCACTGAAAACCGCCCTGGCGAGTTGGGTTCCTTCATTAAAAATCGTTATTATTATTAATATCATTATTATTATTATTGTTGTTATTACTATTATAGTTAATACTTACATTCTACAGCTAATGTAGCAGCGTGTGAGCTGGCATTACCAATGCTATTGTTAGCCACACAATGGTATTTTCCTCTGTCTGTTCTGTACACATTTATTATCCTCAACTCGTTGCTCTCTGCTGAATAACTGATCCTGGAATTATTGCCAATAGAATGTCCATCTTTTTTCCATGATATTGCTGGTAATGGATTTCCAGTCGCGTTACAATAAAGGGTGGTGTTTTGTCCTTCCTTCACCGTGTCATCAGAGGGATCAGTGATAATTTCCGGTTCATCTGAAACGAAATAGAAACGGATATGAATTTTATCTTAGTTCCTCATTCACTCAGTATCTCTATACAAATGGTACTCGGTTAATTATTCTGAAAGGTATTCCCCTTTTCTAACGAAAAAAATTCCCACTTTAAAGCAAACCCGAGTACGCTGATTATAAAGAAACAGGAGAATACATTAAAGATTGGTCTTTGGAAGAGAATCGATATCTTAAAAGACAATCCGATGAACTCACATTTCACATTTAATTTAGCAGCTTTGGATATATCGTTTCCAAGTTTGTTGCTCGCCACACATCTGTATTCTCCACTGTCATTTCCGTTGACATTCGTTATCGTCAAAACTTTATTGACAACTGAATAACTGATCCTCGAATTGCTAGTTATAGGCGACTCATCTTTAGTCCATGAAGTTGTCGGTAATGGATTTGCAGTAGAATTACAAGAAAATGTCACGTTTCCTCCTTCTTCTATATCCCTGCTTTTAGGACGAATAGTAATCTCAGGTTTATCTGCAATTTTGAAATTGATCTTGTTAGCAAAGGGCAAATAACTGATAAACAAAACGTCTGCATGGAGATGCACACATGACTGTACATTCTTTTTTCTGCTATTAAAAAAATCATATAATGAAAGGTGTACTGCAGAGAGTGGGAGCAAATGTATTCAAAGGCCATGTTTATCAGACAATAATAGTATCAAAAGTTGACTACAGCGAAAACAAAAATAAAGGGTGAATTAGAGAAAAAAGCGTGAAAGCTGCTGTCAGTCGACGCTGATTATCAAAACGTTACTCATACCTTAGTAAGAAAGTAGAATATTCTTATCAGTACAGTAGTGAGATGGGAACTTACATTGGATGTCAACAGTAGCAACGTTTGAGGTATCATTTCCCAAGCTGTTGTTCGCTACACATCGGTAGTGGCCGCTGTCTGTTCTGTTCACATTTGATATGGTCAACAGCATGTTATGTATTGAAAACCTGATCCTGGAATTGTTGTTTATGGGAGATCCATCTTTGGTCCATAATATTATCGGTATTGGGTTTCCAGTGGCATTACAAAACAAAGTCAAATCACTTCCCTCTTCTTTGATCACATTCGTTTGAGGATGATAGACAATTTCAGCTCGAACTGCAATTTCAAAAAAATTTACATTGCAAAGGACTAACACGAAAGCATAAATATAACATGATAACAAATTTCGTTATGCGACCGCTTGGCTCGCGGTTTCCTTTTTCAGCGTATCTTTGCTCCACAGTCAGACAACTGACTGATCATTCCTCAATATTTCGGTGAAAGGACATAAAGAAAGCCTGCATAACGTCAGATAATAACATGCTTAACCTTACAATAGTTGTACTGCGTACAAGAAACGGTTCCAATTTAGAATATATGTTACCATATCGCTTACAAACAAACCACTATATACACTAACGTACGATAGCAACTAGCATTTTCAAAATACAGAAACTAGTCACTTCCCATCGAGGCAATTATCTCCTCGTAAAACATGAACTAGACCAAGAGTAAGCATGTCAGTAATTAGCTTGAAAATCATCGGAATTCTTTGGGTCAAAATGAGTATTTTGAATGAAATGCGAGGATAAAATGTATAATTCTCGAAGTATATGTTGGTAATCTAAACTACGCTTACCTAGGTAAGAAATTAAAAGCAATGAATTCGATCAAATTTACTGTATTTAAGCGGGTTAGCAGATTTAATCGAGATAATCACACGAGTAAAATGAAACATTCGAATTACAATATCAAAACATTTTGCTTAAGTTTATGGACTGAAACAGTGAATCTCAACAAATTCAGGTTAACAAGATCCTTTTCGCACACTACAGAGAATTTAATCCGCTTACATTGTGAATATCCGGAGATTTAAATTGATATAATCGATGGGCAGCCAGGGCCTATACCTCGGATGGAAGTCAACGAGGCTGATTTCCACTTCCAAATCCGTTAAAATTCTGTCTTCGAATAATGAAAAATTCCTTTTATCTCCTTGAGTAGATGAATAAAACACTAACAGTAATAGGACGAAGAATCAGCGAAAAAGACGCCCTCTGAAGGTAAAAATTCAGGCAAGAAGATCGTCCATACTAAAAAAGCATAGGTTGATCCAAAAGGAAGAAGAAAGAACTGCCGATGAAAAAATAATTACTGCTAGAGCTGCAAAAGCAATTATTATGAGGTATCCATATGACACGTATTCTGATTGGCTGAAACAGCGTGCTTAATCAGAGTAGATTTTCTGCCGAGCTTGAGAGAGCCAAGTAAATACTCGACATTCCATGATGGATTTATGGCACATCCAAAGGCCTACTAGTGCTTATTCATGGCTAATTTAAATCACTTACACTGAACATTAATCGTGGAAGCGTCCGAAGTATCCGCTCCAACTGAGTTGTTCCCTCGACATGTGTAATTGCCACTGTCTATTCTGTTCACATTCCTTATTGTCAACTGTTCATAGCCTGGAGACAAAATGATCCTGAAGCCGTTACTTATAGGATATTCATTCTTGTACCATGATATTGTTGGAACTGGATTTCCAGTAGCGTTACAATATATAGTCACGTTTTGACCTTCTCTTGTTCTGATATTGTGAGGATGCGTCGCGATCTCAGGTCTATCTGTGGATAAATACAGTATTACAAAAAAAAAAATTATTATAAATATCAATTTCGAGTTATAGGAATTGTTTTCCAAATGTATTAAACAGTTCACAACTTGTCCGCTGTTTAATTTATTGCTAATGATATATATATATATATATATATATATATATATATATATATATATATATATATATAAGTGTTGCGATAGGGGAAAAAACAGAGAGACTATACTTTCATCCCTACAAGCCTGTTTCGTGATTGCTCACTCATCAGAGGATTTTATCGTTAGGAATATTCGTACCATCGTTTATATACTTTACAAATGTGCATAATAGGAAAGTAATTTTTTTTTTAGCCCTCTGTGTCATACTTTCATTCACTTGAGCTCAGTTTACTTAAATATGTTTTGTTGGTGTGAATGGATATTAACTAGACTATGCTCTGTGGAATTAAACGATTCAGCGAGACAAATGACTCATCTGAATAAAGAGAAACGTTTCCGTGCGCAATCCGGGGCTTACAATTCGATTATCGTTCGCTCTCCATTTATGATGGCGAAAACTGAAGTGTAATGAACGTAAGAATACAAATAAATCATTATTTAGGAAAAACCCCTTTTGGTAATCTCTGACTGGTTTTGAAGCAAACAGTATATATGCTTGTAATACTTCAAAAAATGGCAAAGCTGAAACGTAGCTTCAGCAGCAAAGGGGGATATGCAGGTTACTGAAAATCTCCGTAGAAAAAATGCAAACATGGCTCTTGACTTGCAAGACTTATAAAACAGACAGTTCGGAAAGTTCAAAAAAGAGCACGAAGTTATGAAATAACCTGAAAGCGCACTTCGCTGTAGGCCTTGTCTCGCGTCTGCTAACAGTACATAATTGTATTAATAGTGCTTTACTTACATTGCACATCTAATATGACAATTATCGAGGTATCGTTTCCAACTTCATTATGGGCGACACACAGGTATCCTCCGCTGTCATGTCTGTTCACATCTGTTATTGTCAGGTGCGACGTTTTTGCTGACATATTAATCCTGTTGTTGCTTTTCACAGTATTTTCAACTTTAAACCATGAAAACTGTGGCTCTGGATTTCCGGTAGCATTACAAGTTAAGGTCACATAATTTCTTTCTGCTACCGTAACATTCTGCGGATGTTTTGTTATCTCAGGGCGATCTGAAATGCACAAAGAAACTCTCTTAGTAAGGCTATGCGTAGAAATTGTTTTCACGATTACGTTACTATACAACAAGTTGTGCTCAAATTCTTGAACAAACATTTTTGCGTATATCTTGAACAAGTGTTCAGTACAGTTTTTAGCAAGATGATGGAGATATAATGGAGTTATCAAACGTGTTTTACATGGATAAATCTCGTTATTTAGTAATTATTTCTAATAGCTGTCATGTAAGATGTGCTCACTTCCAAATTTTTTAACCCTCTAACTCCTAGATCAAATTTGTTATTCTCCTCAATGCCAACCGTAAAATTTTTATAATGTTAATTCAGAGAATTTAGTACTGGATCAAATAATTATTCCCTAATCGCTATTTTTCTTTATTCTCATTACTTATCTGCTTAATATTGCATTGACACTGTAAGGAGAAATTCTCTCTCGGTCACTCATGGGAGTTAAAGGGTAAAAGTATATTCCCGACCACCTTATTACGGCCATTCATGGGAGAGTTTGTTCTCGACCAAATTATTAATTATTTCTTACGAGCATTTCGTAATCGTTTTCGAGGACTCAAAAAAGAAGATTTTAAAATATCGATTTCCCCGTAGACGTTACCTTAAGGTGTTTACTGCGAAAGAGACTTTGCGTATTAAAATGCTCTGTTCTATTTCTAATCGATATCTTAAAGGACAATGCAATGAACTCACATTTCACATTTAATTCAGCAGCTTCTGATGTGTCGTTTCCAAGTTTGTTGCTTGCCTCACATCTGTATTCTCCACTGTCCTTTCTGTTCACATTCGTTATTGTCAAAACTTTATTGACAACTGAATAACTGATCCTCGAATCGTTAGTTATAGGCGATTCATCTTTAGTCCATGATGTTGTCGGTGATGGATTTGCAGTATAATTACAAGAAAAGGTCACGTTTCCTCCTTCTTTTATATCCACACTTTTAGGATGAGAAGTAATCTCAGGTTTATCTGCAATTTTGAAATCAATCTTGTTAGCAAAGGGCAAATAACAGATAAACAAAACGTCTGCATAGAAATGCATACATGACTGTACATCCGTTTTCTGTTATAAAAAAAGCATAGGATGAAATTTTCCTGCAGAGAGTAGGAGCAAATGTTCTTCAAAGGCCATGTTTATTAAACAATAATTATAACAAAAGTTGACTATAGCGGAATCGAAAAAAAGGGTGAATTGGAGAAAGAAGCATGAAATCAGCTGACAGCCGACGCCGAGTGTCAAAACGCTATTCATACCCTGGTAAGAGAAAGTAGAGTATTCATACCAGTACAGTAGTGAGATGAGAACTTACATTGAATGTTAACAGTAGAAACGTTTGAGGTTTCATTTCCCAAGCTGTTCTTCGCTACACAACGGTAGTGGCCGCTGTCTGTTCTGTTCACATTTGATATGGTCAACAGCCGGTTATGTTTTGAAAACCTGATTCTGGAATTGTTTTTTGTGGGAGATCCATCTTTGGTCCATGATATTATCGGTGCTGGGTTTCCAGTGGCATTACAAAATAAAGTCAAATTACTTCCCTCTTCTTTTATGACATTCACTTGAGGATGAAAGACGATCTCAGCTCGAACTGCAATTTGGAAAAGATTTTGCTTTGAAAGGACTATCACGAAAGCATAAATATGACATGTCAACAAATTACGTTATGTGACCAATTGGCTCGCGGTTTGCTTTTTCAGCGTATCTTTGCTTCACAGTCAGACAACTGACCGATCATTGCTCAATCTTTCGTTTCAAGGAAATAAAGTGGTGCTAGAAAAGGAAGCTCCTTATGGAGATAGGCTGTATAACGCCAGATAGTGACATGCCTATAAACATAAATTGTACTGGGTACAAGAAACAGTTGTAATTTATAATGTATGTCGTGATATCATTCACAAACAACCCAGCCACAAAAAGTCAAATTTTAAAAAAATTTACGTCCGATGGCAACTAACATTTTCAAAGTACAGGAACCAATCACTTCCCATTGAGACAAAATCTCCTCGTAAAACATGAACTAGACTAAGAGGAAGTATATGAGTAATTAGTTAGAAAACCATCGGAATTCTTTCGGGTCAAAATGAGTATTGTAAATGAGTAAGCGAGTGTAAAATTTGTAATTATCGAAGTACATCTAGGGTAAATAAACTAAGCTTACCTTGGCAAGATATTAAAAGCAATGAATTCGATCAATCGGGTTAGCAGATTTAATCGAGGCAATTACACAAGAAAAATGAAACATTCGAATTAAATTACAATATCGAAATATCTTGCTTAAGGTAATGGACTGAAACAGTGAATCTCAACAAATTTAGCTTAACAAGGTCCTTCTCTCACACTCGAGAGAATTCAATTCATTTGCATTGTGAATATCCGGATATTTAAACTGATGAAATAAATGCGCGGCCAGGGCCTATACCTCGTATACGGAAGTCAACGAGGTTGATTTCCGCTTCCAAATCTGTTATAATTATGTCTTCGAATAATGAAAAATGTCTTTTACCTCCTTGAGTGGATGAATAAAATACGAACAATAACAGGGCGAAGAACCAGTGAAAAAGACGCCCTTTGATAGTAAAAATTCCGGCAAGACGATCCTCCATACTAATAAAGCATAGTTCGATCCAAAAGGAAGAAGACAGAACGGCCGATAAAAAAAATAATTGTTGCTAGAGCTACAAAAGCAATTATAATGAGGTATCTATATGAAAAGCATTTTGATTGGCTGAAACAGCGTGCTAAATCAGAATAAATTGTTCGGCCAGCTTGAGGGAGCCAAGTAAATTCTCGACATTTCGTGATGGATTAATGGCACATCAAAAGGACTCCTAGTGCTTATTCATGTACAATGACTAATTTAAGTCACTTACACTGAACATTAATCGTGGAAGCGTTAGAAGTATCCGTTCCAACTCTGTTTTTTGCTTGACATGTGTAATCGCCACTGTCTATTCTGTTCACATTCCTTATTGTCAACTGTTCATGGCTTGGTGAAAAAATGGTACTGAAACTGTTATTTATAGGATATCCATTCTTGTACCATGATATTGTTGGAACTGGACTTCCAGTAGCGTTACAATATAAACTCACGTTTTGACCTTCTCTTGTTGTGATATTTTGAGGATGCGTCACGATCTCAGGTTTATCTGTGGATAAATACAGTATTATCATTAAAAAAATTATTTAAAAAAATAATACAAGTTTTCATGTTCATGCAATAGTAATCTCTTTCCAAACGTATTTAACAGTTCTCACCTTGTCCGTTGTTTTATTGACTAAGCATGATAATTAAAATATATATACATACGTGTTACTCTGACCAAAACAAGAGAAAACGAATTTGTAGAGCTGACTAATAGTTAATAAATTCGTTAGATATTGCGTTTTGGTGCAGGAATTGTATAATGCCTATATTACATTTTCTATAAATTCGTATGGTAATCTCACAATACACAGCACCAAAAAATAACATACAGTGTACTACGTTTAGGGATTGGAAGATGACAGTAACTCATGAGCAGTTTTCAAGGACGATCTCGTTGTAAATGTGGTACGGGAGAAAACGTTCTCGTCAGTTAAAGTGGTACAATTGTATTCTTACCTTATGGTTTTAAATTTGATAGAAATGACTGATTAATAAACGTTACTGAAGGAAATATTCTCCACCAATTGGCTAGTTTAACTGGTTACCATTTACCTTTGATTATGATCATTGTCGTATCCCGCGTGCTGCCTAAAATATTCGTGACTTTACAGGTGTAATTTCCCCCATCCTTTAGGGAAGCTGCAGTGATTGACAACTGTATTTGACTCTCATTGAAAGATGGAATTGTCACTCTTGAATCATTAATTTGCACTGAAGTATTTCGAACAATCACAGTTCCTTCTTTTATCCATTGCACTTCAGACACTGGTGGCGACGCTTCATACCGACATATCAGCCAGATATTGCTGCCTTTAGCCAAATATTGCTCCTGATCGCCATCAATTGTAACCTCGGGTTCAACTGAAAAGTAAATAGCGTCGGTGTTAGAGCTAATAAATAATTCGAACGTGTGGCATGCAATTATCACTTTGTAGCTTTCTTGATGTCGACCTACGTTTAACTTTTAACAAACAGACGATCACCAGTCGACGCCCCATGAATTTCACAACAGGCAAGTACTGGACAAGGTAACGAACAAAATGAAATAGATCAGATAAAATTTTCAATGACATAAGTAAGAGAAAAATATTTGCGAAAAAGGCTACAGCTGCACTACCCATTTCGGCATCAAGAACGTGCATCCAAAGGTAAATTGTGCTTCTGGTTAAAATAAACAACCATTTCATCCAATTTTCGACAACGGAAGAGCAGTGAAATGATCACTTTATAAGGTTCCAGGATGTCAATGCAACTGATAAAGATTATAAATACAGTTACAACAAGTAAGACCTGGAAATTAAAGAGTGTACGACACTTACAAAGAACAACCACTCTGGAATTTGAGGTATAATTTCCAACTCTGTTTCTCGCCACACACTGGTATTCACCGCTGTCTGTTCTGCTTATATTCGTTATTGTTAATCGCTTATTGTCTTTTGAAAGGCCGATCCTAGATTTGCTCTTTATGGGAGATCCATCTTTAACCCAGGATATTGATGGTTCTGGATTTCCGGTGGCGTTACAGGACAGAGTTATCTTTTCTCCCTCTATGGGAGTTTTCCCTTCTGGACGGGTGGTGATTAAGGGCAGCTCTGTGTGAAAAAGAAGCAAGAGCTGCTTAATTTGATATTTAACATCCATTCTAATTGTGACATTTATATTTTCAATCAAGAGACTAACTTGAAACAGAATACACCAGCAGCTGTAAACTTGAAACGGTTCACTGAATAGAACAAACACAAGTTTCATTCGTAATTATGGGAGAGTTGCTTTATCCCAAACAAGAAAGCTCCTGATTAACCGGACACAAAAAGGAGCAGATTGGATTTTTCTGAAATAGCACTCTTGGTGCTCCACGTGAATGATTAGGTCTTCGCCTGTGATTAAGTATTTTTTGGCACTGGACGGACTAGTTCCATCCCGGAGTTCTTTAAACAGCTGAAGATTTTAAATTATTGATTTTCTGATTGTGGATTGCATTGGTTCTGTTGTAACGTCGCATGGTCCTCATTCCCCTCCGTCCTTCTCTAAAATGAAAATGTGAACCCGCTTCTCCAATAAGTAAATCATCCGGATGGCGAGGACATTTTAAAGCAGCCCCTCTAGAACCTCATGGGAGCACTTACGAAAAATTAGACCCCCACTGTTCAACCAATTTGAATTACTCATGGCCAAACAAAAAAAACAAACGTAGTTGTAAAGTGCTTTTTAGCATAAAGTACCCTGGCTTATGACTGACGTCCTCTGGGATGAGTTACCAACAGCATTAATAACAAGGCAGGAGTAGTTTCCAGCATCCTGGGAAGTACTTTGACTTATAAGTAACTGTATTTGACTTTCATTGTAATGAGTAACAGAGATGCGGGACTCGTTAACCAGCAGACTAGAATTTCTAGCAATCACATCTCCATCTTTTATCCACTGCACTTCAGACACGGGTGGCATAGCATCGTACTCGCATAGGAGTTTCTTTATTTTACCGACAATTGCAAATTGTTGTGGACCACCAATCATTGTGACTCCTGGTATATCTACATTTGCAAAACGAAGCATAAATTGCATATTTAATGATATCTTATCTTTTCAAGTACCAGTTTCATAGATTAACCAATTCAGTTCCGCACCGTTTTGGTATCAATAATAACGGGAATCTTTTAGCGTGCAAATAAATCTGGAATCCGTTATTCAAGGCCTTTTAGGCCAACTTTTCTTAGGCCTTTCAAACCAGTGCAAATTAGGCAGTAATATTATGTATAATAACTTTGTTATCTCGACTCGGTAGTTGGTTGTCCCTCAGACTTTCGAGATAACGAGACTCTGATGTCTATAAAACGGTTAAGACTAAGGAAGGCTCTTGCGTGGAAAGCAAAATGAACCATTTCAGCTTCACAAGAAAAACTTCAAGTTTCATCTATCAAAAATGCTCACTACTTACAATGCACTTCCAAGGTAGTGCCATGGGACGTAACATTTCCAAGACTGTTTTCCGCCACACATCGGTACACTCCATTGTCTCCTTTGCTCACATTCTTGACAATGAGCTGTTTTCCTTCGTAAGACAAATTCACTCTCGAACCGTAACTGGTGCACACAGAATTCCCGTCTTTAGTCCATGATGTTGTCGGTAGTGGATTTCCAGTGGCGTTGCAAAATATAGTCAACTTCTCTCCTTCGATTCTCTGAATCAATCGTGGAAGAGGGCTGATCTCGGGTTTAACTACAGTCATCCATATGAGACAAGCAAAATTAACAGTGTTGGGCCTTTACCCCCTTGAGCCTAAGTCAACTCTACTTAAGAAAGTAAAAGGTTGTGGCAAGGACTTGTACATGATGCACCCATCAAAATGGACTCGAATCTTAATTGACCAAATGAGAGTGTAAATTATAGTCCTGGGTAATAAGCCATAAACGGGTGAGTTGAATCACTTAGTTTTACGTGTAGATTCGAAGATGACTGAAAGCTTCTTTAGGCCTCTAAAATATAATATTGCTTACGAACTCTTCAGTCGTGTTGGTATAGTGTAAATGAAGGACCTTACCATCTGCTCTAGGCAATGGACGAACCGATCAATTCTTAAACACTTTCATTAAGTAATTACTAAGAAATAGAACTGAAAGTCGCATCGAAACAACTAGTGAGGAGTTACAAGAAAAATGTATAGAGAGACATGGGATTAGTTCGCCGGAACTCGAATTAAAAGGTCCGGCTTCGAATACAGGCGAGGATATTAGCTTTTTGCTTTTGGCTCACAGTGCCTCTCCTCACTCAGGTCTTAATGGCTACCTGCAAACTGTCAAGAAAATCTGAAGATTTTGTCGTTAGAGGTAGGCAATGGACAAACAACCCATTTACGTTGAATCTACTCTAAGTCATTTACAATGCTAAAACAGGGATAGGCATCGGAAGCTGAAAAAATTAGAAATATGGAAATGCAGGCTGAACCATTTAACATCAAACAAACACACCGACTTTGACATCATCAAAATCTGAAACAATTTCTTAATTAAAGGTAAGATACGAAAGAACAGGCGATTAAAATGTTCCACCTACATTGCACTCCTAAATAAGCAGGATTGGAGGTATCGTATCCAAGGCTGTTAGCGGCCACACATCGGTATTCTCCGCTGTCTACTCTTTTTACATTCGTTAAAGTAAGGTGTTTGTTATCCGCCGACAAATTAACCCTGGAGCTGTTACTAAGAGTTGATCCTCCCTTATTCCATGATATTTTTGGTACCGGATTCCCCATAACGTTACAAAATAAGGTGACATTTTCTCCTTCTTTTTCAGTCACATTGTCCGGATGAGCAGTGATCTCTGGTATGTCTGTAACAGGAAACATTCCGTTAGTTTGTGGTTTTTTGTGAATAGTAAACAACAACAAAGTCTTCGCATAGGTGTGATGGAGTATTTGCTGGGGTTTAACAAGTATTCAAAATTTTCGTGTTGTGAGCAACAGCGATGATAACCAAACCATTCCTAGTCTGACTTCACCCAAACGACACCACTTAATGACTTTTGATTTAAATGTTTGGTTTTGGCTGCAAATAATTTGCAATCAGCCATAATTTCAATGAGTTCATTCTTTAGATCTTAAGATAATCTCCTTCCAAGTAATGCAATTGCAAGATTGTCTTTCTCACGACACATCGTACTCACATACTACATCAAATGTTGCAACTTGGGAAGAAGCATTTCCGATGTTATTGGACGCCAGACATTGGTATTCTCCGCTGTCTTTCCTGCTAACATTCGTAATCGTCAATTTCCGTTTGTCTTTTGAAAAAACAATGTTAGGATTGTAATTCGTATTGATATGAGACCCGTTAAAGATCCATGATATATTTGGCTCTGGATTTCCTGAAGCCTCACAAAACCAAGTGAAATTTTCCCCCTCCTCTTTTGTGGCATTCAAGGGACTGAGAGCGATCGCCGGTGGATCTGCAAATAACAAATAATAGCTACAGACTGATTTGTTTTGTGAGAATAAAGCAAAAAAAGCTTTTTGAAGTGCAATATATCAGATTGACTTGAGTATGGCTAATTCCACTGGAATTTACTTCCTACAATCTACGAATGATGGTAATTGATCATTAAATTTAGTCACTGAAATATCATTAAATGTAGTTTGTTGCAACATAACTAAATCAGGCAGTTTCCTACCGGTTACTTGAGAGCATTCACCCAAAAGCTTAATAATCGCCGCATAAGAGATTCCAAAGTTAATGCTTCGTAAATTAAAAATTCCTCGATACTTTAAAAATTAAAAAGACAAATGCTTTACTTGGTAGAAAGATCACAAACATATCAAAATCGAGAAATTAATTAACTTACTATTTCACACATGATATTCATAAGAATTATAATTGAAAGGAAAAAAATTTGTCTTACATTGGACTCTAAGTGCACTGGGATTGGAAGAAACATTTCCAAGACTGTTGTTCGCCACACACTGGTATTCTCCACTGTCTGTTCTGTCTAAGCTCATTATAGTCAGTTGCTCGTTTAAATTGCTCAGGGAAACTCTTGAATTTCTGCTTGTATTTAGTGGAGAACCATTCACAGTCCAGGATACTGTCGGTGTGGGTTTACCATCAACAAAACACGATAAAGACACGTCAGTTCCTTCCACGGGTCTGGTATCCGGTGAAGTAATTCTTGGTTTATCTAAATCTGTTATTATCAGCAAGAAATAGAACAAATTAATATAAAACAAGACCTTTGAAATAGAATTTTATTTATAAATAGTTGTAAACATAATTTTTCCTGTGTCTAAGCTTTCCAAATGATGAAGTTCGAAGATACAGCTACAACAACTTATTGTCCAGGTGAAAAACATGCGACTAGTCCCTTTTTTTTTTTTTTTTTTTTTTTTTTTTTTTTTTTCGGTCAGGTAAGAGTGCTCATGAAATCCTGCTTCCAGCTTTATCTGTCACCAGTCCACACCGAACACGTCCCTTGCCGGTCTAAGAAGCGCTGGCGTAAGGCGAGAAGTTGTTCTCTACGGTGATAGAGGGCACCTAACTCACTAAACAGGAGATGCTCTCCCCAAGCAAGCCAGAATGGTGGTATAAACAAGTCCTAAGTAGACCGAATATGAAAAATACTCAACTTAATCTGTGAGATTTAATTTGTCATATTTAAGTATCTGAATGACAAAATTTCTGACTATTGACATGATTCCTCGTGTGTCTGTAAAACATTCTTTTTCATAGGTTCTTTTTACTTACACAGTATCGAAATCTCCAATTTACTTTCATTTCTTGCTCGGTCTTCGCTGGAGACAACTGTCAACTTGTAGCTTCCCTCGTCCGTTCTGTTCACACCGAGGAGAATGATTGATGTGTAATTATTTGTAATGTCCACGAGTATGCGACCGCGGTAAGATGGTTTTATCCATGGTGGGAGAAAAGGGGAATATTTGTCTACAATCTGCGTATCTTTTTCAAATAACGCCTGTGAGAGTGATACGTCTTTGCCAAGTGAGTACCTCCATTCCAGCGTAACATTGTCACCTTCCACAGCAAGGAATAGATTTTTAGGTTCTTCAGTAAACACCGGCGCACCTGATAACACAAACATAACAATTTTCGGGCTTCGGTAGATTTCCACAACAACTTCAATAATCGCATATAACTACATCGCTTTATAACTTTACAGTCTTGGGATATCCAAGAAAAATAAAAAAAAACAAAACAAAAAACAAAAAAACGATAAATTAACCTTGGAAATATATACGTTAAACCATTTTAGTTCTTTATAAGAATATTTCGATTTAGCCATTTTAAAGTTAGTCTTATTGTAGGAGCAAATAGTGTTATTAATTACTATTTTAATTTTGATTGGTTCTTACGTATATACTGTTGGAGGACAGTAGCACAGATGAACATTACCAAAATTTTGCCTCTTTTATTATATAATTACGCAATGAACCACACTTTCCATCGGTTGCTATCGGCTAATAAAAGCACACAGGATGTTGGAGGAGTACGAGAAAATTTTGTAGACCACGAAGCGCAGCTAAATGGTTTTCATATTTTATTGCCCCAGATCAAACGAAATCTGAAATCGCAGGCAGCAACCGAAATGTTGAGTGTTCAGTCATTTCGAAAGTGATTTTTTACCTCATGTTGATAGATTTTCAGTTAATATTTAAATGAAAATCCAGTTCTCGCTATAATTTTCTTAGAGCAAGAACATGCCAAGTTTTCCTTCATGGCGAACAGTTTGCAGAATTCTAGTCGAGAATTTCTGAAGTTCCTTCACTTCAACCGCGCAACAAAAAATTAAAGGATTAAAACGGATAAACCACTTGGTTAAATTGTTTTTAAATAACAAATTTCGTGATGTTAGAACAACAAGTTCGTTAAACTAACAAATTTCGTGATTTAGAAAAACGTCACGCACGTAGTATCGATACTGATCGGCAAAAATAAACCGCCATTGAAAACTCATCAGTTACTAAATTTTACTGATCGAAACGTACACAATTTGCATTGGCTTTTTGTCACCCAAAGCGCCACCGTCATTTGAAGCAGGCAGTAAAAATTCGCTGCAATCCAGGTGAGCATCACGAGCAAACACGGAAGTCTCGAACGACGCGTGTAGAACACAACATCTAAGATCCGTAACAGCAGGCGACGAACAGGAAAAAAAATGGCCTCTTTCTGGTTTCTAAACATTCAATGAAGCCTGGACTTTCACTAACGCTGTCTTATCCCGAGGAAACCACTTTAACTTTTACGTCGGATTTCCACGTTTCCTATTCACTACATTCGGCACCAACATACATTTCTCGTCGTGCTGTTTATCTCTGTCGCGCAGTTCATACGGTTCTCGTGATAGTTACTGGCCCCGCTTTCTCTATCGAGCCTCACATCACGAAAGCGCGAAACATGGTTGGAAACGGTAGGGTGCCTTACTTTCTATACGTTCCTTGTTGATAAGTTACTTCAATTCCGACAC